CTACGAGAAGACGTCATGTCGGTTCGCCATGGAAAACTAATATCGAAGGAAGAGAAGGGATGGCATCTACTGCAAAACAACCGTTTGTGTGTCGAGGAACCGTTCAACACTTCAAGAAATCTAGGCAATACTGCTGACGATACATCTTTCCGTGGTCTCCATCAGGAATTAAGAAGAGCTTTCAAGGCAATCTCCGAAGGCAATCTGGATGAATGTTGTGAGCAGTACGAATACCCACCAGAGGAAGAACGAGTCTGGGAACGTCCAGCACCCCAACCGCGACCCGTTATTACCCCCATGCCACCAGCCCATTCAAATACCCGTGGAGGCAGAGGTGGAGGAAGGGGAGGACGGAATCAAAATCACTACAACAACCGTGGATCTCATGGAGGGCGACGGGCATCAAGTGCTGCCAACAGATCAAATATGGCTCGGCACCAAAATGCGGCCTTTGCTGCGGAAATTGCCTTGCAGGCGCAACAGGCGCAACATGCACAGTACCTACTGCACGATCACCTCTACCAACAGATCCAGATCCTCCAAGCACAGGAACAGGAATTGCGCATGAAGCAAGCTATGATAAGTAGTCGCGGTAACGCCTCGTTACTGCGCCAACAATACATCCAATTCCCGATGGTCCCCCAGCAGGACAGCGGTTCGCCCGACGAAAACTCCCAAAATCGAGCAAACATTATGCATGGCCAGGGCCCTCTCACAACCCCTGTCCGACAGAACATCTTTTTCAGTCCTTCCTTTGTTACCCCCGTCAGCGTTGCGGCACCACAGCCACAACCACAACCTCCATCAAATACGACAAATCCTCCCTCGCCATCTCCATCTACCGTGACGCCAGATACCCGCCGAAACCACCGACGGTCATCTATCACTAATAGCTCTCCGCGAAGTAGTCTAAGGGCCCAGTCTCAGCCTGCCCGGCCAATATCGGCCTGCGTACCAAACAACTTCAGCACGTTCTATGCAACTGCCATGGCCCAACCAGAAGCACAATATGTCCAGCAGCAGAGTGCCCGACAGTCACCGGATTCGCCTCAACGCACTCCAACAGAAAAGGACTATGGCTTCCCTGCAACAGGACCGTACTTCGTGAAAACAGGCCCAGTTGACGAAAATGGTATCTCGCCAGAATACATAAGTTACTATGTTGGGGACTCACCCCAGACTCAAGGTGCTTATAGTCGGCGTTCCATAGCATCATCGTATCCAGGCCACGCTGGACTTGCCATTCGCAATACCGGGCTGTATAATATATTTTATACCCCGACGGAATACCGGCCCATTCCAATGCCAACCCTTGACCAGTCAAATATACCCCTGGAACAGCTGGATCACATGAACGTACACACTCGAGTACCTCAGCAGCAACACTATCATCAGCAAGCTACACAGCTAAAAACTCAATCAGGCCAGGGTCCGTTGATAATTGACGGGTCCGTCCCTGCGAATGACTTCCGTCGTCAATCTACCCAAGATGAACATAGCGAACAGTTCTTCACTCCGCAGCATTCGTCCGTTCACAGTCAACGAACGTCTCGACAAGATACGCCGAACAATGGGTCTAGAGAACCGTCTCCAACGGAGCAATTAGTTTATGACGAGGCTGATTCTGTCTTCGGCACACCGCATCATGAGGCCCAACAGCATCATCCACAACTTAATGGGTGGACGCAGAATATCAGAACTAGCAGCAAGCCCGCCATCAATGGCCACATTGGCAGGCTAGAAACGTTGTCAGAGCAATTGCAGCGCTTCCAGCTTTCTGATCCAGCATACTTACCTCATGTGGATACAAGTCATCTCGTCAAGGAAAATGGCATTCATACCCACGACCAGCACCACCAAGCCAACGGGGGCGGAAATGGCAATGGAAATGGAAACGGAGTACATCATGCGCCCGTACAATCGCAAAAACCAGCCACAAATTCAAAGGCTACCCCTGCTAAAGAAAACGGGCGTGGCACTTCCCCCACCGTGAAACGCCGTGGTAACGGCCCTGGAGCTGACACAGAGTACCACCCGAACGGCGTATCGCAAAAGCAAAAACCAAGGTGGCATTCTGTTAGCGGTATATCCTCCTCGGCCATCCCAAATGCCACCGAGAGTAGGGAAGCTCCGAAGCCCAACGGCGTCCACACGAACATGAAACCTGTTTCAAATGGCGGCGGTCATGACCACGCCTCCACCTCCAATACCAATAACAGTGGCGGCGGAGGCTGGCAAACCACGACAACCAAAAAGAAGAACAAGAAGGGGGCAAATAAACCGGCAACTGGAGCAGAGCCGCTTCCTGCCGACGAATCGCTAAGAAAAGGCGGATGAAGGAAGCAGCCTCTTTCGTTCCGTCTTGTCTCTGTAAAAAGAATCAAAAATCATATCTTTCGGGTATCTGATTCCGGGATATAGGTATGATGTTTGTTCCTTATCAACAGGAATATGCTCTGGGCTTAACACATAGAGCAATCTACAACTCCTTGGAGAGAGTAACTTGACCTTCACAGCGTGAGTCTGCTACGCTTTTATCTAGTGAGCAAACACAGAGTACGCAAGTTACTATCTCGGCGCCCTGGCACGTTCTATCCACTAATGCGCATAAAAATCAGCCAACACCAAACTAGGAAAAAACACAACCAGTACATATTTTCATAAGATTGAAAGATTCAACGCCTGATTTCTTCCCCTTTTTTTTCCCTTTTTTTCTTAACTTTTTTTTCTTATTCAACAGGCGCGCGCGTGAATCGGTTTGGCTACTAGCAGCAGCATGTATGTGTACTCTATGGAAGCAAGAGGTGAATAGGATTATATTCCTTCCTCTCTTCTATTTCTCCCGCCCCATCTCTTCCCCCTTATCCCTTTTCCCCTTTCGGTTGGCGGTTACTTTTTTTCATTTCTATCACAGCGAAAAAAACTTCTTTCTTCTTTGCTATTACATGGGAATTAAAAGAACTCAGCATGTCAGTGATGAATTGTGTTTGCTATTTTTCCCTTCTTCTATCTGTCTTCCTACCTGTCTGTCTGTGGATAGTGTTAATGCACTGCTCTGCACTGTTACTAACCACTTTTGCTATTCAAGCCATGCTTGATTGATTGATAGTTTTTAACTATCAATCTTCTTCCCCCCTTTATTCCCCTTTCTGTGTCTAAAATTGGATGGATTATTTAATACCCCCAGCAATGTCCTATTGTTTCTTCTTGTTCTGTTTTACTCTGCTCTATCTCCCCTTTAGCTTATTGTTCTTGTTTTTTTACTGCTGGTTTGCTCCCTGTTCCTACTACCCCTATAGATACAGAATGTTCCTGTGCATGTCTTTACCCATTTTACCCCTTGTTTGATATCATTATCTGGCTACTTTGCTGTTTTTTGTTCTTATGTTTGCTTGGATCATCGGAACGGGGTTGTAAGATTTCTGCTGTTTTTCCTCAAAGCTTTGGTCGAAGATCAGGAATGTAGGGATAGAAGCTGTCTAGAGAGTTAGCGTCTAGTTACAAAAACCCAAAGGAAAAATAAATAAAAAGTAAAAAATTATATATATATAAAATAAAAAGACCATGGAATCGAGATTGAGCCATTAATTAAAGTATGATATTATAATTTTAAAGAGCAGAGAGGGGAGGGAAGGGGTAGAACATTTAAGAGCAGGACAAGAAAATCTAATTAATCCAATATCTCAACGTAACACTTATGCAAACATATAAATGCAGAGATAATGCAGCCATCGAGTCCAACCAACCCCAGTCATTAAAAGAGAATGTATTAAAAAGAGTTAGAGATAAGCCTATCTGCCTAGCTTTGAAGTTCGGCAAATATGAAAGGAAGGATGACCCTGCAGGCAGTAAGAAATACGATTATGCACTCGAAAAGGGTCAAGGGGAGGAGGTAGATGGGTTTGCTAGTAAGGTGTAGCCAGATAGCGAGGAAGGCTACGGAGTAAAAATGCCGTAATAGAACCAAGGGTGATCGAATAATGCCGGACAGCAGTCCGATGGGGCCATCTATAAGTCCAAGTTGGAAATACCTGAAGCAGCCTCGTTGCAGGACTTTCAAATTGGGGTCTACATAGTAAAACGTTAGTAACCACTACCCAATAACAAACGGCGTGAAAGTATAAGCTTACCACCAGCGGCGAATATAGAGTATAAGGCCTGAGCAAGAATATTGATGACAGAAATCAACGACTTCCGTTGCCAGTGGAATTTGGACAGCTGTTTTAAAACAAGTTTGGTATCACTTAAATCAGGTACGGCCTCCGGACTAAGCAGATCCCGGAGGAGAACGACATCATTAAATGCCACGGTCATACCGCCACCAGTCAACGGGTGACGCATGTTCAGGGAATCACCTAGGAACATCAATCCGGGGATCCTATTCGTGACGGGTCTGAGGAAGGAATTTGGCATTGACCGAAACCCTCCCTTCTCCAACGCAGCTTCAAATGAGGGCCGAATACACTCTGGCAAAGAAGGAAGGACGACATTCCGCATGTGACCCTTTACACCTCCGTTGGCAACTGACGCCGAAGGCAGGTTGTCTGGTATATCAATTAGGATTCGAGTCTCATGCTCTCCAATCTGGTATATCAATATGGGCGGGAAATCACCCAGGACAACATGGCCGTGGCCCGGTATGGGTAATTTCGCATCTATAAGCTCCAGGCCCCAGAATTTCGATTTGGCGACTGGTTGTATGGGGAGATATTCCTTTCGGAACGTAGAGGCATAACCATCCGCGACAACGGTCAGGGGCCCAAAATAAAAGTCTTGTTTGCCATCAGTCTGGCACTGGACTCCAAGGACCTCCCCTGTATGCGTGGATTTTATGGTAGAAACGGCCTTGGTCTCGACAATGGTGACGTTCGGGTTCGCGGCCGCGGCCTCTCGAAGGCGCATGATAAAGCGGCCGTGGTGGAAGCACCTGCCTTCCAGGATCTTATCGTTGGCGTCGCTAGGGAAAGGTATCTTCACACCATTGCCAAAATATATCACATCGTATCCATATGTCCTCACGGCATCTATTCCCTCCAGGCAATCTCTCAGGCCGAGTTGTTCAAGAGCTCTCACCCCGCCAGGTTGAAGCAGCTCTCCCACTATCCGATCAGGCTCCTTCAACGACCTCTCAAGCAAGATAACGCTCCGTCCCTGGTTCCCCAACGCAACAGCCAGCGTACATCCAGCAATGCCAGCGCCAATTATCACGACGTCCGCTTCGTGGTGTTCGTATCGTCGCCGCTCGGCTTCGTCGCGGTATACCTTGGGCTTCGCGGAGCCATTCGCAAAGCCGTTGCCGCTCTGGGGGCAGGGAGGAGCCTCTACAACCATTGTAGTAACTTATTGATGGGGTAAATCTGGCACTTGTCGCTGTCACCGTCGCTGCATCATCTGCTTGCCGGGGATAAAGGAGTCTGCCAGCTGGCCTCGAGCCGTCGCGGCGTTCAAGCAATTTATTTTATTTTTCGCTTTCGTTCTTTCTTTTTTGCGCAGGGGAGGAAAAAGCTTGGCATGAACAGGTACCTCACGCCACCAAAAGGGCAAAAAAGAAAATAACATGTGAAGCTATCAGGATCCAGGATGGCATGATCTTTCTAGGGGGCCCGGAGATTAATATATTTTATAAGTAACAGCCCATGCAAGGAGGAGGCGGAGGAGGGTTAAGAAGGTTGGCTGCATCAAGGTATGTACTTAATTCTAGGCAGACTTATAAAACATTAATAATAGCTGGTTGTTAAGTGGTAGAAACGCCCGGCGGTCTACATAGCTGGGGCCTAGGGGGGGGGGTATACCTAACTATATCAACGCCTAGATTAAAAATAATATACAAAGAGAACAGATAAGTGTAATCAGCCATGGCTCAGCTGTAGCTCTGGCTCTGCGTGTTTCTTGCTACCCCGAGAGCCTACAAACCCGTCCATTTCAATGGGACCCTTTCGCTCCTTTCCGGACGCCGTTTCAAACTCGGAACGCTCGCACCAGTTGGCTAGGGTGTGAGCGAGACCGCTAGCCCGTAAAGCTGGATCAGGGAAGTGAACAGGCGTATCATAAGACGGAGTGGGTTTGGCCTTCGTGGACATTTCATCAGTTGGCGCCACGTTAACAGTATCCACACGGCCACTTTGGGCAGCTTCTTTCTGGTCAAGCAGCTTCACAAGGTATTCAAGGTACTCGAGTTCGTCGTAGAGTACATCATCAGCCGCGTTCGGCGACGAGGTCTCAGAATGCTGCTCAAGGAGGTACTTGAGGTGCGCGACCAACCGTTGCAGCTCCACGACCAGATCCCTGTGTAGTGCTGACTTTCGGCTCATTGCTGTCAAGATGGCCCACCGAAGCCCTCTCCGGCTACCGCTGGCTGCAGCTGCTCTAGAAATCATCTTCACAGCAACAGCATCAAACGGCACTGTAGCACCGTATTTTCCCTTGTTAACTGCGCGGAAGAGCCTCAGAGCTGCTCCAGGCTTTCCGTGCTTGATCAACATTGCACTCGCACTAACAGTTATATGGTGCTTGATTGGAAGCATGTTTTCTTCAAGTGTCCGGTAGAACAGGAAAACTGCCATTTTCAAGGCCTTCTCCTTCGATCTTACCTCGAAGATTTGCTTGTAGAAAGTCCCCAGTTTTGTCCTGTCGAAATCAGGGAACAATCTACTGGCTTCTTCGAGAATTTTCTGAGCTTCGTTTGCGCTTCCATTGTGCATGAGACTCGCAACAACAGCTAATTCAATATGGATCTGCTTCATGACTTTGCCCGATGCCTTGGCCACGGTAAAGAGCTCCAGAGCCTCATCCATTCGACCAGAGTTAATGCTGTGGATCATTCTTTTCCGGAGAGCAACGAACTTGTCCACATCTCGTCCACTTGTTGACGCATACTTGACTTTGTCTGACCATGTTGTCCGCTCCCCAGTCCAAGGTAGTTTGTAGGCTTCTTCAAGAGGGAAAGAGTCCCTATCAAAGCCAAGTATTCTCTGAGAGGCACCAGCCCGACCATTTTTCTGCTGGGATGATCGGAACATCCGCCATAGACCGACTGTGCTCTTCTCGCAAGTCATTCTGTGGTTCCTCAACAGGTGAATAAAGTGTTCTTTGTTAGATGTCACGTTCCATTGTCTAGTTTTTGCAGCCTGCAAAAACTCATCAACCATTTCCATGCTTCCCTTCTGGATAAATGCGATGAGGATATGCTCAAAGAGAACATCGTCCATCTCCAGGCCATACTCCTCGACTGCCTTGAAGACAAACTTTCGGATGCTTTCGCCAGAATTTCCCAGGAAGTATTCGAGGAATATGCGATCGAAGATCTTTGTAAAGTTTTTGCGGCCAGATTTATCTAATTCCAGCTCGTGAATCTGCTGGAGATACTCCTCCACAGCTGGCCAGTCGCTCTTTAGTGCTTTTCCGTACGCGAGAAGTCCCAGCGGTCGTAGCCCAATAGTAATGCCGTAGATCTCTTTCATTTCCTCAATCAAGGCCTCGGCCTTCTCATCATACCCAGATTCGATATACGCTTTTAACAGAGGATTAAATAATCTCTCCGTGGGTGGTATTCCGAACCCCAAAAGGGCGCTAGCCAGCTTCCCGGCCTGTACCTCGACCAGTTCCATGTTACGACTCTTCGTGTAAAGGCCACCCAAGTATATCGCGCACAACCCGCAGCTGCTGTCATCTTTTAGGTACCTGAAAATAAACTCCTTCGCTTCTCCAAGCCGAAAGGAGTCGACGAGGGATCGCAAAACTAGGGACCGAAGTTGATATGATAATTCGAAGCGGTCGGCGTGGCGCAAATAGAGTAATGCAAGGGTATCGGCGCTCCATCGCGAACCCTGTGCTAAGAGTAATGCTTCCCAGGAATCTGAAGTCACTTGGCCGTTCCTCTCATCCCATCTGAATACGCCTCCTGCAAGAGATGTATTGCCAGCTTTCAGGTTTTCATTGAATATAATAGTCGAAAGTTCCTTTAGTGCCTCCATGTTTTCCTCAACAAATTCTCCTGGTGGGCGCAAAAAATGGTGAGCCGCTTCGATCGGTTGGCCTTGTTTTAAGTGATTTTCAATTCTCGATTTCCAATTTTGATATTGATCCGATGGAGTTATATTTAATGAAGAGCCACCGAATTTCATCACACCACGAGGATGAGAATATCGGGCACTTAGATCTAGCGGTCTCTCTCGGAGATTTTCTGGGAGAGAACCGTTGTTCGAAGTAATGCTTGATATCTCGGACTTCTTTGCATGTGTGTAGGTTGCTCGTGCTGTGGAATTTTCTCGGCCCCCATTTGCAAGTGTGCCTGTCCGCACAGTATTTCGATTTCTGGCTTGGTTTTCAGTAGAAGATTTCCTCTTCATCGAGTCGAGTCCCAGAAATTCTCCCGCCTCGGCCGCTTCCATCATTCTTTCCACGGCTAATCCTCGTCCCGAGGTGCTATAATTGGGACATGACGATTCGAGGGTTCGCTTCTGCTCGACCAGATGTTCTGCTAAACGAACTCTCCGATTGACTTCGTATGTGATTGTAGCAACTGTGCATACGCTCCCAATGACACTGGCAGTAGAACCTGCTAAGGCTAATCGTCGTAAAACCCGTAAGGCCGATCGCGAGGGGACAATGTTTCTGGTTGACGGCCGATACATGTTTGTCCGCGGTAGTGAGGGATAGGTGTTTATGGGACCATCCGAATGGCCCCGATCGAAAATGAGTATTCAAAAATGTTCCCTTTCCATCAGAGCTGTTTTGTTGATGCACGCCTGACGGATTCAATTGCATTGGTGGTAGTTGTTGCTGGGCTGAAAGCGAAGTTGTCGAAGTTCACTTTTTTTGCTTCGGGGGAATTTATCTAATTACGTAATACAATCTTTGCGTTCATAGAGGAGAGAGTAGAAGCCCATACTCAGTTGTTGCTAGCTATTATTATGCAATTATTGACAGTAAATGCAGCTCTACCAGCTGCCATAATGTATACAAACTATACAGTACAACTCGAATTGAAATCTATGCAACCCCTTCATAAGTTCCATGAAAACCCCGAATAAAGACGTGAAGTAAACTGCGATATAAGTGATGTAGATACATATCAATTATATATACCCAACTCTGTCCGCTATATGCTTTCTTCGAGATGTTCAGATGGTTGTTCTGTATTATCTGAGTTTGAAGAAGAAGATCCGGGAATATAGACTGGGAAATTGTTAGTCAAGTTTATACAAGACGGCTAGGACTGAACTTACTATGCGGTAAGAGAAGCCAGCACGAAATAAAACTGAGGAATAGTAAACTCGCCAGGAGTATCCAAACCGTTTGCGTTAACTTCCCAACAGTCCAGCTGTAAACGAAGCCTAACACAGTCGGTGCTATAACTCGGGCCAAAGCATGGAGTAACCCGACTGCACCCAAAAGTTGACCCGTTCTATCTGACGGTAAGTGTTTAGTCAAAGTTGAATTGATCGTCGGGGAGGCCATTGCGCTCATAGCATTGAGAATACCGCAAAGCACCATGAGCGGGCCAGTCTTGACAAGACAAAACCCGGCATAACCCAATAATTCGAAAAGGATAGATACTCTGATAATTCCAATATCCAGCTTATCAGAGCCACAGTTTGTCTGAGCCTCGCTAAGGGTATTATTTCGACGATTTCGGATCCATCGGGTAAGAAGAGGCAAGACGCCTAACAAGACGAGGACCCTGACAGTGCTTGTGATAGAGACAAACAAGCTAGACTCAATGTTCCCCCAGCCAAACACGTATTCAACATATAAAATGAGGGTATTCATAGTACCCATTGAAACACCAAACAAGGCCGTATCTATTGCGGCTAGAATTATCAAATTTCGTTGAACTAGCTTCACTCGTGTCTTTCCAGCACCAGTCTTCGAGACAGCCTTGTCGGTGACGGGGAGAAGGACAGCCAGTGGCTTCAATAGGTGGAGAGGGTTGAAATCCTGCAGGCGGAGCTTATTGATGTCCAGCGGCTTTATATTCCTCTTCTCCCGATTACGTTTCTGTCGTTCTTTTGTCAAAGACTCCGGGGCTATGAAGGAGATAAATATCGGCATTATGACCTGACAAGCCATGACAGCATAAAATACGACTCGGACATCTCCTGTCGCTTTAATGAGGTAGCTGGCAGTAAGCGGGCCAAGTGCAATTCCGATAAAGAAGACACCATGAAAATATCCAAATGAAACATTCCGTTTATTAGCAGGTGTACAGTCTGCTGCATATGACTGCGTCAATGCCACAGCTGCTGTTATGGAGCCAAACATTCCATCAAAAAATGACCCTAAAAGGAAAAGATTTACCGGTAGGGTATCGGGGAATGTTGCGACGAGTGCCGTAATGACTTCTCCCAGGAATGTGCCCAGGGTACATAATCCAATTATCTTTGTCCTCCCATACCCATCAGATAGCTCACCTAACTTTGGGCTTACTACCGCAGAGAGGATGCCAGCAATGAGGTTCATGACAAGCTGGAACCGAGAGACTAGCGCATGCACCTCTGGTATCCGACATTGAGGATTTTCAGCACCGAGTATCACTGGAGCATAGGTAAAAGTAGTGTCCTTTGCCGCACGATCAGAGAAATACTCCCGGCATATCAATGTGAGCATGAGATTGATCTTTGGTACGGCAACTCCTCCAAACGCAAGGGTAAACGGAAGAAGCGGAGGCAGCAGCCATAACACCTAGTGAATTCGCAATCAGCATACAAACTCCGTAAATGAGCGAATTTCATGGTGTAGGCAGCACTCACGGAAGGCCTTTTCCACCACGGCAAAGAGGAGAAATCCTCGACCTCAGTTTCGTCTAGCTCATGGGCCAGCAGTGTTGTTCTCTCATCCGATATATCTGTTCCCAAGTGCGGCTCTGACGCAAATTCGAAGGGAGTCCGTCTACCTGCCGTCATATTGTCGATCATAGACTCTTCAAGCCCAAGTTCAACGCTAGAACTGACTGGTTTGGCGATGGCCATGAAGCCGAGAATGGGTGAAATGGAGAGCGGATGTGCAGTGCATGGACAAGTCCAACAATAGAAAACTCGTTCAACGACACATGAATTTTTGACTGACGACGAAGGAGAGGTTAACAGGCGTATATTGAAGAAAGAAATAGCTGCATAATGACGGAGAAACAGTTGGCATTCTGGCCGGAAGCTGGAACGTCAGCTGTAAGTATCCTTGGGCCGCCGGCATGATCCTCCATTGTTCTTCCATTGAATGGTTTCGTCCGGTCCCGCTCGAAAAAACGTCCGAAAAAGGAATTAGTCATCGTTTTAGGCGATAATGCTGCGAAGCGAATGGCTAGCTGGCAGGCTTGGAAAACGGCGCCCTTTGCGCTGCTGCAATTGTGGGAAGCTGTGGGATATAATCCCGGCTTTGGGCGGATAGTTGGAGTAGCGGTTTGCCGGGCTGGTGGGCAAGTTGCGTCATGGGGATTTTCACCCGATGCTGGAGCTGCCCCAGTTCAAAAAAGCAACATCAAATTACTAGGATGCATTTCTTATAAGTGCTCTCTCTCTCTCTTGTTGATTTTATAAATGGCTAACCAGATGACAACCGTGAATTAAAGATAGTAATATACAGATGGCGAGTCCGTGATATATCGTGATTTATCGTACGAGATCGCGCCCCTCTGGCCCAGCGAAGAACTTCTTCTGCTCTAGGCACCTTTCACTCGTGCAGTTTTGGCATCGGAGCATCATCTGGTGCGTACACTTTGCGCCGCTTCGGAGATGCTCTGCTGCCAGGTCTGCTAATCCTCGAATAAAGACGGGATTCCCGTTGAGGCTCTCAACTCGTTTAACACCCGGATTATTTGCTTCATGAATTACCTCCTTGTCTAGTTCGTAGAGAGTCTCTATGTGGTCACTGGTAAATGCGATTGGTATCAGCAGAAGATCAGTCTGCCCGCGACTGACATAGTTCTGAACCGTATCACTGGTCTGGGCCCCGAGCCAGGCTTGGGGTCCGACTTGAGATTGCCAGCATAGTCGGTAAGGGTTAGAGAACTTTAATCTTTGCATAACCGCGTATACTGTTGCGGCCACCTCAGCAGGATATGGGTCACCTGGAAATGAAAACAGTTAGCCCGGTCCCGGCTCATGCACACAAAATAGCAGCTTGCTCACCTCTGTTGACAACGGTCATTGGTAGACTATGAGCTGAGAAAAGAAGGACAACGTTGTCACGCTTATCCTCAGGGTACGTGGCTAGTTGTGCTTCAATATTTTGCGCGAACGCCTCGATCAACCCTGGGTGTGTAGGCCACCTGTCAATAACACTCCATTGAATGTTCCCGCTGACATCTTCTGACCCTTCAGCGCCGCGTCTTCCTTCTAGTTTGTTTTTCCATCTCCAGAGATCATTGAGCGAGCTACCCGTAGTCGAACAGGAGTACTGAGGATACTGTGTGAACGCAACAGCCCGTCCGCCTTTGCCTCTTCCGAACCCATCATCGAGCAGCTGTGTGTACATCTCCTCTGTCAATGGCGCAGCATATCTAAATGCCACGTACGGCTTATGTGGTGCCGTCTCTGGCGATATCTTGTCAAGTATTTTGCACATTTCAGAGCACTGGTACTCTGACCACTTCCGGATTGGAGAGCCGCCTCCAATATCGGCGTATTGTTTCTGAATCTTCGGAGTTCGGCGTCGTGAAATAAGAGGGCCAAGGTAAGACTGTAACCTTCCAAGCGGTATCAAGTCGCCATCTGCCTAGGACTTGTTAGGGCTGCGGTGATGGAATGAGAATAATGCACCAGCTCATGTAACTTACAAATAACCTGCTCAAGAAATCGCCGACCTCATCTGTGGTGGAAGGTCCGCCCATGTTTAGAAAAACCATTGCGGTAGGGTCTTTTGACCCTGTTGAATCCTGGGTAACTGGTGGCACCACAGTCGCCATCGTGCGCGAGCTTCCATTATATGAGCCGACTGGAGCTCGTAGACATGCGGATACACTCCCTAGTCCTCCCCGAGGAATTTTCGATAATGTCCTTGGAATCGACATTATGATGATTAAATAGTAATAATGCAGAATCCAGAGGCTCTATAAGTGAGAGGGAGAGAGAGAAAGGAACTTCACTTTGACGGTGGCTTGCGAGCAAGTCGAAGGAATTTGTTCAGCGTCTTTCCTCTTTAGGCCCAGCCAGAGCTTTGCCTCAAAAAAACAAGTTTTCGAGGCTGCCGAATGAGCCAATCAGAGAACGTATTATTATCATATATCACATGATCTGGTGTTTTAGCGCGTCTTGTCAGCTAATTAGGCAGACGCGTCCCGTGACTTATCCGCCGCGAACTACTCCGAGTTAGATCAGCGAAACGCTTGGATAGACAAACAGGCAGCAGTTGGCAACCCAACAGTGCTCGCTTTTTCATCCTCAAAAATATCCCAACTACCTACTTCTGTCATGGCTTCTAACTGGGTGCGCGATGAGGATGATGTGGAGGAGGAGGAGGACGAGATTGATGACACTGTACGACGTTGTCCCGGAACAAGTAGAACGAACTATCGCCTGTTAACTATATATCTAGGACTACAAATCCAGCAAAGATGCAGTCCTCTTTGCTATTGAAGTTAGCGAGTCAATGCTGACTCCTCCACCTGACTCTAAGTCTAAGAAGGCGGATAAGGATGCACCAATTACCGCTGCGTTGAAGAGTGCATACCATATCATGCAGCAGAGAATTATATCTAACCCTCAGGACATGATGGGCGTCTTATTATATGGGACAAAGGGCTCGAAATTTTATGACGAAGATGAGGAGGGCAGAGGCACACTCCCATATCCTCATTGCTACTTGTACACGGACCTAGATGTTCCAGCCGCCGCTGACGTCAAGGACTTGCGAGCCTTGGCTGAGGACGAGGACAGCGGCGCAGAGATATTGATTCCCTCCGAGGAACCTGTCACAATGGCAAATGTGCTGTTCTGCGCCAACCAGATCTTTACCTCGAAAGCAGCCAATTTCTCTTCTCGGCGGCTCTTCATCATTACGGACAACGATAATCCACATCAAAATGAAAAGGCGCTCAGGTCGGCAGCTACCGTTAGAGCGAAAGATTTGTATGACCTTGGAGTGATTATAGAATTATTCCCAATCTCCAGGCCAGGTGAAGAGTTTGACCGTTCAAAATTCTATGCTGTGAGATTACCTAAATGTTACATGCGATTTTATATCATCTTTAACCCTTTCAATAGGACATCATCTATACGGCCTCTCCAACTGACCCGGAAGCTCCTGCATTTCCGCAAGTTGCAACCAAGTCTTCAACCTCAGGTGGAGATGGTATCACACTTTTGAACTCTCTCATTTCATCGATCAATTCTAAGTCTGTCCCTCGAAGAGCGCTATTTTCGAATGTCCCCTTAGAGATTGGGCCCGGCCTCAAAATCTCCGTTACTGGATATTTGATATTCAAGCGACAGGAACCCTCTCGAAGCTGTTACATTTGGCTGGAGGGTGAACAACCCCAAATTGCCAAAGGAATAACTACTCAACTTGCAGATGACAGTGCCCGTGAAGTAGAAAAATGGGAGATCCGCAAAGCATATAAGTTTGGAGGTGAACAGGTCTCATTTACTCAGGAAGAGCAAGCAGAGATCAGGAACTTCGGTGAGCCCACTATTCGGATTCTCGGTTTCAAGCCTCTTTCCTCACTACCTATCTGGGCATCCATGAAACACCCTACCTTTCTTTACCCATCTGAAGAAGGGTACGTAGGCTCAACGCGTACATTCTCAGCATTGCATCAGACACTACTGAAGCAAAGTAAAATGGCCCTGGTATGGTTTGTGCCTCGACGAAACGCAGCCCCTGTGATGGCCGCAATGATTGCTGGAGAAGAAAAGCTCGATGATAATGGTGAACAAACCATCCCTCCTGGAATGTGGATACTTCCACTCCCTTATGCGGATGACATCAGACAAAACCCGGAGACAAACCATATTACCGCTCCTGACTCATTGATCAATAAAATGAGACCTATAATTCGGCAGCTTCAGCTTCAAAATGCGCAATATGATCCACGGAGATATCCAAATCCATGTATGTGTAGTGTATTCTGATTATTTGTGGCTAAAACTAACCAACCTTACCAGCGCTCCAATGGCATTATAAGATCCTACAGGCTTTAGCACTTGAGGAAGATTTACCAGAGAAGCCAGAAGACAAGACCAAACCGAAATATAAAGCCATTGACAAGGTAGACGATATTTCATCACCTGCACCACGCGATTTCCTGGAACGACACCAGGCTAATGATATGCAGCGAACTGGAGACCTAGTCATTGAATGGGGCGAAGAGCTTGAGGCTCAGTACCGGGCTTTAGAAAAAAGTCAACCAGCGACCTCAACTCTCGTTAAAAGGCCAGCTCCAAGTGCAAAGGAAATTAAGGAAGAGCCAGCATCTAAGAAGGCGAAAACCGAAGAACTCGAGGATATCAAGGCTCACTATGAAAAGGGTACACTGAACAAGGTAAGGTCCATCCCCGGCCTGACTAAGTGTCGAATTATCGAGCGTCTAACTCAGTATTCGATATAGCTCACCGTTGCCGTTCTGAAAGACTTCCTAACTTCACATTCTCTGCCAACGTCTGGTAAGAAAGCAGATTTAGTTGAAAGAGTAGAGGAACATTTTGGTGGTTAATAGTTGCTTAAAGTACCACTTTTCTAGATATGAAAATCGGGAAATCCATTTATTACAACAACAATCACTTTCTTTTAGTCTTGTCTATAGAGAAAAATAGTAGTCGGTCAGATGAATGAAGCCAAGGAACAAAAATACAAAAAAGATAAAGCCGACGTCGGACGGATTCGAACCGTCGCCCCCGAAGGGAATTGATTATCTGCTTCAGAGAAGTTCTAGTCAATCGCATTAGACCACTCTGCCACAACGCCTTATTAATGTCTGACTTGATAAAAGCGAAATTACAACAGGTTCACAGTTTTCAGACGGATATAACGACTCCTTGTGTTGCCCCTGAGAACTCTGGCGATCGATTTTGCCTCAAACCAGGTCAGGGATTCATCATCCATGCAAGGGGAGACTTCTTTACCGTATTTATAATTTTCCTCGAAGTGGCTTTACGTAAATCTATGATAGCTTGAAGAAGAGAGAAGGATGGGCAGATCATTATTACATTGTTTGCAGATGCCGAGCCGAGACGCCGATACCCCATGCATAAACAAACCGCCTACATATGTAGTTAGAAGAAGCGAAGTTGACAAGAAAAGCATATAGCCAAGAATAAAAGCAAAGTAAAGTTGAAGTTTATAAACAGCAGTTGGAAAGTGACCATCCGGGCCATTGTATCAAAACCTACCGAAGAAACCTGGTGTTAATAAAGGGTCTTCTTATCCTTGGATGATACGCATAGTAGAAATGCAGTAACAGAAGGAAAAGAGGTCTTACCTTATTTCATAACTTCCAGCACGTGTCATATATCGAACCCATTTCACACTGCTGTAGTTCCCCTTTTCAAATACCTTCAGATAGCGCACTAACAACCCACTGCTCGTGAACATAAGCAAGCTGAAGGCAAGGCTGAGAGGCGGCCGGCTCCAGGTCTTTTGCTGTGTCATGGAGGTCAAGGTAGCTTCGGCGGTAAGGACAAATTCACTCTGACCGGAGAACCTCGCTATCTTCCAGACTATATTGTTATGTTCCGGTTCATACTTGGCCCTTCCTTGGGTCGTCCGCTCCGTGATCTTAGCCGTGTTAAGTGGGGTAGGTATTCGGACAACGACATTGGTAGCAAATAATTTTGGGCCATAGTTTGCCTTTATAGCAATGCTGTACTCAACTTTCGTGGTTCCTACTTCACGGACGATAGGATGGACCTTAAAAGGCAGGTTCACGTTTTCAGTCGCTCGATATCTCATCAGCTCAAATTCGCCATCAGGTGGGATGAAAGAGATGATTCTGTCAGCATCAAACTGGCCTAGCTTAACGCATTGATGGAACTGGCAGTCTTCAAGGGTAACGCTGCCCGCCGCAGCCCGCGTTGTCCTTGGTTTTCCGGGCAGGCCATTGGCATCATCGTTATCTAGCAAGAGCCGATCATTAAGGCCAAACTTGCATTCTGGGGTTCCGCTGAGGTATGTTCGCATAACTATGTGTCCGTTTACGTCCGCTCGTAGCACAGTTCCGGTGGCAGACATTAACAGGTTAACATCCTCAATCACATCGACAAAAGCCTCGTTCTTTCTGTATTTAATATCTGATCTTCGCCACGACAATGCGCCGGTTGCTTGCATGGTGATACGACTCGAATCGGTGGCCGAGTTAACGATGGAAGACTTCACTCCTTCGGTAGTTATATACATCTTCAGCGTATCCGTCTCGGTGTTCTGCGGGTATCCAAAGTCGAGGATCTCTATACACAAGGACGGGGTTAGTACTTTATATATTTCAGTTCAAGTATACAATGCCAGACACATAGCTTACCGTCCAGCAATTCATAAATCAACACAAAATTATTCTTGACTGCTTCCTCGTCAAACTTGCCAAAGTACCCCTTCCCCAGCATTATTAATTTGTACAAGAATTCAAACACGAGCGCGGCATTCGCGTTGCTCTTCGTAACAGCGACCAGATAAATATTCTCATGTTTGACATGGCTGAACGTCGTTGAGCCGAGCGTCAATATGGGAGATCGGACCTGCGCATTCGATATCACCTGGATGCGGAAGATGTCTGCGAGTCGTGGTCGGCAGTCGTTGCGAAAAGAGCGAAATATAAGGTTCTCGCCCTTCTGATTGAATATGAGGATTCCGGACAGCATTTTCACAGAAATAAATCGCAAGATTGAGCAGATGAGCCTCAGAAGTGTGTCTGCGATTCTTGTTGTTGCAAGTTGCTACGCTTTGGGTTCCTGGAGCTCCCCGTCAGAGCCCGATCTCATTGGATCCACCATTTGGAACGCTTGTATCGGATAATCAAATTTACCGGTATTGCTATACAAAATACGCTAGGTCGGTATAGTTAGAAGGGTACAGTTTGGCCAGAAGTTATTTGAAGAAGCAACAGTACTTGATTAGCATGATCCATGACGCATATATCCTAGGTGAACAGTAACGACATACAAAAGGGGAAAAATGTGATGTAATAGACATGCGGTAACCAAATATATGACAGGTAATCTGGAGGGTATATGTAAGAAGGGAACGGATAAGGAGACATAAAAATAGGGATTAGATAGATATACCTCCCACAGAGACATAGAATATCAAGAGTACCACTGGCTCGGGAGGTATGGCGGTAAGATCCCAATTCCAGGAGGCAGTGATACCAGCACTCAGGGCAAAAAGTCATACGAAATAGAAAAGATGCAGCGAGACACACGATAGGTCTATCAACATAAAAGGAAATAAAAGATGAGGCATCATCAGAACGGTAGTTGGGCAAGATAAAAGAGTGCGGAGGGAGAACGGTAATTGTGGCCAATCAAGCTTCATCCTGTGTCACAAATGCTGCGGTCGTTCATGTAGCCGTGTGTTTGCGGTGCTGGGTCTAGTTCTCGTCCCTAGATCGGAACCAGCATCGCTTTCCACAATACCAATTTTGGGGTCTGGGATCTGTATGTCTAGGGAGAGGAATCCGGTCCGTCGGGGTCCCCATATCTTGACACCTTCAGCAGCACCAACCTCACGGTTCCACTTATCTATCCATGCTTCAAGCCCCTTGATTCGAGATTTGATGCGACTGGCACCTAGATCGTCCCATAGCCAGCCAGTCAGGAATCCCATTATCCCATCAAACCAGTTACGCGCAGCATATGGATCAAACGCATTGATGAGCTCCTCATTTATCTTGGTGATGATAGTTCGGAACTCCTGTTCGCCCAAGAGTGGGTCAAGAATCTCTGGGTATAGGTTGGAAAAGGTAGGTGCAAGGTCTCCTTTGACCATCCAGTCCCGTCGTATCCGGATTACCCGTGTATGAACGTAATCCTCTGAATTTAGGGAGACATGGGTGTTCATATGTGGAAAGCATGGATGTGCTGGTCCCCAGCTCAGTTCTTCTGTGGCGTCACCGTTAGGGGGTCCACTAGGCGATTGAGGGTTTGTTGAGGCGTTATTGACGTTTACAGGGGGCACGGCAATAAATGTCTGCGGTCGAATAGACAGGTGAGAGTTAACGTGTCGAGGTGTTTCTGGAGGATCATCTGGGTGCTGTTGTGCAGCTGGACTGCCATTCATCGAGAAGAGGTTGCCATTTCTGACTGCATAGGGACGCTCTGGCGGCCTTAAGTGATTGCTCTGTCCTGCAGAAGCTCCTGAATAGTTGACCATTTCAATTGCTCCCCAAGTATCTGCACGTCTATGCCTGCGAGGGAGTCCGATGCTGGTACGATTAACGGCGTCAGGTTCGTCGACGTCTGTCTTAAGAGGTATACTCGCTACACTGGACCGCTGGGAGAGAATTCTCCGACGCTCAGGGAGGGTAAGTAGCGGATCTGCGTCCCGTTTTGGCTGGGAATCGCCTGTGAGAGCTGTACGTTGCTGTCGAGACGAGCGAGTGGCGGAGCGTGGAATGTAATTGACCGGGTTCCAGAGACTCGAAGAAGGGGATCTTCTGGTGTATTTGAATAGGGGGAGTAAAGGAGACGGCTGTTCGTGAGACTGCTGGCGATGGCTGTGGATGCGGCCCTGAGGGAGAGGAGACGAAGTTTTGCGAATGTACAGCGGCTCTGGGCGCGCCGGAAACGAAGCTTCGAGGTCTGCAGAGTATTCCGGCGTCAGGACCGGGACGAGAGGGATGTATGTGTGGGATTCGTCGCCTCCAGCCTCCCGCGATGATACGGTTTGTGAACGTCGGGCGGTTGAAAAGGCCGTTTTTGTGGTGCGGACAGGACTTTCTTCTGCAGAAGGAGGAACGTCGTTGGTGTCGCGCTAGTGCCACGGAAAGGGGTCAAAAGTGGTGCGGCAGCGCTCGGCGCACGGCATAGACTGTTCGGGGCACGGCGAGTTTCCCGCGCCATAAGCAGCATGAAGTAGACCAAGAAAAGAAAATAATGACAAACAAACAACAAAAGATGGACAGAGGAGTGGGAGAAGACGCCAGATGAGAGAGTTAAAAAGGATAGAAGAGATAGAATGGGGGAAAAGAGAGAGAGAGAGAGAGATTGAAAGAAGGTCTGCTAGATCTGTGTTCAAGCGAATGGTTGTGTCATCCGTTCCTCCGCTGACCGTCCTCTTGTATTGTGATGTGTAGGATGCAGTGGCATGCCCGCGAGGCCTAGAGGTTACATGATGAGTCCAAGAGAGCAAGAGAAGCTGTGTGCGGCCTGAAGGTGGGAGAAGAAAAGAAGGGCCCTGCGCAGGGACAACTGCGGAATGGGCTGCCCTAAATATAAGTCTCCCAATCCCGCTCCAAGGCTCCAAGGCTCGGTTCGTTCCATCACAGATTACATGGGGGGGGTGGAGGGAAGGAAACCTTGGAAGGGATGCCTTGGGATCGAGAGTGGGCTGCGCAGCGAGTTTAACTAAAAGGCACATAAACATAGCCATGCATTTCTGTCACATCGACGTTGGCTCGCGGGAATTGAGGAAGGCTCTTTTTTTCTTTGCTTTTTTGGCTCTTTTTTTTTTTTCTTACGGACCAGAAGAAGACCAGGCCAATGGTTCCTTACGATAGCGAGCCGCCCTCAAAGATTTTACTTTGGTCCCTGCTAGCAGGAGACAAGACGAGGGCTATGAAATGCGAGTTTGCGCATGCTTGGGCTGCCCGACCTTGCTTCACTATCCTTGCAGGCAGCTCAGGGAACTGAAAACTGAAAGCAAGGAAGAAAGGGAAATAGAAACCTAAGGGGTACGGAATCCTTTCGGGCAGACAGGCGATCTTTTTCTCACTCCCTCATACCAAGTGCGATGCGGGTTTGGAATTTCATTTTATCCTCAGAAACGGACAGGAGGTCGAGGCGGCTTCCACGTTTTGCATCCCCATTCCCATCTGCGGTGTCGTGTGCGGTGTTTACGATGGATGACGGATCGCAAAGACACATCCCGTTGACCGCGTTAGTGCGGGCCCAGTTTTCCGCAGCGACCGGGCCAATAGTCAGTCCTGGGGTCGCGGAACCAGGTACCGATTACGGGTCGGTTGCATAAGCGACTAGCTCAGGAATCTTCATGCACCAGTGGATAGTAACCGTCAGGATATGACAGGTTACAACCCCCAGGCACCGGCTTAGCGGAGGTAATCCTATATCAGCTTGCTTACGGAGTACTCAAACTTCAAAACAAGGGACCGTTCCGCGTCAGCAGCTGCCAGAAAGGCCACCTCGGCAACAGATGCGCTCTTATACTCCATGCCGCCCGCCAACACTATATCCCATCCCAAGCGCTACGAGAAAAGGTACATCCCTTTTGATAGCGCGGGCAATGACTAATAAGTGGGCCTTCCGGAGAATTAGCATACTGATTGGCCAAATCTCCGGACAAACTTCCGGCAATACGATAGTCCGAGTGTTTATTTTTGCAACCAGGCTGGACGGCAAGCGAAAACTTGACTATTTGCCATTTATTATAAAGAGACGGGCTGATATTATAAGTCTATGTACAGGGGATGGGGATGGGGGGCCTTCCGAGGTTGGAGCGAGATGGTGACACGGAGAAAAATGAAAAAAAAAAAAAAAAAGAATGAAATAAAAAGGATCACCATGTGGCACTTGGACTCTAGCCGGCAAAAAAACAAGAAAAAATGGACTCAAGCTCAAGGGGAAACACGATCAGTTGTTTATAAGTGGCCCCTTTGTTGAGACAGCCAACCATATCCCGCAGGAAGGACCCGGTTCAATGGCTCTGGCACTGATGAACTCGAACTAGAGTTGCTAGTTATTTGGATGAAGTGGCCAACCTTCCACTGTCTCGCATTTCTGGTGGACGGTCAGCATCTGGCTCCCTCCCTGCCATATACTGGCTCAGCCTGCTCACTTCCCTGACTAACATCCCCGTTAAAAAGCCAATCGCTCCCCTGGCTGCGGTCCCACTTGGGCTCGAAGGGCCGTCCCCGTTGGGAGTCAACCTCTTAGCCTCCTGGCAGACAAACTGGTGGCGAGCCTCCATGATTCTTTTGTCGACCGAAACAGTGTGGTTGACGAAGCATGCTCTGCTGGGTGATATTTCTGCTCCCAGGGGAAACATCTGCGACAAATAATGCTGGTTAAACAAGTGCCCGCGGCCATCCCCGCAGATGAACACCCGTCCAGCACACTTGTTCTTGGGGTTACTTAGACTACGCAGAACCCCCCACTGAGGAACGGGGTCATTCTTATTGACATAGTGTTCGATGTGCCTGATCACGCCTCCGGTCCCAGTGTTGTTCAAGGGATTACTGAAATGGTCTGCGGCTGACCCAAAGGTATAGATTTCAAATTTGGCCATCTGCTTAGCTGGCAGATCCGCGAACAACATGTCCAGCGCCAACGACGCGACGATCGCGCCCTGGGAATGGCATATCAGGACGACCTTCTGGACTCCTGGGTCGACTAGTACCTTTTTGAGGTAGTCGTATGCAACTCGAACGTCGTAAGTATTATACGAGAACGTCCGCTGGATGATACATTCGAGCAAGTCCCCAATAAGACCGAAGGTGCGATTTTGGATACCCGTGATAGGACGCCGGAATATTTCGGCCAGCTGTCTGCAATTCTGCTCCAGCCCATAAGAACTACATACCCAACCAGTCGAAGTTTGTTATTAAGTGGGGGTAACAACTAACAGGGAACGGGTGGAGCGGAAAGTGAGCCTTACGTTACTACGACCCCATTGATAAATATCCAACGCTCCTCCGTAGAATACCGAGCATTATATGGACCCAGCTCGGCGTGAAAAATGGCTGGCCCGTGGAAAGGGGCGCAGGCCCAACCTGCTATTCGGAGATTTACCAGACATAGGCAACAGCTAATTCCTCCTGGCAACAACAAAATTGACAGGCAGGAGATAAGCAGGAGAATTGCTTCGAGTAAAGAAACGAACACTAAGCCAACCAGGTTTAGTACGCTCCGTTTTCCGAGGTATAGTTCGTCCGTCGGCCTGGGAGCACGCAAGGGCCGGAAGATATTTGGAAGCTTCGGGAGCAGCTGAAGACAAGTCCGTAGATCACTCCTTAGTCGCTTTAGCGGACTGTCTCGAGCCTTTGGCGGACTGGCGATCGATTCTTTGTCAATCTGGGACGGGATCAAGCGAACGCGATGACGGGCGGGCCTCGGGGCCCCGGTGATCTGCTCTGCCATTCTCTCTAAACAAAGAATTAAAAAAAAAAATATCAGGTGGAAGCGGCTTTGTACAGGAACAACGAATGACTTCTATGTATATTGCCACGGTGCAATATAACTTTGCCTAGACAAACGGACTGGCAAACGAGTGTAAGCTCCAACGTGCACGCGGTTAAGGGTATTAGGTCCGAAGGTGACTGCTTGTTGTCACCGGAGGAGCAACGGGGTCACCATCTACGAAGTAACCCTAGAGGTGCAACATTCTACAGTCACAGAAATCGAAGAAAGAGCCGCCATGGACTTGGTGATGTGCTGTTGTAGGGAAAGAAGGCGCTTATTATCTATGCTATGAGGAAACGACGAACGGAAGGAAGCTGGAGGTCACGGCAGAGGCGAGCTTTTTATACAAGCCTCCTGCCGCCAGCCAGCGCCTGTACGCGTTGCTGCAAATTCGCCGCATCCTGGATGCTCGCGTGCAGCCCAAGTGGTACATGTGAAGCATGAACCTTGATAGCCATGGCCAGCTCGCTTCCCAGCTGACACGGCGGCCTTTCACTTGGCACAATGCTACCAGAGCCCTCTCAATGTATACGGGAATGACTGATCAGCGGCCTCGCGATGGTTGTTGGGAGCCAACTTGTGTCCTGTCCTCCGCACGCCCTTGACTCTCCAAAACACCACAAGCTTCGACTAACAACCAACTTTGGCTTGACTCCATTCAACTAGCGTCGTCAGGTGATGTGTTTCATTCGCCCGCCAGAGTTGAAGGGTGATCTGCTCAGGGGCTCTTCAGATCCAACGCTTGGAGAGGCTTCAACCAGTCGACTGACTGGTTATCTCGACGGCCAGCAGGATCGAAAACTGTTTGACCCAAAATACTTTGTGAATCTGTCCCCATCTAGAGTGGATACCTGGCCACTTCGAAGCCCACTTTGCAATGCCTTACTACAGTAGCGACGATGACTCCTATGAATGCGATACATGTACGCGTCGTTTCGCTACCTGGCGTGCCTGTAACCAACACATGGATGCTACAGACCACAAGGCGCCAACCTCTGATTGTGAGGTCTGCAACAAGACGTTCCGTACTCAACATGCGGCGAACCAACACATGGATGCCGTCGGTCATTGGGAGCAAGATTACTACCCTTACGAATGCGATACCTGCACAAACAGATATACGTCGGAGGAGGCCGTCCAGAGACACATGAAGGATGCCGGGCACTATAAATACTATTGTAAGGTCTGTGACAGGAAATTTGAGAACCGGAATAATCTGAACATGGTAAGGCTTATTTCTACTTTCCTGTACTGCTAGGGAGGTGTAAAGACCTGATATCAATTTCCCATGGCTGCAGCACCTCAGGTCGAGGGTCCGTGTAGGCAATGGCATCAAATGCCCCTTTTGCAAAACCGGCTACGCGACCGCCAGTGGCCTTGCACATCATCTTGAACGAGCTGCTTGCCCAAACGCACCATACATGAACCGGGAAACCATTCTCCGAAAAGTCCGTGAATGTGATCCGCATGGGCGCTTTACCCTCAAGCAGATCGAATGGCTTCAAGAAGATAATTCCAATTATTCAGCCACGGATCAAGCTTTCAATGGCTCGTCCTGGCAGTGTTATCTTTGTACATCTTGTTTTAAATTACGCCGAGGTCTGAACCAGCATCTCAACTCTCCTGTACACAAACAGAGTGTATATCGGTGTCCCAACACCCGAAGCCAATGCGGCAAGGAGTTTGTGACACTTGCTGCATTATTCAGTCATTTGGAGAGTGAATCCTGTTCAGTCGTGAGATTTGAGGCTGTTCAGAAAGGCGTGAATGATATGATCCTGAGAGGGAAAATGATAGCATTTTGATAGTAGCTGTTAATCATTCGGCATGGTATCAAGTTCTTTTTAGGCGCACAGGGTGGGCCGCATTTCACTTGTCTTGATTATACTGCTACACGCATTTCACCCTTTACAGGCCAGTGTTTCTACGTCTCATTTGGCATCTGCAGGATAATAATACAATATTTCCTATTGTTCCCGACGCAAATCCCATCGGGGAAAGTGGGACTTACACGTCTCCCCTACGGAATAGATGTCCCTAGGCAACCTCTTCAACGTGCCTTTGCAAACACGGATATGAGACCCTCAGTTATATCACTATCTACATCAAGTTCAGAGAGCAATGACTAACGCCTTGCTGCCTCTAGGGGCAACAATCTTTTGTAACTTCAGCTAAGTCAACTCTAGCAATTAATCTAGCGACTTACCCTGGATGACTTTGACCTGAAATGAAGTGATTACTGAGAAATATCTCCATGAAACCAAGCATATAGAATAAAAATATAAGTACAGTTGTAAGTCTAACAATGTGTATTATGGTTTCTTATTTCCATATATCCGATCGGGGCATGCTTCAACTAAATATCCCAATAAGCGCTGGGATTAAGAAGATAGTAACCTACAGAGTTGAGATGCATGCAAAGAAAAAACCCCATAGCAATTAGCTATATCCAAAGCAAACATACTTGCCGTTGATGCATTAAACAACCGATCCAAACACCACTCCAACCCCATGCCAATATCAAGACATCTAAATAAGTTCAATTATACACAGAATCGTTCAGCTCTCACCCGCATATTATATCTTACATCTATTGATTCTCTCTGGCTGCTCCGCCGCTGGCACGCCACCAGATGTCTCCTCCCCATTTCAGCAGCCGTTCGGCCGCTGCCGTAGGGGTATCGACGGCCGGGCGAATGTCGAGGAAGAATACAGGCTCTCCCGTAGGCTCGGGTGGGCCGGAGTAATAGTCAATCACATATCGAATCTCCTTATCTCCCTGTGGAGTTTTGCGCAGAACATACCAGTCATGTCTGTCGAATGGGGGAGCAGTACTGGAATAATCCGTTAGCCAGAAAGTCATAGAAAGAGGCTTGACTATATATGATGGTATGCTTACCCAAATTTAGAAGGGTATATTCTACCCAGCAACTGGAAAAACTGAGCCTTGGGAGTCAGGTCCTGTGGTCGACCCATGAATCTAGCCAGACGTGGCTCATCATCGATCCCACCGCCAACACCGGATCTCATTCTCTCCCGCTCCAGGTCCATGGCTAAATTTTCCGATCCACGTCTGCATTTTTGCCAGCCTTGAACTAGACCCTTGGAGAAGGTACGCTCCCAATCAACAATTTCCTGCCATGCGCCTTCATTCAGGAAGTTATGTACTGACACCATCGACTCGACTGCATCCTGTGGAGTGTCCATGTACCCTTTTCGGAGCATGGCATTGTACATTTGCTGGGGAGAAGGATATTCCCATTTTGCGCCGGAGCTGTCACCACGCGGAATGGACGATGGTTCTCGATCCACGGACAATTCGACTGTTTGATTCGGTGCTCGAGATTGAGATATGTCGGCAAACATGTAATTGAGCGGATTCAACATTGAAAGGACGGACTTTTGTTCAGGCTCAGGGGCCGAAGGTGTTGCATTTTGCGATTTTGCGGAGTTTGATGGAGGAACGTAGAATGGTGAATCTTTGGCTCGAATTGGACATGACCCTTCTGATGTAGGTGTGGCATTAGTATTCGTGGGCTGGCCATGCTGTACGGGACATCGAGACTGGTATAGATATGTTAGGTATTCCTCATCAATTTGGGAGGTAGAAGGGAGGTTGCTTACGGGGGCGGCATCACTAGGTGACGGTGACGGAGTAGGAATTTCAGGCTGCCTCACAGCCGGTGTTGCAGATGCCCAGAACCAGCCCATTTTTATCCCCTAAATAGATCTAATTCACAGGAGCTATAAGGTTTCAATGATGGATAACTCCTTGATGAAGATGAAGATGATGAATAGTTCAATAAGGGTCGCAGAACATCTTTTTTCCTCGTCGCAAATAAAAAAAGTTTGATAAGACAGTCTCACGTGACCTATGACGATCCAATAACCTTAAGTTTGGCTTCCGTATTTAGTCTGATGGTCCCGCGATCTCTAAAAAGCACAAGTATGCCTCTCAGCATCTTTCGCTATGCAGTTTTCAATGTCGATGCACTCTGCCAGCTCGCAAGCTCTTTACGCTTTGGGAGATGCTGCTGTTGCGATGTCACTCAAGTACCAGTAGGCGGCAGCTTGTACTGGGCAGTGTTCGTGTACTTTGACGATGGAGTCGAATGGGTGTTTCGATCTCCACGATATGATGGCGCTATCCGGTCCCTAGCAACAATCCAAAAATTAGTAGCGAGCGAAGCAGCTACGTTAAAATATATCAATTCATATTCAGCCATACCCGTCCCAGAAGTTTATGCGTATAGGTATGATCAATCTTGGAGTTTTCCTAGTATTCCGCTAATCGCCAAAAAGCTGCTCGAAAGACAATAGTGTTGGAGTACCCTATATTTTAATGAGTAAAGCCAAAGGCTCCCCTCTCAGCACAAAGTGGGAACCACGGGGGTCACAAAAATCGGCTCTATCGTTAAAAGAAAAGGCAAAGGTGTTATCTCAACTGGGTTCCATAACGTGGCAGCTTTCTCAGCTCCGATTTGAGAAGATCGGCTCGCTTTTTGAGGAAGAAGATGGCCATTTTCGAGTGGGGAGCTGTTTATCACGGGGACTGGTGGACTTTAACAGAGATAGCTTGGATGAATTACCCCGGGGGCCATTCTGCTGTGAGAACGAATACGTTGACGCCCTGGTATCAGGATTTTTGCAGCATGCCGAGTGTCTCCAGCTTCATCACCACTGCTTCTTCGCGCCCCTGCCGACCCGCAAGAGATATAATAATGATAGCGAATATCGCAGAGCGTGCGAGCAGTGGAATAATTTTGTTACTCTTGGTTCAAAAATTGACGGCTCTGATAATCGCACCGACTACATGGTAGTTGGACATTCTTTACGTGCAATAGCATCAACATGGACGATGAAAGGAACGGCGGCAGGCCCCCGGGATACTAACCTTGAATTTACCTTGCATCATCCCGATCTCAATGTGAACAATATATTCGTGGATGACGATTGCACAATTACGTGCATCATTGACTGGGCATTCTGCTCATCCGTCCCTTTGTCTGTCCTTCTCATGGCTCCTGGTCTTCCGCAATCCCGGGACGAATTGGAGGCCCCTTTAATTGCTGCTTTTGAAGACGGACTAAGTAAGTCAATATCTACGGGAGATACGTTACTTTCTAAGCTACGAGACTTTCCGAGTCGCAGATTCCTTTGGTTATTCTATCGACTAGTGAGCCTTGATTCCTTGGGAGACTACTCCCAGTTCAAAGAGATCTGGCAACTAAGTGACCAAAATAACCTGGATTTCTCGACTTTTTTTCAATCACAACAGCGATCGGATAGCTACGTAAAAAAGCATGAGGAAATGAAACAAGACGATGAACCTGTAGACCGCGTAATGCGTGGTGAGGCAGCCTACTTTCAGAGGGACATAGTTGGGCTGGCAGTATCGAGGAAATTGACCCTAGTTTCCGAATGGACATCTCGGTACCGCAAGAATGACAATAAAGGTATACGACGCAGCGGGAGCATATTTGTAGCTGATGACAGACTTTGGAAGTGGGTTTTAAGGTCGCTAGAGCAAGTGGAAGGCTGAGACCTGTGATCTCAATATGGAGGCCGCCGACCTTAGGGCCCATCCTATATCTATAGGCAGAAGAGCGACATTTAAGCCGTTCGTTTCCTTCTTGTGCTTCTATTAGGCGAAATCCGCCGCGGTGTTCATATAAGAGACGGCCGGAACTCCTAAAGGATAGGGTGATAGAGAAACGTTGGAAGTATGAGTACTTACTGTGATAAACTCGTGTGTATATACTGAATATTAAGATTTAGTTAATAGCTATCAACCGGAACTACCTAACATGTTACACATGAATTATTCAGGCAGAAAGGGATATCCCGTTATTGTTGTTGAAACTAATCATCGTGAATTCAAAATTTCCAATTTGGATAGAGATGGTAGAATACCTGAGGTCTACCTACAGAGAGCGCCGATGGCCGTGTGCAACTAGATCTCTCCAAGTTGGCTAAGATCATAGTAAAATGCGACAAATTTTTCGTCATTTAGTAGAAATAGACAGCTTAGCAGTTAGGAAATCTACCTCTATAGTAAGAAAGTTAAGTAAGTCTTTTAGGTATTAGTTATAGATATTATTAGCCCAATAATATAAAAACATTACCAAAAATAAATAACTAATACTTAATACATTACTTTTTAAACCAAGATAGTATTTAGTAACTAATATACTAGAGTAGGTAAGTTCAAAGCTTATTAGATAGATATTGTATCTATAATACAATTTAAAGCCCGCTTTAAGTCGTCTATAGGCCTTGCGAGCAAGACATAAATGAGTGACTTCGAGAAAATCAATCGAAAGCTCATAATAGCTGAGTGAGGATAAAACAAAGCTCTAGGTGGTATATACTTGAACGCCAGGCGGTGTAGAAGATCCGGAATAAAACAATAACAGATCCTCGCGTAAATGGGAAAAAAAAAAAAAAAAAAAAAAAAAAAAAAAAAAAAAAAAAAAAAATTACAAGTAGTTAGGACCGCAGGACATCTTATCCATCGATCTCGCAGATGGAGCTGAAAGACTGAGCCTCGAACCATACTTTCCTCCAAATATGGCCATGTAGCTGGCCAGCATAAAGATATCCGTGCATCACAGACTCAACTTCTTCCCAGCTCCGCCAGTATTGTAAAACAATGATATTGTGCAGTACTTCCACCAGCCATTTCCGTAGCGTCTGGTCCCACGCGCCAGAAATGCTGATGAAAGCCGCCCAGGCCAGCAAGGAGCGATCTTCATGTGACTGTTCGGATAGTGGTTGCACAACACATTTAGCAAGGGCGTCTTTCAGGTGCTTTGTTATTGCCCTTCCGGTTCCAAACTCAGGCGGGGAGACAACGAAGCAGGAGTTGAAGTAGGATAGGGCAGTGAGCCGAGCAACGGACTCTATTGGGTTTTCCTTTAATATATCCTTGTCTGAGACACCCTCGGCCTCCGGCTCGCGGTAAGGGTAGTCTAAAAGTTCGTATTCCATCTCGTGGGCCTTCATGAGGAACATTTCATATTCTATGTTCGAAAGTCCTGAGGCATCTGTACGGTTGAAAATTTCAAAGAAAAAAACATGGCGGATTTCTTGCATCAGGGAGATTAATTTGGAGCTAAGGTGTTTATTAGCGCATAATGTTTTGGTAAGGTGACGTAGTTGGGAGTTTGGCGGAGGTTCGATTTTTTCCCTGACTTCAGGCGGAAGGGCTTGAGGCTCCCAAGCCAAGGGGAATATTGGGCGGCTTAATAGAGTGTATGCGGCTTTGAGATCACACCTGTGGGTTGGTTAGTTTAGCAGCAGCTCCTATATACAGCCCATAGAAGAGAGAATATACTTACGTTAGAACGGCCCCTATGCCACGGGAGCCTTGCGTAGCCATTCTTACAATTCCACCACGGAAGTCAACTATTTTCTTCATGCCCTGCCAGTGAACTCTGGCTTCTTCAAATAAACCTAGTGTTAACTATTCAATAGCGAGGTGAGGTGTTAGACAAGTTGGTCTTACAAAATCAGGGAGTAGTGCCATACTGTTGCAGATATAAGGCCTGTCACTATATCTATTGCAGTATCATCGACTGCTTTCATCGGGTCTGGGTCTTGCAGTTTCCGGTTCATCTCTGCTATACACTTGGCCTTCATAACGTAGTAGGTAGGGTCTAGTAGCATAGCTTCTTCTTTATCGGAGCCTGCCAGCGATATTGAATGATGCTGTTCAAAGATGGCTTTGTGCGCGGCGCTGAGGGTCATCTGGGCAAAAAACGAAGCAGACGATGAAAGAGCCGAAACCCTCATTATGGCTAGCCGTTTCTTTGTCTCTGTTTCTTTTCTGGCTTCAATGGGGAAAGTCATGGGTATGAGGCAGTGGTTGACTATAATCGGGTGGTAAGACTTTTTTTTCCTCGCTTCACCGCACATCTATACTCGACGGTGAGGCCATGTCACTTACTATAGTATACCAGGTTGCTGACGACATGGCCTATTCCCTCAAAACCCTTTAAAGTATCCATCGGATCCAAAGTTTGGTATACAGCGGTCGTCAGAGGGTTGTTGAATATATAGAGCACCTTGGTTTTGTCCTTGTTCGTAAATAAGACCCATGAGGGCGGCGGCCTCCCGCCTGCGACTGCGTCTGTTGCAGACTCCTCCTGGTCATCTGTCTGGCTCTGGACAGCAATTGTTGTTGCTGTTGTTGTTGATGATAATGATGATAATGATGATAATGATGAAGTAGAAGAAGGAGAAGGGGAGGCTCCGGCTTCATTCTTCTTGGACGTCTTCTTTGAGACTCGCTTGAGACCGGCGATTCTCTCTCGACGACGCACATCTCGCATTACGTGAGACCGTATCATCTTGCGGGTATCAGAACCCTTTCTCCCTTTCAAGGCGGCCTCATCATCCTGCCCGATAAAGGTGAACGACGGGCGCTCATGAGCCAGCGATTGTTCTGGAATGCCTTGTTAGCAAGTGATATTCTAAAAAAAGACATCCCCCCCCCCCCCCCCCCCCCCAGACTCGTATTTTCTTCTCTATCAAGACGAAAATAATGAGTCTGGCTACGACAAAAGCCATGCTTGAATGAACATCAAATCCATAGCCGAGCTCCCAGGAACAAGCGAAAGAGAGAGAGAGAGATAGAGAGGGCACACGACATGAGGGAGCCACAGCCAACAGGCCAACTGAACGTACCTGGCGACGGCCGTGGGCGAGCCGCGGGAGGCGTACCACCGCCGGATGAGGAAGACGAGGAGGAGTTCGGCGACGCAGCAAAGCCAGTGGGAACGATGATGGGACTCTTCGGAGGAGCCATCCTGCAACCGGCTTCAGAGGGAGGCCGAGAGCGCCTTTGCCGTCGTTTCTTTTCTTGCTTTCTCTTCCGCTTTTCTTTGTCTCGTGCTTTCTGGCGCCTCGCTGGCGGTGCTGGCAGGGTCTGGTTAGATGGTCGACATGAGTGATCGACTGCCAGGACCGCGCTAGATCATAAAAGATATTTATACGCAGTGTACGAGCACACGCCGTTTCAAGCGTCCTATCCGGCCTTCATCGAAAAGCAAAAAGGACCTGGAGAAAAGAAAAGAAAAAGCGAGCGAAACGGGGCCAAAAGGGCGAAGGTCGCAGCTGGCGCTGAGCAAGCAGGATTCGCCTTTTGGGCGCCCGTATAAGCCGGTTCCAGGCCGTTGTTTATCTAGCAGGGAGAAGCTTGCCCTTGTTTCTGCTTCCAGGGGGAGAGAGAGAGAGAGAGAGATTACGCAGCAGAGAGTTAAGTAATAGCAATAAGATATATAAAGTAAATATATGTCAAGATACCAAATATTAAAAAATGGTTTCGTTTTGAGGGCCGTCGTTGGTTTTATTTTAGCCTTCGACCGGCCCGTCTGGTGCGAGACCCACTGGACAGCGTTGATGTAGCATCTAGCATCGGCTGATGATATGGTGATGATGGATGGATGGATGGAGGCAGACAGCCGGGCAGGCAGCGAGGAGATGGATACGCTTGGGCGGGAGGTTGATATCAACAGCAGCTCTGGCTTCACCAGCTCAAACAGTTACATATTATATCTATAAGAAGTTACATGGGACGCCAGGATGATGATGTCTTGCAGCTACAGCAACAAGTGACACCGACAGCTTAACTAGTTTGTCAAAGAGGGACAGGGCGCGGCCAGCCAGACGCGGCTCTGGCCTGGCTGGGTTAATACATATATAACGGACAGCTGGATACACTCCGCGGAAGGACGGATTGACATGATGCGCAGCCGGGATGGGCCCCTGGTTTCAAACAGCTTCTTGACCGAGATGCGCCACAACGCCCGGGGGGGTTGAAAAATCAAGAATTATCAGAAGCGTGCTGCCAAGAGAGGATGTTTATCAGTCAGGCTTCAGGGTCTGTTTCATGTCTTTCCGTTCCGTATGTTATTGTTATTTTGTGGATGGATGCGGGCGTAGCCTCTTCTGCACATGTAGCCGGCCGGCCCCCAACAAGAATGCTATGAGTGGTGTCGACAGGCTGCTGATGGAGGGAGAGGTCTGTCGATTGGGCAGAAGCCAAGGAATGGCATGTGTTGTGTGCGTGTGTGCGTGTGCGTGTGGAGAGATTGCCGGATGGGCGGCTGATGTTGAGATCTACCAGGCCCGGAGGTCGTCGAACAGTCGTGATAAGAGTGCATACCCCAGCACCAGGCCGATGCATATCCATACTTTATTTCTTCGAAACCAGCTCTCCCCGGCGTCTCTCGCCCTCTGTCCACCCTCCACAACAACCCCTAACCCTGTGGCACTCCCACCGCCAGGCCTGCGCCGAAGAGCATTCGTCTCAGGTGAACAGGCGCTACTGTTGCCGCTACTGCTGTTCTCGGCTAACAAGGCTTCATTAGGGTCGGGTAATATCTGTCCCGTCGCTAGATCAACCCGGCTGTCCTTCATCCATTTCCAGTTCTCCTGGTCCAGTTCGGGCCACTCGGCTCGAAACTTCTTGCCCCCGTCTCCGGCCTTGATGTTCGCAATCCCCTTGATCGTTGACGTGACGCCAGGAACGGCTTTTGTATAAGAGCCGCCACCGGTAGAGTTCCACCACCTTGACCTCGCGGCGAATAACCTGCGCTCGGTATCGGAGGCACTCACACTCCCAGTCGTCATCTCCTCGCTGTTCATAAAGGATAGCAGTCCGATCAGGATCGTCGACACCTCCCACGCCGGGTTGAAGGACTTTGGGTGGAAGTCGCTTATACTCAGGCACAATCGTGTGGATGGCATGAATCGCCCGCTCGGCGTGTGCATTCTTATCGCTGGGGGCGCAAACGGATATTCAGGCGGGAATATTAGTGTACCCCAGTACTGGCCATTTTCGTACGGTGTCTGGGGTGCTCCTGTAAGTATGTAGTGCCATCTATGCGTTTCCATCGAGTTAGCCGGCAAGCTCAATCTGGCGAGGACCAGGCCGGGGGGGTTGTCCCGTTCAAAATGAAATAAAAGAGCGTTGCAAAACGTACTCTAGTATGTTGGACTCTGACGGATGTGCAACAATGTATGGCGGTGGGTTCTTTTGGATATTTTGGTACTCGCGGGTGAGCTAGAATTCGGGATTTCCCGTTAGCATGGCCGTTAATGGGTCTGTCATGATACATCAGATACTTACTCGCTTGGTGGCGGCTTTGGTGGCCATGATGCGCGGTATCTCTGGCTGGTCGGGCTGTCTCTTTCGCAGTAAGAGTAGTAGTTTAAGGGGCGTCCTCAAGAGACGAAAAACGCGAGCAGCGTTGAGAATTGTCAACCCGGAGGAGCCTGCACTGCAGCCGACGAAGCTCCTGTCAACTAGTCCGCCGGGGACAAAGCACTAGTATAAGGGGAATGAAAGCGCCGATGCCGCTGCTGATGCTTGATGCTTGATGCTGATGCCGAAAGAGAAGAAGATGAAGATCTTTCGATGTTTTCGATGCTTTTTCGCTGCTTCTTTCCATGCAAGCCACGGCACGTGACTCTACCTTCCCGTCGTCATACTCACGTGATGCTGCTTTAGTTTCCAACTGGCGAAAGTTGAAGCCGCGAAGTTGCAGAACAAGCAAAAAGGACGAAGAAGCGCTTCAAAGGGAGCATCGAGGAGGTTGACGGCCCTTGACAGACGCCAGTCGACAGCTGCTGCAGAAGCCGCAATGGTTTCTTCATCTAACGGCGGAGATGAGGTTTGTTGGTTCGCCCCGGGGAAGCGAAACTCGATTGGACCATCCGGCTTACCATGTTTTTATGTCTTATTTGCATAGATCTTCGACCGGCTTCGAAACCCGGAGGTGGACCCAAAGGTGCTGGAGGAGCGCAAGAAAGCTGTCAATGAGCGGATAAGCAACATCTACCAGAAGGCCCAGGCTCGCCTTGCTGAATTGGTCAGTGCTGGCTGTTATTATGCTTGTTTTGTGGCATTAGACTGATTTCGTCTGGCATGCAGATTGACCAGAATTCGACCCTACCATGCACCATCTCCTCCGTCCAAGTCCTCAATGCGCCGCATACGAGACGAGGCTTTCTCGAGAAGGCTCTCAGCCCTTTGCTAAAGGAAAATAAAGACCGCACACTTACCCTGGCCGAGACTCTGGAGGAGGTGTCAAAATGCACAGACAGGCTAAGTCAATTCGGTAGGTCTCGAAGCTTACTCAAAATCTTCATACATCTCGAGGTTTATGTGAATATTCACTAATCTCTACCAACAGACATCTTCGAACATCCAATTGGGATTCACCTCGATAAGCCGTCACAAACCGACCCAAGCACTACTCCTACCGACCTCAGCATATATCTTGCTACCAAAGAGAAATCTAGGCTTCTTGTGAAAACCGGAACCGACCTTGGAAACGCAGAAGGATCGGCATATGCAAACGTCCTCTGGAGAAATATCCTTGGTGGTGCAGAAACCTTGAATCTCAATGCTTCCCTTGGCACGCGCACGAGGTCATCTTACCAGGCCATTTTCGAAACCCCGATTCTTAGTGATCCCAACTTCCGATGGGAGACCGGTGTCGTCGCGAGTGATACAAAGAAACCCTGGTCAAGCCACGAAGAGGTGTTAAAGGGCGGCTGGACCAAGCTCCGGTGGCTGAATGGCCATGGCCACCGACAAGAGCTGGCTCTCAATGGCTTCTGGCGCCAGGTCACCGGTTTGGCTACCGATGCGTCTTTGGGCGTTCGTGAAAACGCCGGAGATAGCGTGAAGACCAGCATCTCGCATACGTGGGTTAACGATCGTCGGGATAACCCTATTCTACCCACTAGAGGATTTTATGCAAAGACTCTAAACGAACTGGCTGGATGGGGTCCCTTGAAAGGAGATGTATCTTTCTGGAAGTCGGAAGTGGAAGCTCAAACAGCGATTCCAGTCCCTATTCCACTAGTTAAGAAAGATTGCGGAATAAGTTTCACATCGAGCTTCCGTGCCGGCCTCCTCTACCCGTTGGGCCTTGACTCCGACCCCAAGCCTCAACTCTCGAGGATCAACGACCGCTTCCAACTTGGAGGACCAACAGATGTCCGTGGCTTCAGGCAATGTGGCCTCGGACCTCGTGGCGGCTCAGATGCGCTAGGTGGTGATGTATATGCTGCTGGAAGCGCTAACCTCTTCTTCCCTCTTCCCCGGGTTGGCGCAGACAAACCTTTCCGGCTCCAAGCCTTCGTTAACGGTGGCCGTCTTCTTGCTCTGAAAACACCCTCCGGTGCAGCTCCCACTACCCATGCCGAGGTTCGGGAGAGCGTCTTCCATACCTTTAGCGAGCTTCAGAACGGCCTCCCAAGTGTTGCTGCCGGAGTAGGACTTGTTTATGCCCATCCTGCCGCCAGATTTGAACTGAACTTCTCGCTGCCGCTTGTCGTTAGGAAAGGAGAAGAAGGCAGAAAAGGCCTTCAGCTTGGAGTCGGAATCAGCTTCTTGTAGACTACCTGTATCAACATTCATATATTTTACTATGTTTAAACAAAAAGAAAGAGGGCTATAGAAATCCATTCTCAATTCATCATCGCCATCAACACTTTGTAGGTTGTAACTTTGACGTTCAGTTAAGAGTATCCACCACTGATTGGCGCGGACCATCCAACTTTCCATCCTCCACCAAAACCAAATAAATAGGTAACAAGATAGCAACGTCTGGAACTTGACAGCAACGACCATTCTGCAGCTTGGTCAGCGCATAACTCGTGGATTCTATTTATTTATCCTGCAGCTTAGTCCCAGTACACTCTGTGCGACAGACAATTACCTTCTTCGACCCCTTCTCCCACGTCCACCGCCCGCTCTCCTTGGGATTCGTGGCAACCTCACCGCAAAGGCCACCATGGCCGGGTTCTACCAGCAACAGCAGCATCAACCGTACGGTGTCCCTCCACAGCAGCCCTCGGCGCAAAATCTACAGTTCTATCCTTCCTTATATTCGTCGGTCTCGGGACATACAACGCCCGCACAGGTCTCCTACGGTGGCTATGGAGGTAGCTCATCATCATCTGCCTACCCGCCATTAGGCAGCGGAGGAGCGTCCTTTGGCGGATCAGCTGGCTTTGGTGGAGGTGCTGATGCCGTCAGTGGTCGAATGGGTGAACAAGGAGGGTTACGGATGGGATGGCTGGCTGCATTTGGGACAGAAGGCTATGAGGATGAACCCCCGTTGCTTGAAGAACTAGGGGTAAATTTTGAGCATATACGCACGAAGGTAGGCGCTCACATCTGCTTCGATTCAGTGCGTGTGCATGTTTTTGCTTTACTGACATCCAATGCTTGATAGACACTCTCGGTGCTAAACCCCTTCGCACGAATCGACCAGCACTTGATGGACGATAACGATCTCTATGGCGCCCTTCTTTACATTCTGCTGTACGGAACGTTCCTCCTGTTATCAGGCAAAGTATTCTACGGCTACATCTACGGCGTAGCTGTTTTCGGATCAGTAATTATCCACCTCATCCTCAGCCTGATGTCACCTACCCTTGACCCGTCGACAAACGGAGTGTCCCACGACCCCACAGGCATGAACATGAACATGAATCCTTCAGATGCTGGCCACGGCCATGGGGCCCAAGGGGGCCATTTCTCATCGACTCTTACTTTTCCTCGTTCCGCCAGCGTGTTGGGATACTGTTTCCTACCCCTTGTCCTAACCAGCCTTGTGGGAATCTTGATACCCATGGACACCGTATTCGGCTACTTACTTACCACCGCCGCTGTTGGGTGGTGCACGTACAGCAGCTCAGGCATGTTTTGCGCCGTAGCTCGAATGCGTGGCATGAGATTCTTGGTCGCATACCCTCTAGCACTGTTTTATGTCGTTTTCGGGATTATGGGTATCTTCTCTTCTAGAGGTGGCGGCACTCTAGTCGCTAAGGCTACTGGGGGTTAATACAGAAGAAGGAAAAGCGTTCCACAAAGTATATGACATTATATGACCCTCTTAATTACTCATCTTACCTGGGTAAAAGCTGTGAGCATCAGCTTTGGAACCGTTCAGCATAAGAGTAGCATCGTTTCAGGGGAGGTCCGGAGGTCCGAAGAAAATCGATGAGGCCAGCTATGTGTATTTGGGATGGCACTTTAAAAATATGAGATATCCTGTGGCTATTTAATTACATATAAAGCGTTTTCATCTGACAATCCCAGTACTGCTACCTCGTTGACTCCTTCTCCCGGTCGTGGTGGCACGTAATCAACCTGCCTACCTGCTATTGTGTTTGGAGAAGAAGATGATATAGATGGTTACGACCTGGTAATTGGGCTGTTTTGGGCAAGGAGAAGAGTTGTTATATTTCTCTAAATAATAGCTTGATAAGGAGTGAGAATCCATATCACCTGCAATGTACTAGAGCAGGACCCTAAATCCTTCTTCTAGAAACACATCCCATCAGCTGGCTATCAGCATTATTAAGGGACTGAAAAGATGGCATGGGATATCCTAGGGAAAAAAATAGAGGACAAAAGAGCGACAAGATGTTTATGTATCTTCATACAACGACAAGCTTAGAAATCCAAGTCCACATCAATGTTAAAGGTGATTGGCATGTTGAAGTTGATATCTCCCATACAAAATTGATACTATATTTGAGAGGGGTTAGTACACAGATATCATTGATACCATAGCTACAAATTGCGAGACGGTAACTTACGCCATTGTCGTTGTTGCAACAGATAACTTTCTGGTCGCAGCTTGTCCTAGACTTGATACAGGTGTTTTCTAAGGAAACATACTAGTTAGCGTAGGGCTGTAAATGGTGGAAACTGGATGAGTTGATAACATACTTCCATCCTTCTCATCACAGCAGTAAGAATCACCAGTCTTGCACAGATTACCCTGCTTAGGACTAGCTTTGTGGACACGGTGAGTTTCGCTATTGGGGCCATCTTCTGAAATTGATGGTGAAGATGAAGGTGAAGATCCCATAGTCTCTTGAGGACTAGCCTCAGCCTGAGTTGGGGAGGCCTCAGACTGGGAGGCCATTCTAGAGGCGGCCGAGGTCATTTCGGGGGCAGCCTGGCTTTCAGCAACTACAGTAGTCGTCTGAGGGGCTGCCTGGTTTTCAGTGGCGGTGCCAGTCATCTCAGGGGCAGCTGATGTCATCTCAGTAACGGAGACAGACGTCTCAGAGGGGGGTTGAGTCTCAGAGGTAGGTTGGGACTCAGAGGTAGTTTGGGTCTCAGAGGTAGTTTGGGCCTCAGAGGTAGCTTGTGCCTCAGTGGCATCTTGGGTTTCAGTGGCAGTAGCAGATATCTTGGGGGTCGCCTGGCCTTCAGAGAGGGCAGCAGAGGCCTGAGTTGGAGCAGCCTCGCTTGAAGCCTGTTCCTCTGTGCCAGTCTCCGAAGCTCCAGTTGATAATGGAACTGGGACAGCTTCGGAAGTCACATTTCTAGCACGGGGAGCATTGAAAGCTCGGGCTTGAGACTCGGAAACAGGGCTTAGGGTTGTGCTGCCAGGACGAACTGGAGAGGCTGTCACTAAAGAAAGGTAAATGTAGAAGGAAACAAGATAAGTTGCGTAAAAAACCTTCATTTTGGAAAGCAGGTAGAAGTAAATGTGACAATGCTTTCTTGAAGTTGACGAAACCAGCTAAAAGGGGTGGTGAATTTGCTGCTGATTGCTGATTATACCCTTCCCATCCTTCTATCGAGGGAAGATGTCCTTTATCTATAACTGAAGGTCGACTGAAAATGCGGTGCATTGTTCACCAAATGAACAACGAGTGAGAGGAAGCAATATTCGAGCAGCTTGAGAATCTTCCCCTCTCATCCCCCGCTCTGAGTTATCTGTGTAAGACCGATACCTAGAGAGTGGCACAAGAGTCGAGAGCTGGAGAATACCTTCAGGTTCTGTAAAAGTGGTGGTATTCCGCCGTCGTGGCCATGATCTGTTGGCTCCACCATTTTCAAATTGACCATTGCCTCTCGATAACGGAGTCACAGATCAATCTCTTCCCCGCTTGCCTGGTCGTGGAGGGGAAGTTGAAGCAACACAGAAGTAATGTGGTGACCCGAATATAGATTCTTTTAAGGAGATAGATTGCTGTCATCCCTTCCCGGGATTTGGAGGCGTCTTCATGTGTTAAAATGCCCCAAAACCTGTTCCTAGAATTTTCATAAAGAGACTCTTCAAGATAATGAAGTATAGATACGGATATATAGACGAGCAGATAGGTACTTTCATACCCATCCATCTTTAACCGCGGGTTACACAGCCATGGTTAGCTCCCATGTTCCTGCAGGCTGATGGGTGCGGATAATAGGCATCCCAGGAACTCCCTGGGGAGACGGAGACTAGCGATAGTCAGGCCCAATTGAGGGGTTAGAGTGTTCGAGTTCATGGTAACCAGCGATATTTTTTTCGTTTGGTGAACAATGGTGTCACATACGGTGGACGAGGCCTCTCGATTTGCCAGCTATGAACCTCGTGGAACGCACGTCCAACCCGACGACGGTGGAACATTGACCAACCATTTCGTCCGAAAACCGACAATGCAGCACCTATCAGATCCAGGTCCCTCCATCCTTAATCGTAATCATGTCATCTTTGCTACCGCTGCAGAAGCTCGACCGAACCATAGTGAGCTTGTGGTGACGTACCTTTACTATGCTCCGAAAGGTTCATTCCGGGCTAACTTGGCTTGGTGCTACCAGCCAGCATCGGGTGGAACAAGATGACAGTATTAGGTGGTTGACAACCAGGCGTGCACAGTGCTAGACAAAGATTGTTCCATGGCTCAAAATATGTTAGTCCTGGGGTGCCGTAGTCCTACATAGCATTAGCTCACAGCCTAGACGAGCTCCAGCGGCGAAAAGGATGCAATGATCAGGGCCGGGTGTAGCCATTGGAATGCCTGAGTCATGTTGGATGGGAGGTAGTAGAGATGGTATAGGCTCCATAGTATACCAATTCGTCCTTGGAAGGGGAATCCATCCTCTCACAGCTGAGGAGAATTATTGCCTGGGAAAATCAGGGCAAATAGCTCCCGATAGTAATATAAAAGGCTCTTAAACACCCGGCAAAGAATCTCCCTTTCTGTCACCACACACAACAAGCAGACATCAAAGCCTTCTCTTCTCAAGTTGACTGAGTCCGAACACATTGCTCTATTTAAATCAACATGCAACTCACACAAGTACTTGCCGTTGCCATCTTGGCTGCCGGCGTCTCTGCTGGCCACAGGCCTCATCGCCCACACAGCAACAAGCTTGAGATTCAAGACGTATGTAGACGTTCTATTTTCTCCATGCACCTAATATGCACTTAGTCCCATATTATCAAGGTCCGGTATTGACCCAACTGGCGTCTGCAGATCAAATGCCAATCCGGTGCCCCTTACTGCTGCTCTCCTGAGAAGAACAAAGGAAGCACCTGCACCAAGTTGACCGGTAGCTCAGTCAACTGTGACAGCGTTGTTGTCTGCTGCAACAACAACGGAGACGTGAGTATCCCTCCCCACTGACTCATGACTTGGTGTCAATATTGACCCGCGAGGCTTTGGCGATATAGAAGCACTCTCCTCAGACCTGCTCTGCCAGCGTTGCGCACCCAATCACTTTCGTTGACGTCGATGCTAAGTTCAGAATCGACCACAACAAGGTGTCCCACAACAGGGTCAACGCTAAGCAACGCCGCGATGACAAGAAGGACTATGGCAAGGACTATAGCAAGAAGGATTATGGCAAGAACGACTATGGCCACAAGGACTATGGTAAGAAGGACTATGGCAAGAAAGAGTACGAACCCAAGGACCACAAGGACTATGACTATGGCCATAAGGACTATGGCCACAAGGACTATGGCCACAAAGACTATGGCCACAAGGACTATGGCCATGATGATTATGGCTACAAGGGATATGATGACAAGGAGTATGGATACAGGGGATACGACGACTACTACTAGATCGAGCCGCCCATAACCAAGCCTTAGCCCAGTGTATTGGTTCACTGCGGTCAAATTCGATCTGAGCCGTCGGGCGCTTTTGGGAATCCCCAACGCCATATCCTCTGCTTCCCTCGCATTGAATCTGTGCATGGTGCTGGGTATATAATAATGGGACTCCCCTCGTTGCTTTGCTTTTTCATTTCCTTTTCTGTTTTTTTGCCCTGAAAATCCTAATGGAAGTAATCCTTCAACCTCAAAAGGGGCAGAAGCTCTTCGGTTTTAAGTTCGGCAGAGTGTGACGGTGGATCTAATAGCCTGGGATCTAACCCCTATTAGTTTATGTTCGCTCATTTCTCTAATAAATTCTTCTTTCGTCAGAATTCTTGTATCCGAATCCTTCTTAATAAATTCAACCTTTCTAAATTGCAGTCGACCAAATTGATCCGTAGGAAAGATGTTCCCATAAACTCGTAAAAGAGGATTGCGTTGTATCCATTCTTATCTGCATTAGTGTGTATTGGTATTCGTAAGGATCGTCTGATATTCGTGATTATTCACACAGAAAATTCATATCTAGTACAGAGCTGCAATCAAGATGAGCTCGTATATGTCTCTCCTTTCTTCGGAGCCCAGTTTTGAAGCCATTCTCGAGCCTTGAATGGGTCTCCGCTGGTGGACTCCATGGCTGCTATGCACCATTCTATTTCGTAACTTTCTGTACGGGAGCCCGCGTCAGCAACGACTTCGGCTGCCAAAATTTCAGCTAGTTCTCTCCGTCTTCCGGTAACTTCGTCTGTACAGAAATACAGAGGCGAGGTATTAACAACAGTAGGTCCAATAGATACGCCTTCAACCAATGGCTTGATCATTGTAAGGATCTCTTTAGAAGCAAGTGTAGCCCCAGGATCAATCTTTAAACTGGCACGGCCAGTCTTGCAGTATTTGTTGCGGCACCATGGTTTTCCACATCCAGTAAGCATTTGAGAAAGGTACTTCCGCTCAATACGACGGCGGAGTGCCTTACCCTCAGGGTCATAAACATCTACGTATAGAGGGCCGAAGCAAACTTTGCAAAGTCCAAGGGTATCATTCGTCAAATCTCTTTCCTTATAGCTCGGACCATTAATTGTCCGGCTACAGTTGACATTGAGGCATATTTGTGGGGAAGGCCGCGAGACTCGGTCAAGTTCGTGATGGCGTAAATGGGTATTCATATCCCGAAGGCGAACAATTTTGTGACACAAATGGCAATCTGTTGTTCTTCCACCATCAACCAACTCGTGTGGAGTGAGGTTGGACAGGACTACTTCTGGATCTAGGACGTCTGGGTCTGATTCACCTTTTTGGGGAACAACAAGATGGCAGAATTGGCACAGTATCAGCTTCTCAGGGCATACTGTAGTCCGATGCTGGGCTAGATCTGGAAGGTTGCGGCAGACATATTTGCAATCCTGGCAGGTATGGGCGGAGTGGAATACAATGTTATGTCTATCCTGACTCGCAGCCCCGCTTCCATTTGAATCATCATGGGGACAATGCCAATGGTTTTCCCATTCGGGCGATCGTTTCTGGAACACTTTCTCGCATTTAGGACACACCACATTGTTTCGAAGACAAAAATTCTCGTGCAGGACCATGGTTGATTTTGGAACCCATTGACGACAATTTGCGCATTGAGTTTCGTCAGAGCCACGAGCATTTTGGTCTAGACCACCCGCTTCCGCTGCAGCATTAGGTATAGCAGAGGTGTTTACCCGTAGCTGGAACCCAATCGGCTGCGTGTGGCTTGGCTTTGTAGAACCATTCTGCCCTCTCAGCTGCGTATGAGATGCATAAATCGAAACATATAAACAATCCACATCGTGCGGTTCCACGTTCGTAGGTTTGATCTCGATCATTTTCGGAAAGTTGGTCGAGAAATTTCCCCATACATGTTGGTCTCTGCGAGGCCGAGCTCTTTGCCTGGCTGAAAATGGGGATGCAAAGATATCAACGGCCACCTCATCATTATCAAGGTCCAGTTCTAAGATTAAACGCTTTGACCATTCCCAGGTCTCAAGCTCATAATCCACATAGTCTCCTGGAAGCACTTGGCCATTGATTTCCTGTCCATCTGTGATCTTACCACCGATTGAACTTTGCGCACCGTTTTCAGGCGCTCGAGTTTTCTTTGCAAGCCTCCTTTTCAAAGTCTCCCGGGCTTGATCCTCATCCATGGGTTCTATGTCCACCTCTAAATCCGTATCAACAATACATATTGCATTCCCTTCTGGCTGTACCTTGTCGATGAGGAACTGCATAGTCTCACTTCTGTTGGCCACAACTGTCAAAACCTCCCCCACGGAGAGTGTTGTATAATTGTCCCGCAATTGCCGCTCTAATAAGGCTTTCCAATCTTCTACATCATATCCTGCTTCTAGTGGCCTCAATCGTACATAAGATCCCTTAGGAAGTTGGGTAATGTGAACCGTGATCGCAGGTAGCGTGCCTGTCTGGGTGGCGTCTGGCTCAACATCAAAGCTATAGTCCTCTATACCAAGGCTTTCACGAAGGAACGAGCTCAAGGAGACCTCATTATCATTAGCAGAGAACTCCCTGATTCCCGAATGCACCACTCGCCCATTAATAGGGTTAACGAGGCGGAACGTCAGAGGATGGGGGAGGTCTTGTTGTCGTGCGTCGTTGCCACCGATGGAACTGTGAGAGTTGAGGTCGACAGAAAAAGGATTTTCCTGCGTAGAAGACGGGATAGTTCGGACGGCAGCGAGTATCTGTTCAAGAGCTGTTTGAGGCAAGGTGATCTTGTCTCCGGTGAGCTTCAGAGTCTTATTCGGCGGCGAGACAGCGAGCTTCCTGCTCCACGAAAGCCCCTCCATATCTCTAAACCCAGGCCTGATACTAATCGATGAAACAAATCCCTGTTAATAAGGGGAAAGAAATCGTCGTGTCTGCCGGCCACGGAGTGGCTCCAAGCTGTCTTATAACATCATCCGCCACCTGTTGCGAGTGCCTGGTCAACGATCCTCTTGGAGAGACTGTCAGCGAAGTTCGTGGAAATGCCCCGGATGATGTAATCAAATATATTAATAAGCCGTGTAAATATTTAATATGGTCCGTGCAAGCGTACCTTACGCTGACTCAGCCGTGTAAGGAAGCTTTAAGGTTAAAAGCCAATCAAAACTCAAAACAAAGATACGGTCTATGAAGGTGAAATTAATTTCACTGGGAAGATATATCTACATCTTTCCTAAATATATACATAATAAATTATAAATTTAGCGGCGCTTATCATAGAAAACCAAAAAAAAAGCATAGATCTCATATGACATCTCATTCCTCTGCCCTCTCACCAAACAGGGCAGCCAAAACTCTCTTGCTCCATTGGTGCATTGGTGGGCTTTCTGGCCTTCGTTGCTTCTGGTCGTAGACCATCTTAGAAAGCTGCTTGTACTGGTAAGTGGAGTCCATATCGTATCTGATGCCGTGGTCCGAGTCAGTAAACCACTGAGTAGTCAACTTGTCTGCAGTTACACCGCCGTTCATCAGGGTGTTGGAAAGGACAGCGGCGTTTTGGAAGTGGACGTTGTCGTCACCGGTTCCATGCTGGATGAGATAATGACCTTTGAGGTTCTTAAAGCCATCAACCTTGTGCACGGCGGTCTCACTGTAGCCGTCAGCGTTTAGTTCAACGGTCTTCATGTAACGCTCAGTGTACATGCTGTCGTAGAGTCTGAAATCAGAGACAGGAGCAGTACTGATACCAAAAGTGAATACACCACTGTCGGTCTCGAGGGTCTTAGCGGTCAGGAAGCCGCCATAGCTCCAGCCCCAGATTCCAATATGGTCCTTATCAGCCCAACGGTTTTTCAGCACCTCCTTAGCAGCAAAGACCTGGTCCTGGGCTTCGAGGAAACCGAGACGCTTAGCTACGGCGCTGCGGAACTTGCGGCCCTTGTAGCCGGTTCCACGGTTGTCAACAGTCCAGGTAACGTATTCAAGCTCAGGGTCAGATGTAATGTAGGACTTGAAGTCCAATGAATTCCATGCCTGGCTTACCTCTTGGGCACCAGGGCCACCATACGGAGTGAAGAGGACGGGGTACTTCTTGTGTGGGTTGAAGTTAGGTGGTAGGCGTTGCTTAACATTAAGGGTTTCACCAGATGGAAGCTTGATCTCAAAGAAGCTAACCTTGGGGAGCTTGTACTCCTTCAGCTTCTCGAGCAATGCATCATTGCTAGTGATTGTCTTGAGAGGCTTCTTACTGTCCTTGGTGGAGTAAAGTTCTTGGTATGGAACATTTGGACCTTGGTAGGACAAGATATAGTAACCACCCTTGGCCGAGAAGGATGCAGTGTAGTACGCAGCCTCCTTATCGTTGACGAGAGGGGTCATGACCTTTGTGTCATACGAGACAGAGTAGACGTGTCGAGTGGTGCTGTGATATTTGGTAGAGGTGAAGTAGATCAGCTTCTTCTTCGTGTCAACCTTGAGAATGGCAACGACTTCCCATTCTCCCTTTGTTAGTGCAATCTCCTTTCCTCCATCAACCGGGTAGAGGTAGATATGTGCCCAGCCAGAAGCATCAGATATATCGACGTAGTACTCCTTGCCGTTAACGTTTCCGATATATGACATGGAGAGAAGGTTGTCGATCCAGCCGTCGGTGCCATCTCTTTCGCGAATAACCTTGGATTCCTTGGACTCAACCTTGACGCTGACAATCTTTTCTCTATCCTGGACACGGTTGAAAGCACGATATGCTACACTATCATGGCCACTGCTGAGCCAAGCAACCTCACCGATCACAAGATCGTTTTCCGGGAACGCAGTAACTGGGATAGTTGTCTCCTGGGATGAAGCAATGTTTAACAGGTGGAACTGCACGGTTGGGTTCTTCGCAGAGACTTTAGGGTAACGGATCTCCAGCTCCCTTGGGTAGGCAGGGGCAATCTTTTGCTTGTTCTTGTAGTACGGAATAGTGTAGGTCGGGACTCCAGTCTCGTTAAAGCGGAGGTACGCAAGGTATTCACCGTCAGGTGAGAACCAAAGAGCGAACCGGTCCCCGAAGATTTCTTCCTCGTATACCCAGTCAGGGACACCATTGAAGATATCCGGGCCGCCATTTTCGGTAATACGCTTGGTCTTGCCATTGTTCCAGATATACAGGTCGTTTCCACGGACATAGGCGATAGAGTTGTTCATGGGGCTCCATTGAGCATACTGGATGTCACCAGCCTGGTCCTGGGCTAGAGGGGTCAACGATCCCTTTTTGATGTCTAGAATGAAGTAGTTGGCAAAGTAAGAGTGACGGTACTGCTTGGTGTAATTGGTTGCCCATAAGACAGCAGAAAGGTCTGGCTTGAACCAGTAGTCATAGTAACCCTTGGGTACCTTGTCTGCGGCCACGAGAGTCTTGTTGGTGTTCGTGACGATGTTCTGGAGGATCAATGCTCCATCGTCGGACTGGGAGATGTACTGGCCATCTTCTTCACTGTTAATCCAGGCAAGGGACGTCGACCTTGGAGAGATAGTAGCTCTAGGGACACACTCCTTGTAGGTCAACAGCTTGTTGCCGCCACCAGTTGGTGGACGGGGCTCACGAGGAGGAACGATGGCTTGGGCGATGCCCGCCAGCAGAAGTAGCGAGAGGAGCTGGAATGTCTGTCAGTTTAACTGTCACTGCTTCCACCACCGGCTGTCATGTCTCCAGGCACCGCCACCTACCTTCATGCTGGAGTGACTAGAGTAGCAACTCAGAAATCAGGGAGCTTTGCTTACAAGCGCAACAACTGGCCGCAAGAAGAGAAAGAAAGCCGACCTCTCCACACCCTGACAATGTGCCTGAGCGGGAGGGTTTAAATACTTATCCCAACTCACATTCTTCCCCCCGTATCCCCGTAAAGAGTTATCTCACTCACTCCTCCCAGCTCCTTCGTCCGTTACCATGCTTCTCCATGTCCTGGGGGAAAAACCCAATTCAGCTCCACCAACAACAAATTCCCTGCCTGGAGCTAACCCGCATTCTGCAAGTCGGAACGGAGTTGCACAACATACAGGCATGGCTCTTCTCCATTTTTATTGTTATCTGCGCTCCCCAGTCTTGCCTCCCTTGGCCTTTTCTTCTTGGCCGGTGAGGACAGTGCAGGGATGCAACATCGCCTGATCGTCTGGAGAGTCGATCCCCTGCTGTTCCTTGGGTTAGAAGCGGAAAGCTTCATGAGGCCTCCCTTCTTGTCTCTCTGCCTCTGCTTCCCTGTCCCCTCGCAGGGAAAAGTATGCGTTTCCTCGTTTCGCGCTTCTTATTTCTCCATCCTGGTCAGTCCTTCGAAGACCATGGCTCTCTTTGTTGCCCAGTGTCTGTGCCAGAGAAATTTGACGGCAAAATAGCCAACACTTGAGCGAAATACAGCTCATTAAACCTCTTGGGATTTGACTTTCGCCGGCGTGACCCTGTACGCCTGGGTTAATCTAAGGCCATAGGTGACCTCGTATAGAAGCAACAGAATGCCTTTCCCTCATTCGCTGCGTAAAATGAGCCCAGAGGCGAGGAAGCTCTCGGAAGAACAGATCATCACTGGAAGTTTTTTTCATTCTATTATTAAATGCGTTGTTTGTTATATAATTATAATGTGCCATCATCGGAAGCGTTGAGATATTAAACTCTGTAACTAACGACCTCAGTACGGCGGACTATTTGTGCCATCGGGTCAAAATTCATTTTTATAACCAACTTATATAAAAACACGCAGAGAAGTAGTTTTCTGATTATATAATTAACTAGATAAGAATATAAAACTTAATTACTAAGTAATACTCCTTATATTTTATCTTACTCGCCTAAGTATCCTTTTTCTTAAGGATACACTCTTCCTTCTTCTTTGGTCCACGGCCTGGCTCCTCTCTCTAAGTCTTCTTCCCCCAAGTCTTCTCCTCCCTAAGCTAGCTCCCTCCCCTAAGCCTGCCCGAAGCCTTCCCGCTATATCTACTCTCCCTCTAAGTTGCTCTCCCCTAAGTCTACTCTCTTAGCCTCTTCTAGGCCGCTTTAGGGGCTTCTCTTACTTAAGTCTCTTGCTTCTACTAGAGAGAGTATACTTAGAAAGGCAGGCTTAAGAGAGAGTAGGCTAGGGGGGCTAGCTTAGGGGAAGAAGGCTTAGAGAGGAGCTACGCCGTGGACCAAAGAAGAAGGAAGAGTATGTCCTTAAAAGGGTACTTAGGTAAGGTGTGTAAAGTATTTATCTACATAAGAAGGACCTATTTAAAATACCTTTATTATTATTGGTTACGTGGAACTATCTCTTACAAGGTAAAAACGAAGTCTGACCCGATGGCACAAATAGTCAGCCGTAGCAGTAAATATGTGCCTCATCGTCTTGAGCAACTTAACACACGAGACCCAATGGAGATCATGTTTTTTTAGCGTTTGATGCTCTGAGACATCATCTTAGCTTTCAAATATCAGTGTAGTGTCATACTAGTAAGGCACCATCAATACTGCTACCCCCCTAATATAATACAATATATACTATACTATGTTATTCTAACTCTCATATTCCTATCAAACAGGTTACGGAGCTTTTTCAGGGCATAGTTATGTTCTCTGGGGAAGCTTCGGCTAGAGTGATCTGATCTGCTGAAGATGACCAGCTAGCAAGAATTACCGAAATCTTGAGCCGGTTTCCAGCTCAATTTATACAACCAGGTTCGCGCAAAATCACTTTTTTGAAACCCATTGATATGCCTCTCTGTCTGAAATTCTTACGTTCGTTGATTTCCCGAAGAACATGCTGGAAATCGACCCTAGATCAAAGAATTCAGCGGCTGAACCATTGCAGCATAAGTGGTTCGAGTTATAGAATACTGTAGAATGGTACCCCAGACTATAATTATCATGCGATCAAAGCTACTGGGAGGCAGTCTTTATATGTGCAGCCATGGCCGAAATAGCTCCTCCCATAATACCCTATAGTCGTACCGCACTCCTTCAAAGGTGGACCAATTGCCACTCTCGAAGGAGTTTATGGCGTTTAGGCGCAAATATCTAACTTGAAAGGAGTATCAAGTCCAACTTTCTCTATCGCAGAAAAGGTCTTCAATAGCATAGCTTCTAGGGGGAATCTATAGGATCTTCACTCAACCACTACGTCTGCAATGAGCCGTACACTTTTAAGCTCAACCACTACAAAGCGGGAAGAGGTTTTTGGGCCAACCAACTGGACATCGTCCTTAACTTTTGGACGTCAAGTCTAGCCCCTGAATCTCAGAATCGGGAGTTGAGCAGGCCCCCTAGCGATCTGGTCGATATGCTAGCGTACCTAAATCGTCGGATTGAGGAGTGCAGCAATGGGCTCAAGCGTATATTCAATGATGGGGCTAAAAGTGCTGGGCTTGACCAGATTTTGGAGCAACTGCGAACATGTTCCAAATCTTTTGTGTGCGGGAAAAAAAAAAAAAAAAAAAAAAAAAAAAAACTGAGGAATAGAGAATGCGGGAAGAGTGGGAGGGGATTTGTAGGTCCCAGTAGAAAATATAATTAACCGTTTTTTAACTTTAAAGCTTCTTCAAAATAGTCTATCATGACACCAGCATTTGTTTTATTCTCCAGTAACTGTACCATATATACATGACTACAAACCAATGATGTCATATATGGTCTTCCTTTAGGGCCATAATGGGGCAGTATGTATGGACCAGCCTATCAATTGATCAATCAACCAAAATGAATAACAGATACAGGACTCGTTCATGTATGCCCCAGAGAGTATCAGTATCTAAATGGATACTAGCATCTATAAAAATGCTAGTGCTCCTCTAGATTGTGATACCTGTTTGGAATTAGAATCTCGAGGACAGATACATCGATTTATTTACCACTGCCGTTGTATAGAAGCTTGTTAGTGGTGTTAGCTCCTGGGTTCAGGACAGGCCCAGAAGCCATCTTGATAAGCTCTGCACAAACGGCAGATGGAGCAATTCCCTTAGAGGCCATGAGAGTAGCACCAACACCACCAACATGGGGGGCGGCCATGGAGGTTCCGGACATGACTCCGGTTTGGTTATTAGGCGTGGCAGAGGTGATTCCCTGACCGGGTGCGTAAAGCTTCACTGGATAAGTTGTTAGCTCCGGAGGTGCAATTCGATGCCAGAGTCAGGTAATCAAGGGGAAACTTACCAACGGATCCATAGTTAGAGAACTTGGCTTTATCGTCTTTGATAGTGGTAGCAGCGACACAGCAGACATTTTCCGCAGAAGCAGGGCTTTTGTTCGTTGCATCTTGCTATGATAGAGTGTTAGTATGGGAGAGTATATACCCGTAACTATTGTGGGTTGTGACTTACGTTGTCGTTACCAGCGGCGACAGAAACAAATATACCAGCCTTTGCCGCATTGGTAATAGCCTGATTGGCAGCTACCACCTTTCCGCCGCTAATCGACAGATTTAAAACTGCCTTCCCAAGGATCTCTTTCTCACGGGCGTCATTAACACACCACTCGAGAGCTTTCATAATGTTGCTCCATAACCCAGCACCGTAATCGTTAAGAGCCTTCACGGCAACAACGTTAGCCTTCTTAGCAAGACCGTATTCAATTCCTGCGGCGGTGGCAGCTGTGTGAGTTCCGTGGCCATGACGGTCGTTGTCCTTGGTACCATTGACAACATTGATACCCCAGACAGCACGCCCGCCAAAGTCAGGGTGGTGGATATCGATTCCAGTATCAACGCCGTAGAATGTTATACCGCTACCAGCGTTTTCATCGTAGACGTAATCACGAGTGCTGTCCATCCGGTGAGAGACTCTTCCAAGTCCCCAGGACGGGGCATCCTTTTGCGTGACGAACCCGCTGATGTAAACGTGGCGATCGTGCTCGACAAAGTCGACCTACATGCCATTAACACTATTCTAACACAGTTCTCATCCGCTCCAAGTAGCGTTACGTGTATCACTCACCTTGTCATCGCCAAGAATGCTTGCAAGAGTCTCACTGTCAAAGGATCCGCTGTATGCATGCCATCCGTTGATCTTGTAGGAATGTCTGAAACCACCCAGGTTTTCGGTACCTCGTTTGGCAATACCCTCACGATGGAGGTCAGTAACCCAGGACACATGGGAATCTAACTCAGCGGATGAGACAGAGTCTTTCATAACAACAAGGTAGAAATTTGGGATGATGTCCTTGCTGTTCGCAGGGCTCAGCAGCTCAGCAGCATCCACGGCTGACAAGGCAGCAACTGCCGTGAATATCACTTTGAAGAGACCCATGGTGTAAATGATGAAGGAAGTTGTGGTTGCAACAGAGATGCCTTGGATTGAGGCACTGTTAAATCATATATAGATCAGGATATCTAGGGAACCTTCGGAGAACCTTGGGGGTTTCTGAGGGATCTACCATCAAAGATATCTTGGAATAATATGCGTGATTAGCCGTTGAGTAATGTATTCGATGTTCCACGAGACACATTGGATATAGATAGTCTCCATCCCGGTAGCCACTCATGCAGCTGAATCTCAATGAGGTAGCTCGGCAACTCGTATCTCTCCTCAACATCGCTAGCCACGGCACTGGTTGTTACAGGGGCATGTAATGTAGATATAACTACACTATCTGCTAGCCCAGTGCTCATCGTCTTCTCGAGACTAGCATTAGCATACCGAAGTAGGATGTTAGCCTAGTTGTCTTGGTAGGGGGAATAGTTTGATAGGTCTAGCGAGCACTATTCTATCGTGTTCCTATAAATCTGTACCTATCTCTATAGGCACTCTCTATTTAGTCAATCATCTATGGATTGGTGGGTATCATTGTATTTCTGTAACTTGCACTCCATCCTCTTCTCACGTATTCCAAGAGGGAAACAGCCTTGGATGGGGGTATCTGTGACTTGTGATAGTTACTCTTTGTCACAAAAATCGTTCTAATCTGACATTAAGGCCAGTCGTTAGGCTAGCTAATTTCCTGCGTCAAACTAAGCTTCTCCGCTACTGGCCGCCACTGTGGTGAGGAGTATGCATAACTATTCGCCAGGTACCTTCGGACGAACGGAGAGATACCGTGAGTATATAAAATCGGTGCGTGAAGCCTCAGCTGTTCGTGATAAAACTGGACGAGCTTCATGGTGGTTGCTGGGGATATCCTAGATGAATCCCAGCTGCGGAACATCCGGCACGGAAACACACCAGGAGGAAACACTGGGTGCCGAGAGATAAGACGACCCCCTCCTCATTAATTGACAGATGCGAACCTGTCAGCGATAACCAGCACTGAAACGGTCACTGCAGAGGCGAACGAGATACAATCTCTCATACAGGATGAGGGAGTATGTTGTGCTTCACCCATCCCTGCATCCGCTGCTCTCCAGATATTTACACCCAATAAGTAAAATCCGTGACGGGATTAAAATAATAACACGTCTCACATATAACCCAGGTAGACTCTCAGGCCACCGTTTATGGACATCATATCTGAGAGATCGGATGTTGATGCTTTTCAAGGGGGAGTCAGGACGGCATTCCTCTTCTCCTTCTTCCCGCAGGTACCGGAGCATAAAGTGACCAAGGGATGCCAGGTAGTTAGTTGACCTTACCTAAAAGGGCGGTGGCCCCTGCACGGCCCGACTGCCAAGACTAAAACCGGAGTAATATTTATACCGTACTCCGTGATTATATAATCAATCTAGAGCTGCCCAGGTGTCCAGCTCGGAAAGTTGGAAGGCTCGGCTTTTTTAACCTCGGAAGACGGAAAGGGGCTTTTAAGTATGTTGGAAGCAGAAGAGAGAGCCGACGAGGACGACAGAGAAGAGAGATGGAGTTATGCCGCGCATTTGTGAATCTCATTTGATTCAGATTATACTCAAGGTGCTAAAAATTTAGGCGAATTGGAAGTAGATGCTGCTGCTTCCCCTGATGTTTACACTCACTATCTACCACTGAGTTATGGCCCCACCAGCATAACGAGATGCTTCCAAGTTTGTGACGTTTGCCTGCCGCAGAAGCTGCCAGTTACGTAGTTGGCTGAGATTCCAGGCTGTTTATCGTATCATGGTCAAGCTAGGAGCTACAGTTATGGTACCTTCGTAGCGCCAGAGTATATAAAGCTCGAGAACCCCTCTGCTCGTCTGAGTTCTCTTTCGTAAACCCAAACACATCGAGCCAGCTCATCAATCGATAAAACTGCACTCCAAGATTCGAAACTATTCTAATACATATACTTATAAAACCGACTCTTTCACTCCGATTCACAATGGACACCTTCAACTGGTCTTACCACTCCATTGCCGGAGCTTATGTGCTGGGCCTGGCACCACATTTCGTGTTCTTCCTTAAGACCCTGAAAACTGGCAAATACTCCAACCTAACGTATGTTACCTGCCTAATCAATTGACCCGTCATCAACTGCAAAAAGCCGACTAACAATGTCTTAAACCATACACAGGCCGAGAAACACCCTCGACTCGCTTCGTGGCGTCATCCCGGCCGAACAATGGAACAGACTCTTCAAGCTTAGGAGCATTCATATCAATGCTATGGAGAGCATCCCGATCTTTGCCGCTGCCATCGTAAGCTTCCATCCAGCCTTTCTACACAACGTTACTTGAAATCCCTTTCGTCTCTAATTCGGTTAATCTAGCTTGCGGGTAACATTGCCAAGCTCCCAGTCAGCGAGCTCAATTACCTTGCGGCTGAATACCTCGGATGCCGTGTAGCCTTCGCAGCTTTGTACTTGGGTGCGGGGTCAGAGCTCACCAGCTACGCAAGAACTGGAGTCTGGTTCTACAGCCTTGGACGCCTTCTATTCACCCTGATAAAAGCTGGAAATGCTGTTTCTGGTCTCCTCTAAACAGTGCTACTACTGACTTCACTACAAGGATGTGATGGTTTCAGCCGCACTCGATGCTTGGTGCTAGAGCCGGATTCCATTTCCCTGTTTCCCCCTGGATCTGACCCAAGCTCCCCTTGACTTGTCGGTTTAAGAACACACCTTGAAGTGGGCTTATAATACCCCTTATATAATGACAAAGTGTTCTGTCTTAGTTTGTCTTCAAGATTGGCTGGAGATTGATTGCTACAAAGGGCTTAGGGAATCGTATAATAGCAATGTCAAGTTCCCAACCTTAAAACGCCTATGTATTAATTCTCTCTAACTAGTTATGCAAAATACCTATTACTATTATATCTTTGTGAAAGACAAACAATGAACAGCTGGAAAGGAAAAGAAGAAGGAAAACTGGAAATAGGAAATATGATGGCCATCAACTTCTTGCTCACTCGCCTTTTCGTTCTAATAAATAAATGACTTATACCTATAATGGATAGATAATTTCCCATCCACATAGGTATATCGCGAAGCACACAGTTTCAAAATGAGGTTTGGTGGTAGATGGTTTGGCATGTCTAGCTTTCAATGTCCTTGGGAGCACTGGCTCTGGTTTGGCGCCAGAGGCACGCACTGCATATAGCAGAGAAGGCAAACAAAATACTAAGCTCCTTATTAGATATCTGGCTCATTGACTTGGGCAATATAACAAGCACTTACCAAAGAGCAATGCTCAGGCCCCAGATCGACTTCATTTCGTAACAGGTGAGCTTCGATGCTCCAATCCAATGGGTGTAGCTGATCTTTCCGCCATCCTTGGCGAGGCTCTGGCCAAGGGCGTTGGCAAAATCATACACAGATGAATGGTCGCCGGAGACTTGTCCGATCACATTGCAGTTCAGATACGATAGCGGTTTTCCGACAGTGACAGCGACGACCACGACGGCAATCAAATGGGCTCCATCCAAACCAAGGTTGATCAGGTATGGGAGGGCCCCGTCAAGGAAAAGGATGAAGGTGATGGCGCAGTACAAGACTGCAATGACGGTCTGGTGGTTCCAGTGTTAGACTTATGTGGTAAATGTGTATTTAGACATTCAAACTTACCACACTCAGGGTGCCGATGAGCACATCTGGTGGAGTTGCATTTGCGTTGACCATCTGAGCGATGAAGTTGGCGGTCATTCCAATAATGGAAATAAGGCAGATGGCCTGGAGTATGCGGACCGCCTTAAAAGAGGTAGCGAGGGCGCCTTGTGGACCAGCCATAGTGACGAGTAAAGTTGTGTTCGAGGGGAAAGGAAACAAAAGAGATAATGTCAAGAAATAGACGATATGCCTTGGGAATAAATGTAATAGACAGGGAGTGAAATGGATCACCTGGGTCGCTGGTATACGAATGCGAGGAAATATGCTGATAAATGGAGAGAATATGGGATATAGTTGTATATATATGATAAAAGTGTTGAGATAAAGGAGATTGAAAGGGAAAACAAGTTAGAAATGGAATGATATGAAATATCAGAAATAAAGAAAAGAAAAAGGAAAAGGAAAAGGAAACAACACTCTGTCAAAGAGTGAGGATGGTAGTTGATTGTTGATTGCTGTAGAATAAGAGGAAAACAGGAATGAAAGAGAAGAATCACTGCCTTTATATCTCGATCTTTGGGTATGGTCTAGACACTGGTCTACATCACTACGCGCTGTCAAGATAGATCATTTTTGAAGGTGAACGGCAAATTATTTTTGGATCGTCGGGTCGTTCCTATTCATAGAATTGTCTAGATCGTACTCAAGATTCTGTTTAAAATACTGACTTCGCAAAATCATTAAATTATTAGAACTTGGACGTCTCAAGGCACACAAGGTTGGGTATTCCCCCCAGCAAGCGCTGGCCTTCCCAATGAAATCGCGAACAATCGGTTTCATAGAAGCTGACACGGCTCACCGAACCTAAAAGGCCGTGTTTGGGGCCCCGGAGTCCTGGGAGAGGCCCACCCACGAGCACCCATAGTGTGGATGAGCTGCGTCGTCGCTGTTGGGCTGGCTGGAGCTTGGAGCTCGAATCTTGGAGCTTTGGTAGCAAAGGAGTTGCTGCTTTTGTTTCTTGTTTGGCCAGAGCGCCACATGGCCCACCACGGCGCTTGCTCTTTCACTTGGCTGCTTGCTGGCCGCAACTCTCAGCCAAACGATCGAGAGGCCAGACTGAGTCTGAGGCAGAAGCGGGACCGATCTTCCTCCCGACTAGACTTAAGATTTTTCAAAGCTCGCATTGGATTCTATTTTAGTTGTTGATGTTTCGTCGTCAATCTCGAGACGGTCCGTCTATTCCCTCCTTTCAGCCGTTATTGGCCCTGCATATCACGTGTTTCAGCCCAGCCTACAGCGGGCGCTTAGAGCAAGGCAAGTTTGCTGGTCGGTGACATGCCATGTAGAATCCATTACGGAGTTTATGGGGCCTAGAATGATTCAGCTTGCTCTGACGGTCATCATTTAGTATGTTTGGCCGGGTTATGTTCAAGACAACTACCTACTCCGTGCTGCCGTTCTCGAGCTCTAGAATCCTGCAGGTCAACGATGGATAAGCTGCAAAAGGAGTAAGGGATGATAAACGGAATCCTTGGACGTACTAAAGAGTCAAGTCTCGGTCAATAATAATGCAAAAATAACTAGGACAAGCCCACGTATTATAGCCAAACCGCATTTTAGCCTTGAGACACTTGGCTCGAGAGAATTTGTCCTGCGACAGCCTCGGAGGGTCAGGCTCGAAATCCACGGGCCGATAATTCTGTTTCCATTCCCCTGACTGTGCTGACCACCTCGCTCTGCTCTGGCCTGATGTTGGCTGTTTGTTGTGATTCAACTCCACAGTATTCCACCATCATGAAATTTTTACCACGTGACATTATGATTACATAAATAAAGTTTACATTGAGCCGCATCCGTTGGTTCTTGGGTCTTGGCATAAATGCCCATTAAAATTTAATCGAAACGTCAGATCGAGAGCTTTTCGGCGGAAGCAGGTACTACACGAATACTAAGATGGGACGGCTGTTTTAATCATAAGGCAGCTCAATTCTTTTGCGCTGGTGCTAAGAGGATTTTTGGGTCTGCGATGTCGTCCCGTCGATGGATGAGGAGCTCTCTGGATATTCCAGGGAAGCTGGGTTGGCCGTTCGTCTGCTCACAATGCGCGACAGCTCTTGGACGCAACTTGAGTCGGTCTGCTGATGTCTCTTCGCGTTACCCGTTCTTGTACCGTGGCAATGGCTGCGTGCAATATGGCTGCGTCCCTAGACGGTCGTTTTCCAATACAGGAAATGTAAGTTAAATAAATCAGTGTCAGCAAGAGTAACATGGTCTAATTTGTTGGTGGATACGTATAGGCACGATCCTCGACCGAAAGCTCCCTTATGGATGATCGTATGAGAGAGCTCATTGAACAAGATATGAAGAGAACGGATGATATCAGAACCTACCTTCGAAAATGGATAGAAAAACAACCGAAAACTCTAGATCCCATCATGGAATTCAACGGAACCGCAATTGCCCCATCTACACAGAAAGTTGGTGGCATGTTTCTCGACAACTCTGTCCTTAGTGATAATCTTCCCGAGCTTTTAGGAAATTCAGATCTAGAGGGTGATCCGTTACCGTTTCTACGCCCTGGAGATTTAGTTCAACTACGACAGTGAGCACTGGTGTCAACATAACATAGATATATGGGGCTGACAAGCATTTAATAGTCAAAATGGGACTTCTTCAGGTCAGCTAGCTGTGTATCTTCGCACAGTCAATGACCAGCAGCAGTTTTATACTACCAGGGGGAAATGGCGAATTGCTCGACCTTCAGAAGTGAACTACATTACAAAGCATCGCTTTTCACCCGAACTACTCGAGCCGATATTTCCATACCTTCCAACAACGGTAATTGCAAAGGGAAATATGCCACAACTAGCCATGGAAGGCGGTGTTCCCCGTCATATTGGTGCTACTTTGCTCAACTCAATCCTTGAGTTTGAGGGCACTGCTTCAAAGACTTTTGCAGAAAACACCACTATATTAAATTCTGTACATGACCGCCTTGCGAAAGATACCGAGCCAGTCACGCTGACCCTCGAGCAAATCGCCTCTCAGCTCCTAGGCCGAGACCCAAATACCCTTTCAAAAGCTGATAGGTACGCGATTCATCAAGCAATTGATCAAAACCCAGTCTCGATAATTGCGAATCAGAGTTTGTCTGTGGTTGAATCGTACACATTCCGCCCAAAGGCGCAGACAGAACTGATCAATCGTGTAATAAAGTGGATGCGAGAGTACCAGACCCTGAGGAGTAGCGGCATGGGGAAGAAAGAAAAGAGATCCTCAAATCGCAATCCTATTGGTACGTTTGTTAAAACTGCTCGACAGTGGATTTATCGGAGTCGTGCATCTCGAAAACCTACGCAGGCGTACAGCTTAAGTCCAAGAATCGACTTCGTTGGTGATTCTGAACATCAGGCTGAGCAACTGAAAGAGAGCTCAAAACCTTCCACCCCATCATTTTCCGAAACAGACAGAGATATAATTGAATTCTTGAGGCTTTGGATCCTTCCGCCACTGTTTGTACGTGATTCTTCTCTTCGAAGCACCGGGTCCTTCATACTTTTTCATATTGGTTTATATGACAACTTCAACCTGAACGAGGCTACTGGATATTTAGCCCTGCAGGAACTCGGCATCCTAACCCCTTGGGAGAACATCCATGTCCTCAATGAACAGGTCGCCCTTCCTGGCCATGGCCTATCACCAGTATCTGACGCAATAGTTGAAGAATGCAATAAATTTTGCGAAATGCCTAGCTGCATAGATACCTTGGTAGATTCCATGAAGGATTTCCGCAAAGACTGGGGAGACACACCAGTGTTCTGTGTTGACAGTGCATCTGCTGCAGAAATTGATGACGGGTTCTCACTTGAGCGTATCGCACACTCATTGGATAGATTCTGGGTTCATATCCATGTTGCCAATCCGTCGGCGTTCATTCCTCATGACCATCTCCTTGCTAAGGGGGCATCCCATTTTAAACGCTCTTTTTACACCCCCGAGAGGGTTTATCCAATGTTCCCACCAAATCTTATCAGCGAGAAATTTAGTCTTGGGCCTGGGAAACCAACCATAACATTCAGTGCGGTTGTTAATATGGAAGGAGAAATCCTCGATACCAAAATTACTCATGGTTACATTAACAATGTTCTATACATTACGCCAGACAGACTACGAAAAATGTTTGGTATTGATATAAATGAAAACCCTTCAATGTCCCTGGAAGTTGGAGGTACCCCCAAGGGCCCAGAACGCCCCGAATTACAGGAGTACATATCTGAGGAACACAAAGCCATTCTTGAGACTATGGAGAGGTTACTTGCCGGGCGTCGAGAAAAACGTATGAAGAAAGGCGCTATAGAGTTCTTTTCAAACTATCCCTCGTCACCACTTGTTTCCGGAGGTGAAGAAGGTGTACGTTCATACACAGGCGATATTTCGGGACGTTATGATTATAATGATGATCCCACCATCGGAGTTAGCGGTCAATTTATACAGTCAGATGGATCTTTGGAAGCTACAAAAACTGATTTTGTGGCTCATGCTATGCTTCTGGGCGGAGAAATTGCTGCTCAGTGGTGCAAAGAGCGCAACGTTCCAGTCATATTCTCGGCAGCTGCCTACAATTTGGATAAAGTCACTACGGAAGACCAAGGAGAGTTTGTGCCTGGTTCATCACCATATAGCCAACTACCCAGAGCCTTTTCGTCTTCGAAGCCGACTCCTCATATCACGCTTGGTATGGATCAGTATAGCAAATGCACGTCGCCCCTCAGGCGTTACTCCGACTTAATCGTCCACTGGCAAGTAGAAGCGGCTCTACGCCATGAGGCAAAGCAAAGTATGGCGGACAAAAGTGAAGGATACCCCAATCAAGTAGACGAAACTGTTCTTCCATTCTCTCGCGAAGACATCAAAGCAATCATAGTCCGCTCAAACTGGCAGAATAAAGCCGCCGACAGGGCACAGGTGCTATCACGGGAGTTTTGGGTTCTTCAAGCCTTATTCCGTGCACATTACTTTGGTGAAGCAAATCTCCCAGAAGGTTTCCAGTGTGTTATCGTCAGCCAACTTCCTGCGAGTTCTAATTCCACTTCTGAGCCAGACGAGACACGATATACAGCAAATCTGCTACCTTTCCGGGTTCGCTGTGTCGTGACTACTGACAAAAGCTGTCCCGAATTTCGGCCAGGTGACTTGGTGGAAGCGACTATTTCTAATGTCAACCTCTACACTGTACTACTCGGTCTCCGAGCAGTACGCCTCGTCCACCGCCCTGAGAAATCACGAGCTACTGTACCTCTTGGGTTTCTTCATTGACCTCTTAAACTGTTAGACTCATATCATTCTGGAAAGACGTCTTAGAGAGGTAAAATGTATTTATACCCTGTCGTTTTGGAATAGCGGCTGTACATTTACAATGGAGTTACGATATCCCATCTCTGATCTCATGCCCCCTCTCGATGTTAATAATTCCGCTCCTATACATAGCTTTTGCTTTGCTTAGAATTTAGACATTCCCTCTCTATACAATGTAGATGAATATCAATTGCAGTGTAGTTGAGTTTTCGAAGAAGGTTCAATGACAATTAGAATATATCCATGGCCAAACGCCCATCATAGTTGCTTTCAAATCGTAAAAAGGATTCCGGACGCTTCACGTAAACTGATGATAGCCTTCTAGGTTTGAATCCTTGCCACTAGACAAGTGCTTTCCTTCAGTCCATGCCAGTGTGTTCAACAAGCGAACGGACTTCAACGACGTGCTCCACCTCCGCAAAAAACCAAGAAAAAGTCCCATCTATCGTACAAATATTGCGAGTGCAAAAGGCGGCCTCGGTTACCGTAGAGAAAGTTCTATACGTCGATCATAGTTCAAAGGCTAGATGAAGAAATAACGTTAGCTGAAACGTAGGCATAACAGGTGGTAGTAAGTGACTTACGCAGGGAGTAGCCATTCGCTAAACGGGCTCTGAAGGAAAGCAACTGCGGCCTGTGAGAGAAAATATCAGCCAAAGTGAACAGGTGTATAACCAAGGCCAACCGAATTTCTCTAGCTTATCAACATCCTAAGGACAATATAGGAGTTAAACATACTCCGAATATGAGAACGCTCCTCACTACGGTGGCATTCTCTGATGAAGTCAACTCAGAGTAAACCGTTGACACAGTACCACGGGGCTCCCCACGGGAGGGGTGCGAGATGACACGCTGCTTTGGGGCCATTTTCGAGAGTGGTGAAGCTGTTTTGTCTTTGTGTTTTCCGTTTGGAGAGAACTAAATTTGTTGTGATGATGGCGATGAGTTTGGATTTAGCAGTTGCAGTTGGTTATAAAAATTTCGGGGAAGGAAGATAAAAGTTGCGCGCTTGGCGTCTGCTCGTGGACGTAGAACGAACTGCATACAAAGCTTTCACTTCCGGCGCAAGCTTGGAAAGCTGTCTTCGGCACATGGAAATTTCTGCATATTTGAGCTCTGAGTGGTTGAGATCCACGTCGTATAATTAATAGTCTCGACGTCTAGTAACGCCTGGCTATCTATTTGTTAAAAAGATGTCGAGCATTGATGATATTTTCAGGGTAAATGATTACAGCTCCCGTTACCTGCTAGAACGCAAGCTGACCAACTCATAGAAACCATCCCATCCCTCAAATATCAAACGAAAGCTTGAGCCGGCGCGAGATCCGAGTATGTTCAGGTGCCTATATTGAATGCGCTTACCCCGGAATAAATATCCTCGATCACTAATTAATATCATTGCGCAGCTGAGATATACAAGGCCGCGAAACTCGACGCGAACGGAGACACTATAAGAGGCAAAGAAACAACAGTTGAGGATGCAGAAGATGATGATGTTGCCGGTCCTGAACTTCCACCAGACTTTGAAGAAGATATCCCAGATGATGAAGAGGGTAGATTTTTCGGAGGTGGTGTAACTAAGGACACCACCAATGCCCTTGACTACATTGACAGGCATGAGAATGAAGGAACTGCGGTAATTGAATATTTGAAAAGCTGTGTGTGACTCGCAACCGCTAACTCTAGATTTAGCCCCAGGTTATCGACTCAGCATGGTTACGGCGCACAGCCCTGAATTTCGAAAAAAAGATATCGAAGAATGCTGAACTCCGGGTTAAATTTGAAAATGATCCACAAAAGTAGTCAATTCCCATCCACCTTTACTCTTGTACGGATGAAATATCTAATGAATTGGCTAGGTTCATGGCTTCTGAGGCCGATTTGGATGTTGAAATCAAATGCCTTTCAATCTTGTCTGAGCATCCAAAGCTCTATAAAGAATTTGCTGAACTTGGTTGTGCTGGCTCACTAGTTTCCCTGCTAACCCATGAGAATACGGATATTTCAATTGATGCGATAGAAATACTCGGTGAGCTCATTGATGAGGATGTGGAAGCCGAGGAAGACCAGTGGGATGCCATTGCAAACTCCATGGTAAGACGGACCCCTTGTTCCAACTTCTCATTTTATGAGCTAACTATTTCAAGTTGGACGCGGATATACTTGAACTTTTATCACAAAATCTCGCACGATTAAATGAAGAAAATGAGGTAGACAGGTCCGGTATATACCATATACTAAGTATGCCGCCACATACCCCTGGAGATAACAACAGCCTTTCTAACGCAACTAGATATCCTGGAGAGTTTGTCCTCGAGACCATCCATCGCAGATCGGATTGGACAGGAGTCAGGCATCATGCCGTGGCTGCACGAGCGCATATCAAAAAAAGAAAAAAGGGTATCCCAAAATAAACAGTATTCTGCTGAGATGCTTGCTATATTGCTACAATCTTCATCAAAGAACCGACTGCGATTCATCAACCTAGAGGGAGTTGATACGTTGCTCCAGTTATTGAGCGTATACCGAAAGATTGACCCCCAAAATGATTCGGACGAAGAAGAGTACTTTGAGAATTTATTCGATTGTTTGACTTGTGTGGTAGATGAGGATGAAGGTAAAGACAAGTTCATTGAAGCGGAGGGGGTTGAACTTACACAAATTATGCTCCGCGAAGGCACGCTAAGTAAGCCACGAGCTTTACGTGTTCTGAATCATGCCCTCGGTGGACGAGGAGGGTTACGGGCATGTGAAAAGTTCGTTGAAGTCGGGTTGCTCAGAACAGTCTTTGGCATGTTTATGAAAAAGGTAGCTTCCTTTCCGACACCTAGAGAATCGCATAATTCTGACAACTGGTTGGTACTTAGCAAGATAAATCACTTACGGAACACCTTCTGGGAATCTTCTCGTCATTGCTAAGGCTACTTCCTGGTGACACGGCTGGTAGAATTCGAACGTTGGCAAAGTTCGTGGAGAAAGACTATGAAAAGGTTACGAGATTAATCAAACTACGGCGAGAGTATAAGTCTAAACTCTCCGTTGTAGAACAAGATATCAGCCAACAAAAGAGCAATCTCAGTCAGGATGACCTTGACGCTCTGGAGGGGGAATGGTTATCTCGCAGACTTGATGCCGGACTTTTCTCTCTACAGGTAGGATTCATCTCATTTGACAGATCTCCATACTCTTAAGCTTACTTCTGTCCTTTAGACTATAGATGTAATCCTTGCGTGGCTTGTCGCTGAGGATGACGGTGCTAAAGCCAAAATAAAGTCGTTGATGGCTGATCAAGACGAAGACCTAAGTGCCATCCGCGGCACGCTCCAAGGTTAGTGGGGATTAAATGACACCCTTCTAATAGTAAAGCGGATAACTAATATTGGAAATAGAACAACTGAACGGACTTGATGATACTGAGACAAATTACCAGGACACTAGGGACATGCTAGACACGCTAATTGGCTTTTTATAATCATGCTCTCTGTTCTAGGCCGGCGCTTTTTCAATGTAGGATAGGTAGCAGAAGATAGACTAATTTCACTGTAAATATATTATCTTCCAACCCAGTTTATGGGATCCTCAAATATGATTGCTTCGGAAAGTCGGGGCATAAGGTGATTAATCACCCGTATCAGAACGAATGAACTAAGAATAATCCTACATAAGCGATTAGTAGATTAAGACACAGGGCAGGAGGAGGATTATATATAACTATTAAAAGCGAAAGGGAATAGCCGCCAGTGAATCACTATCGGCGGTTGTCGGATTATCTAATCGAAGATTTAGTGTTCACGTGATATCACGTGGTACAAGCGCGTTTTGGGGGCTTGGCCGGAAACGGGAATTTCAGTGGCGGCTCAACGAGGTCTCTGTTGCTGGAGAGAGCTTCTTCACCTGCGCAACCCTCGAAGCCGTCACTCCTACAACACCACATTTCACCCGGCGCGGCAGTGAGTGACTGAATTTATGTTGATGAAGGCCGCTTTTACTTCCTGTTGATATCTGGCTGCTCAGTTTAGATCCCTCTGGGGATCGGATTGCTGAACCTGTCGCGCGCACGGAATTTCTAATCGGCAACGCATCGCCATCATGGAGTATGCAGACGAATATGGGGACGACGTTTACTACGAGGCGGAGGAAGGAATTACGTCCGAAGACTGCTGGACGGTAATCTCGGCCTTTTTTGAGTCCAAGGGTTTGGTCTCTCAGCAGCTAGATTCGTTCGATGAGTTTATCTCGACTACTATGCAGGAGCTGGTGGAAGAGCAGGGCCAGGTTACACTTGATCAAACAGTACCTCCCAGCGATGATGAACCCGATCCCGTTGTTTTACGCCGTTATGAGCTTAAATTTGGTACCGTTATGTTGGCTCGACCTTCTATGACGGAAGGAGATGGCGCGACCAGTATCATGTTGCCGCAGGAAGCCCGTCTTCGAAATCTCACTTATGCCAGCCCTCTCTATCTTGGTATCTCAAAAAAGATTATGGAAGGCCGGGAACGTCTACTATCGGAAAGAGACGAAGAGGAAGAAGAAATTGAAGAAAAGGGTGATGAAGAGAGACGGAACCGCGGAACATATTTACACTGGGAACGCAAGCCAACCATGGAGGACGAAGCGGAAGAGGAAAATATATTCATTGGAAAGATGCCCATCATGCTCAAATCAAAGTACTGCATCCTCAAAGACCTTGGTGAGCAAGCGCTCTACAACTGGAATGAGTGCCCATATGATTCGGGCGGTTACTTCGTCATCAACGGAAGTGAGAAAGTTTTAATTGCGCAAGAACGCAGTGCTGGAAACATTGTACAAGTCTTCAAGAAAGCTCCTCCAAGTCCAACTCCTTACGTCGCCGAAATCCGAAGTGCGGTCGAAAAGGGTTCCAGAATCCTCTCTCAGCTCTCCATCAAGCTTTTCTCCAAAGGAGACAGTGCCAAGGGTGGATTTGGTCCAACAATTAGATCGACCCTTCCTTATATCAAGACCGATATCCCGATCGTCGTCGTATTCCGCGCGCTTGGTGTTGTGTCTGACGAGGATATCTTGAACCATATTTGCTATGATCGTAACGACACATCCATGTTGGAAATGCTCAAGCCGTGTATTGAAGAAGGTTTCGTTATTCAGGACCGTGAAGTTGCCCTCGACTTCATAAGTAAGAGAGGATCCTCACCAATGAGCATGAACCAAGAGAAGCGAGTTCGATATGCTAGAGACATCATCCAAAAGGAATTCCTACCTCATATTTCGCAGAGCGAGGGTAGTGAAACTCGAAAAGCCTTCTTTTTGGGCTACATGGTCCACCGCCTGCTTCAATGTGCGCTCGGACGCCGTGATGTAGATGATCGAGATCATTTTGGAAAGAAACGCCTTGATTTGGCTGGACCTTTGCTAGCAAACCTGTTCAGAGTTCTATTTATGAGACTCACCAAAGACCTTTACAAATATGTCCAGAGGTGTGTTGAAACTGGTAGACAACTTTATTTGAACATTGGCGTTAAGGCTAGCACCCTTACAGGCGGTCTTAAATATGCGCTTGCTACAGGAAACTGGGGTGAACAGAAGAAGGCAGCCAGCTCAAAGGCTGGTGTCTCACAGGTTCTTAACCGCTATACGTATGCCTCTACACTTTCCCATCTTCGACGTACAAACACTCCTATTGGCAGAGACGGTAAAATTGCCAAACCTCGACAGCTTCATAATACCCATTGGGGTCTTGTTTGCCCTGCTGAAACACCTGAAGGACAGGCTTGTGGTCTTGTCAAGAATTTGGCACTCATGTGTTGCATTACTGTCGGTACCCCAAGCGAGCCTATTATCGACTTCATGATTCAGCGAAACATGGAAGTCCTAGAAGAATTCGAACCCCAAGTCTCACCTAATTCTACAAAGGTATTTGTGAACGGTGTGTGGGTGGGTGTACACAGAGATCCCGCACATCTTGTGGGAACAGTGCAGTCATTAAGACGGCGAAACATGATTTCCCATGAGGTCAGTTTGGTTTGGGATATTCGAGATCGCGAGTTCAAAATATTCACCGATGCCGGGCGTGTATGCCGACCTCTCTTTGTAGTTGACAACGATCCAAAGAGCGAGAACAGCGGGTCTCTTGTTCTTGTAAAAGAACATATCCATAAACTCGAAGCAGACAAAGAACTTCCTCCGGATCTTGATCCAGAAGAGCGAAGGGAGAGACATTTTGGTTGGGATGGACTCGTTAAATCTGGAGTCATTGAATATGTCGATGCGGAAGAAGAGGAGACGATCATGATCGTCATGACGCCTGAGGACTTGGAAGCATCGAAGCAATACCAAGCCGGTTATGGCATGCCTGAGGAGGATACGACCGACCGTAACCGACGTGTGAAGTCGAATCTCAGCCAAAAGGCCCATACTTGGACTCATTGTGAGATTCACCCGAGTATGATATTAGGCATTTGTGCCAGTATCATTCCTTTCCCCGACCATAACCAGTCTCCACGTAATACATACCAATCTGCTATGGGTAAGCAAGCTATGGGTGTTTTTCTCACGAACTTCGAGCAGCGTATGGAGACAATGGCGAATATTCTCTATTATCCACAGAAACCTCTTGCAACGACTCGATCCATGGAATTCCTCAAGTTCCGTGAACTGCCTGCAGGGCAGAACGTTATTGTGGCTATAGCATGTTACTCCGGCTATAACCAAGAAGATTCTGTCATCATGAACCAAAGCAGTATCGATCGAGGCTTATTCCGAAGTTTATTCTACCGAACATACACTGATTCTGAGAAGATGATCGGGTTGACAGTCGTTGAGCGATTTGAGAAACCAATGAGGTCTGATACTCTCAGGATGAAACATGGAACGTACGACAAAGTTGACGACGATGGCATTGTGTCGCCTGGAGTTCGTGTGTCCGGTGAAGATATCATCATTGGGAAGACCTCACCTTTAGCACCCGAGGCTGAAGAACTTGGTCAGCGAACGAAACAACATACAAAGTTGGATGTGTCAACTCCTCTTAGGAGCACGGAGAGTGGTATCGTCGATCAGGTACTTGTATCCACAAGTAACGATGACCTGAAATTCGTGAAGGTGCGGATGAGGACCACAAAGATACCCCAGATTGGCGACAAGTTTGCCTCTCGACACGGTCAAAAAGGTACTATTGGTATCACATACCGGCACGAGGATATGCCATTCACTAGAGAAGGCGTCACCCCCGATTTGATTATCAACCCCCACGCCATTCCATCTCGTATGACAATTGCCCATTTGATCGAGTGTCAGCTGAGTAAAGTTTCGTCTCTTCGTGGATATGAAGGTGATGCTACTCCTTTTACCGACGTTACTGTCGACTCCGTATCCAGTTTGCTTCGTGAGCATGGATATCAATCACGTGGATTTGAGGTGATGTACAACGGGCACACGGGAAGAAAGCTGGTTGCTCAAGTATTCCTGGGCCCTACATACTATCAGCGTTTGCGACACATGGTGGATGACAAGATTCACGCCCGTGCCCGTGGCCCGACACAGATTCTCACTCGACAGCCAGTGGAAGGTCGTGCTAGAGATGGTGGCTTGCGATTCGGAGAGATGGAACGTGATTGTATGATTGCGCATGGAGCCAGTTCATTTTTGAAGGAGAGATTATTTGATGTATCTGATCCATTCCGAGTACACATCTGTGATATTTGCGGATTGATGACACCTATCGCGTGAGTTTCCCTAATCCTTTGCACCGTACAATCCGCAACAACAAATGTTGCAAGAACTGGCTAACATGAGTTAAACCACACAGCAAGGTTAAGAAGGGTGACTTCGAATGCCGAGCTTGCAGAAACAGGAACAAGATTTCACAGGTGCATATACCATATGCCGCCAAGCTCTTATTCCAGGAGTTAGCATCCATGAATATTGCGGCGCGCATGTACACCAAACGATCCGGTGTGTCGATTCGATAAGACGGCACTTTACGTTTCAGAAAAAAGTCACTTCTCTCTTCATCGCACTCTCTCGACAACCCATCATCACTTCCTCCTCACCATGGTACTGCGGGCATCCGGGCCTCGCTTTCCTTCCCGACATGACCCTTCTATTCTCTTCTTTGTCTTACACAAACTGACTTTCCCCCTTTTGTTCTTCCGTTTCCTAGGCGTGTACCTGCTCAACCACTTCAATAATATCTTCTCATGGCATGGCCCAGCGAATTCTATTAGTCTGTCTTGCAATCAATAATTCTACTGCTTGGATGGAAAGAGATAGGCGCAAGTTCTTGAAAAATACAAACAGGCATTGTTTTTGTTACTAGTTATTTGGTGAACAAATCAGACTCGATAAGAATTTCACAAGAGTTCCTTAAAGCTAGATATCTGTGATATACCCACTCGCACCTAAACTATCCCGGTCCCTAGGCATTAAGTTTTTGGGTTTGATCACAGCTCGAAGATATATTTACCTCGCCTCTTTCGGGAAACAGCCACCAGTCACGTGCGCGTCTTTAGCAACCTCACTGTAACTGGCATCTTCTAGTGGGTGATTTAATTCCAACGTAGATTCATTAACAACGACGTCGACTTTTTCTTCTATTATAATGCTGTTTCTTAATCACAGTGTCAGCGAAAGAGACTGTTTGAGAGGAAGAGAGATTTTTGCCCATAGGGGTATTCTCTTCATTCCATGTCAGTAGATGACACCATGTGAAAATACCCCGGGCATGGGTATCTCTCCCGCGCACTCTTCCTTTCTGCATGATGTGCCACACTGCAATGCAGGTAGTATGATTTATCCTTCAATCCATGTTGAGGATGGTTACGATGAATTGCCGCGGGCGAGAGGAACCCTCAAAGTTTCGCTTGTACTCAGTATGGTTATGATGAAGAAAATGTAGCCGCAGTCAATAACTCACTTCAGTTCACTCCACCTGCTGATAGTGAATAAGAATGCCGTCGGGGATTACGACATCTACTGTCGGGTAAAACATGATCATCAGGCATCTGATTGAAGATCTCTTGAAAAAAATCCTAGGCCCTTTCATTCTGTTATACCGGGTAGCCTATTCCACTCTTACGACGAGAGAGATACGAGGGGAATGCAATAATACACGGAGACCAATAGCCAAGTGCTTGAACAGGCCGCTTCATGGTGCAAGAAATACCGGTGAATACAGGCAGAAACTGTTACCAAGGAACAGAAACAATCTCAATTGGTACACGGCTCAGATCGAGCATTCGTCGGATCATTCGAGGCGACCGGCAGAAAACAAGGAACGGACACACGGGCCATGGAGTCCCTCTGATGAATTGTTCGATGGGCGGGTGGAGTTGTCGATTTCGTGTTGGATCGATTGACAGGCTCAAGAAATTTGGGGGCCAAATCGGCGATTGGCCCCTCCAAAGCGAAAGCAAAATGGACTGTCTGCCTTAGAGACACAACGCTTCTGTTACTTCGATATCCGCACTCCGACTCTTGGCTCCATTCTGTTTATGTACGGGTTCCGCCACTCCGTTAAGTTTGAGATACGTATTCAACTATCTGTTATGCACCCAAGATGGGCTCATGACCAGCCAAACGATTAAGTTCAGTCACCAACCGATGGTATATTGCCTCCATATGCTGTCAGAGGAATTTGCTCTACCTGGCTAGCAGATAATTATACGAACGGCTCTCGCTTCCTCTGCAGACCGACAATGGCCTTTAGCGGAACGAAGCTATACTTCACTTCAGAGATCTGTACAGAGTATATGCACAAAGGCGGCATGGATTGAGAACGAACGTACAGGTGACTATACCAAACTGGGGAGGCTGCACAAGCGGGAGAGCCTATCTTACGAACCTTCTTCATGAAGCTGTGCTATAGGATTATGAATAATAATCGATCCTCCAAGGAAATCGCTCAACATCGATCAGCATACAAACAATATATTATTCCCTGGGTTATCCCTTGCAACAAAAACACGGGCATCTGTTGACTCTCAAGGTGGCGGGCCTGAATATGATTTTATGCAGCAGCACTTGAGCTATACCGTGTTTGGAGCCGCAGTGCAGCCCAGTGAGATATTATTTTCCTGGTCTAACTCTGCCACCAATGACAGTCATAGACCCCTGTCCCTGTTATTCTGCACTCTTTCACCCAGCTGATCAATAAAAATGGCTGGCAGCCCATGCCTACAGGGAAGTACCAGGACACATGCTTGGGTACATTCTTTTTGGATGCACTAGCCCACCACAACAAACTTCAAAGGGCTCAAGGAGACGAGAAGGGCATGCAGGAATGCAAGCTCCAACTCCCCCGTCGGTTCCGTTATTGAGAGCTCTTCAGAAATTTTTAAATCCAAGCTACCTGTTACGCTACTCGCTGCGAGGGTGAAAGGGGCGACCCTGACCCTGTTGCGTTATTGGAGCAAAGCAACCGTTAGGGCAGTCCTTCAGGTTGGGTCAACGCCGTTAGATGTATCAGCAACAAGCCTAAAGTGCGTGACGGGGACGTGGCAGGCAGAGGACGGCATGAAGTCAACATGGGTGTGGAGGTGTGTTCACACTGTGTGGTGTGCGGTTTGTGTCTGCTGCGTACGCCGCAGGTACTCCACCACCAGATCTCTGCGGCAAGGTACCTGCCCCTCTTGTGCTACTAAAAATACAACCGGCATTGGCCGCCGAGCACACTCATTGGCTGCATGCAGTGTTTTGCAGTGTGATGGGACCCACATATCCAGATTAGGATTAGTGCCAGAGCATGATCCTCACTTACACGACCTCTAGTTGGTTGATCAATTCTCCACCTGTCGGGACCCACAAAGCTACAGCCAATAAACGGTAGTCTCTACCCGCCGTCTATTCTTAGGGCCCCACCCGCACCTTGCCCACCGCCCGGGCCTTGTCGCCTGCCTCGCTCGAACTTCCCTTCCCGCCTGCGAAAGATATAAACACCGTCCAACTCCACGCCCAGTTCTGCTTCTCTCTCCTCCCTTCTCTTTCTTTCTTCTCTCTTCGTCCCCCATCCCCTTAATTTTGTTCTCCTTTCGTCCTCGAGCTATTCCTATATTAAGAGAATTTTATAGAGCCGGTCTCTTCTCCTGCATAATATTTTTATACCCCCCTTTTGTGCACTCTTAATATACAACCTCACCCGTTATCTACTTCGTTGTCGCTGGTCCGGCAATTCGAATCGATTTCGCTAATAGCTCGTGTGACTTTTTTAAACAACCCTTCATCTACATCCTTCGTTCTACGCATATTTGTTTCAACTACTTTTGACTTGACGCCCTAAGGAAGCTCTGGTTAGCTACCTCCGTCCATTCAACGACTCAAACGTGCCGAATACTTTCAACCATTCATTTTATAATATTTAATAATTTTTGACCAACCAATCCACCCTTTAATTTCCTACCCCCGATTGTCTTTTTATCCGGAATAAAAGGACATCAAATTTCGAAAACAACCAACCGCCTTAAAAAAATTTTTACACAATACACAGAACACTCTCAACAAAGCAATATGTCTTCTACTGCCATCCAGCTCAACTTCTCCCTTCGCACCTCCTCCAATGTGAAGACCGTCCATCTTTTGGGCTCCTGGGACAACTATGCCGGCCAGCTTCCTCTTTCCTCCAAGTCCAAGCCCGGCTCGTGGCAGGGAGCATTCCGCTTCCAGACTACCATGCTTCGCCCTGGTTCTCGCTACTGGTACTACTACATCATGGATGGCTACCATGTCTCCCATGATCCCGCAGCTGAGTTCACCGTTGAGCCCACCACCGGGCGCAAGTTGAACATCCTCGATGTTCCCCGTACGCCCTCCGCCAAGTCGGCTCCCACCTCCAAGCCTCGCCGCGACAGCGTTGATGTGCCAGTCGGACGTGCTCTGTCCCCATCCAGAATTTTGCACCCACGTCCCTCTAAGCCATACGCCTCGCGCCAGATCCGAGAAGCCAACTACCAGGATCTGCCAACTGTCGATGCACTGACTGCGAGATTCAGGGCCACCGATCTCTCAGACGACGACTCTGACATTTCTTCATCCCCACCATCATCATCCGGATCTTCCCTCTCCTCCCGCTCCAACAACACCTCTCCCTCTTCCGTCTCTTCATTCAGCGACCTTGACTCAGCATGCAGCTGTCAAAGATTCGGAATCACCCGCAGCGGAGAGAAGGTCAAGATCGACTGTGGTGGTCGCCGATGTGGCTACAACACCCTTTCCGACTCCTCTGATGACTCTGACGAGGCATGCAGCTCCGACGAAGAATACAAGCATGTCCGCACCCAGCTTCGCCGCCAGAACATCGCCGTCCGCAGGTAAATGGCCAGCTCAACGCTTTACGCAAAGGAGACGAGGTGTCTTGTCAAGCATCTTCACACCTGCGATAGGAAATGATGGATGAGAAGCCATTTTCTATTCAATTTTTGACTTCTTCAACGCAATTCGCTTTTGTGTCACTCTCTTTGACGTCGTATTGTCACGTCGACCCGACAATTCACCTTTATTATTCCCCATTGGACTCTCGGTTGGGACGATACCGATGACAAACTGCCCTCTTCCCCTCCTGTTGGCGGAACACATGCCAATCTCACGCCACGGGAGCCGAAGCCAAGGGTTAAAACCCTTTTTGCAATGTTGGAGGAGATTGTCTCTCCGTCCATGCAGTTAGCCCGTCAAATTTCACTGCGTGGAAACGAAGGGCCTGTAAAGTCCCATCTCCTTCTTGTCCCATGGACAACCCTCTCGCGCGCGATCCTTCGCCCAGAGGCCGATTCACCCTTGACAACGGATTCTTCCTTGCATATTAAAGGTCCTTAGATCCACCACCGCCAAAGCATGTGCACCTCTTTTTGCCAATTTTTGTTATCTTACCCAGAAGGATGCCCGGAACAGCGCCTTCGCTTCTGTGTATGATATAAAGAAAGAGGCCAAGCACGAGTTACGAAGTCATGTCGTTTGTTTATATCATTATTTCCGGTTGCTTTTTTTTTTTTTTTTTTGTTTTTAACGAAGAATGAGTAGCATGATATCGTTGTTGGGGTATGAGAGTACGGGGAGATGAAAGGGAAATATGTATCACTCCTTTGATGTTCAAAGTCATAAATTTGAAAACAGTAAATATGAGAGGAAGAGGAAAAATATTTGACTTTATTTCTTGAATAAGAATATGAAATATAACCAGGCATGCCTGCTTTTATCAACATGGCACATTGATGACCTTGACACGCATTTTTCAATCTCTGTTCAATGAATCCCTTGTAGCAGCCAGCTGCCACTTTGGTAAGATGTTAACATATAAAATAACACCCGACTGAGTACCCTTATTTAATCTAAGCACTTGAAAACTCCACACTGTCCCACGAGCTCCCAAAACCCCGACATTTACCCTCTTCAATACCAGCTTAAATAGCAGATAACAACGCTCAAAAGGGATTGCCAGCCCCGACACCAGGGGCAAGAATAGGTAAAATGACGTTCAAATTGTTCAAAATTGCCTTCTCCTGGAAGGCAATGGGTTGATACTCCTTTCAAAGGAGATACCAACACCAAAAAGGAAAGAGATGAATATGATTGTTGTACATGAAAAATCACAAATTCAAAAACATTAAAGAAACAAAATAAAAAGTAAGGTAGGAAGTATGAAATAAAGACAGACAAGATTCAAAACGAAGGGTATAATTTGGTGCTGAAACACCATGAAAGACTCCTTCAAAGCATGATGCTGCTTCCCATCAATGTTGGGATTCTAGGCTCTTGATATTCAATTATCGTCATCTGAATCGCTCTGCGATTGGCGTAAATTCTTTTTTTCCATTTCGTCATTCTGCTCGTTCGATCATAGCTCATGGTGGTCCAGATTACATCGTACAAATCGTCAAGGTTCGTTTTCTCTAGGCAAATCAAGTGCGAAAAGTACGACGGTACCCAGAGCAAAATATACAAGAGCTTCCAGCGCTATTGTATATTGGATCGTCGTAAATAGGAGCCGTTCGTGATCTGTCCGTTTTTTGGAAAAAGTTAGCAAATATGACTTGGTTTCTATTAAGCGCTAAATACCCCTATTCACGTCCTCTGCGACAAAGAGGTCGTTAATTAAACAAAAATAATAAACAAATCATACCTCATATCCCATATCTCTTCACAGAATGGCGAGAAGGAAAAGCCAAAAAGGGAACGCTCAATCTCCTACCGATAGAGACCCTTTCCACTAGAGGAATATCCGGAATCGGGTCTGAGCTTCGAGGTTCGAGGATACCTGGGTGTTGCACATTGCTGAACAGAATGCTTCGGGCAGGTATAGCCAACCAGGACTATTTTCTCCTGTACAACGTGCCCCCGCTGACCGTATGCTTGGCATGGATCGATCGAATGGCGATGATGTAGACAGCGGCAGACTGAGAACAGCTCCAGAAGTTGATAACACATTTTTATGCGGAAAGAAGATTCGGCTTGTTAGAGGGTAGTAGTAATTCTGTGGCTCTGAATGGAATCTCGGTAGGTGCCTTTGCTCGGTAGTTTGTTTTTGGTACTTTGGAATGATGCCCTGCAACAGTCCTGGTTTTGAAGGAGAAAGGTAAGGAGAAATAAGGCAAGAATTAAACACTGCAGAGAAGGGAGTGACCAGTATTTATGAAGTAGGATTCGTTTGCTCTATGATAAACCGGTTATCCACGAAGCAAACAGGATGGCAGAGGAAAAGAGCAAGCAGTAAATGGAGTTTTTTTGGCTTAAAGGGATAACTATTAGAACCGAGTAGCAACGAAAGAGCAAGGACAAAACGAAAGAGTTAGATGTTGATTAAATCAGAATGGTTGCCTGGGGGAGAGAAGAGAAAAGACAAGGTCTCAAACTGGGGATTGGTATATATAAATATTCCTTGATAGCAGACTAGTCGGAGATAGTTAATATAGGATAAGGCAAGAAGGAGACCAATAACGTTGAACAATAGCTAGGCGAGCTAAATAGTTCTCAAGTAGAGCAGCGGAGAAAGCGTAGAATACGGCTTGGACCGGCCGGGCCATGGCAGCCTAAGCCCTAAAAATAAAAGAGTGGGGGAAGATTCGGTTTCGGAGAGTGATTCCTTTTTGCAATCCAGGGAAGGTGCTGAGAAAGCTTGCTTGTTCAGGTGGTGATTCATGCCTTGGAAAGCACGAGAACATGGCATGGCGTCAGGACTAGTTAGCAACAATAGGATGAATTACCGAACGCCCTGGCTCCTGAAAAAACTCTTTGGCCTTCCATCAATTACACGGAAGTAGGATCCACAAGGCGGCAGCAGAAGCATGCAGCAGAAACAGAGAAACCGAAACTCAGCGGATTTCACCAGCCCAGGTCCAGCTCAGAAGTGAAGGAGTCAGTGACTCGGCCAGCAGTGGGATTAGCGATAACTGCCCTCTGCAGCCCAAGCGCAGTGGAGACCATGTAGCAGATGCATCAACCGTGGGGATCTTTTAGGCTAGAAGTTCCTAATCTTTTTTATCATCCCCGCATGCAGCTGGGTCCATGTTCACGGGGGAGGTCGAATCGAGGCCTATCTGCGGAGTTGTCCGGCCAGCTGTGTGATGCCTCCCCAGCTTCAGCCAAGGACCGTTAAGGAAGATAATGGAATTTGTATAGGAAAAAAAAAGCAAAGGAGCTCGAAGTTAAGAAGGATTAGTGATGTTTTTCTTTGCTTTTCAAAAGCTAAACAGAGCCACAAGTTTAGTGTCCGCAAGCAACGGAAGAGAGCAGAACTGAGACCAGTCATGCCTCGGCCACCGTTGTATTACATGGGGGCCACGAGGAAGGATCATGATCATAATGCTGGTGCTGGTGATTGACGACGCCCGATGGTAAATCCAGATCCTTGGTCATACTCCGTAGTTGAAAATGGGTTTTTGATATCTGAAGTTGAAATTGAGGTTGAGGCTTGTTTGGTCACGGGACCAGCCCGGTTCTTTTTTTGGCAACAGCAACTACAGACGACAAACGAATTCGCAACCACAACCACAACCATAGCGACAGCTACTTCTCTACAGCTACAACTTCGTACAGCAACGCATTTGGGAGACGGTGACGCTGAGGGCGATGTGGTGGATTGCTGATTAGCTAACATCAGTGATTGAGTTTCTCTAGCCTGGGTTCTTCAGCTCCCATGATCGCCCCGGAAGAGGTCGCCCTGTCATTTCTCGTGCGATCAGAGCTAGTTAGTCAGGTCAAGACCTGCAGCCGAGATACGTATCCATGGCCTGCAGCGCACCCGACGCTCAATATTGCTCGTCAACAGACTAACCACTTGCGTCCGTTCTGCATGACATCCCTGCTAGTTCCCTGTGGCTGCGACTTGGCCTGGCGGAGGCTGGTGAGACAGACGCTGGCTGCCTGAGGACTGCGGGTTACCTCTCACCACATAACTAGCACAGAACCTTTGCCCACAGGGCAAGTATTGAGCAGCAAGGGACGAGATAACTACGGTGCCCTTTCTAATTAGAGGCTCGTCATGTTACCTGACCGGAGGATGATGACGAATTTCGGCCACCAGCGAAGGAGGGGGAAAGACGGATGATACGAGAGGATAATAACACAGTTCAGCCCTATGGAACCTTTTAGCTGCCCTTGCGCTTCACTTAGCCCAATTCGGTGGTAGCGTGTTTGTATCCTTGGAGGCTCCCTGCATCTCTCAGCCACGGTGAAACTAGCGACACAGCCACGCCAGCAAATCATCATAGAGAGAGCAAAAAGTAAGATACAGATGCAGTGTCCATGCTCCGTCCTTGCGCTTGAGAAAGGCCTGCAAACGGGGAGTTATCGTCCATGTCCTAAGGCCTACCTCAGGTCTGTCCGAGCGGGCATGCACCGTCTGCTCAAAGTCTGCCTTGCTGTTTCCTCCTCAAACAGTGTTTCATGCATCTCCTCCAGACTTTATTTCTGCGGTGGCAAATTTGTTAAAGATCAGTCGACCAGGCCAAGAATCCACCCCGTCTTTTTCTGCATCTTACGCGGAACTATTACTGCTGCATCTACTACTGGAGAATGTTGAGCGAACTCCTGGGGCGGGGCTTCCCCGGCCACTCATTAATAGGGTACAAGGCCGTTTCTGGATGGCAAACGTCGTCGAGGGATAACTGAGTCATAAAATGATGGTACAATGTATCACCACACCTTCAACACCTTCTCCTGGTATTTCGTTTCATCTATCGTCTATATTCTCAGCCCATTAAGCTGTTAGCTCCATCTAATGCGCCAAAGGCCATTCCGTGAGCAAGCAGCAGCCTCAGCTTTTTCAGTATATCTCCTCCTTTGATACCATCTGGAGCCTTGTCTCTCCAATCCCACCCACGTTGAATCTTCTGGCCTTCGTTTTGTTTGCCTTTACCCTGGCCTTTACTGCCTGACCTAGGGACAAGGACGCCCGAGCCACCCATCTCCTTTGATCCACTGATGGATTGAGAACCTTCTAGCATCTCGCTACCAATGAGACTGAACCCGCTTGTCAGGGTAGTAGACGAGATGGATTTCTTCAATAGCTTTTGGGGCGATGTGGCATAGAAAGAAGTTGACATCGAACGGCCGACGTCACTGAGCGAGTGGCCAGTCCCTATATTGTTTCCATCATCGAAATGTAGATAGTGATATAAAGCAGATTGGAGGCATGCTTCACACTGCTCGTACACACGCCCAGTAACCGTCTGGAGATCTTCAATCGCCGCGAGAATAGTAAGCTGCTGCTCGGTGTTTAGAAAATGATTGGGGTTGGCTACATGATATTGTTAGTAATTTTAATCAAAAGCCATGAAGGATCAGAAGAGATTGGTAATACTTACGATCAAGAAGTGCTAGTGCTTCGCCAAGTAAGACGAGCAACCCATCAACTTGGGCGGCAGATTGCCTGTCGGGATCATACAATCCACCATAGATGCTATCAGCCGCACTTCGGATAACAGCCACCAATGCCCTGGCAGCCTCACGTTTCCGCGCCAGTGGACGATGCTTAGGCACCTGGCCTGAATTTAAACCGGCAGCCTCATCACGGATCTCATAATAGGATCGTAACGTAGCATAACTACTGAAATAAAACTGTAGCATAGCAGCTCCCTCCGAATCCACCGAGGCGATGGCAGACAAGGCGGTGGATGGATCATATAGAAGGGAGCGAAGCTGTTCATCCAACTGGTCCTTTGCAGGGTAGGCTCTGGACTGGATCAGGCAGAAGGATGTGAGCAGGTCAATCACGTTCTTAATCTTGCGAGAACAATGAGCACGAGCATAGCAAATCAGAGCAGTGCCATAATTCTCAGATACTTCAGCAACTTGATCACCATATCGCTAAAATAAAATTAATGGTATTAGCACCATATCCAATCGGAGAGTGATTAATATATGAAGTTGAAATTGAAGAAAAGGGGCCGAACATACCTCCGAGACTCGTCTGCCCTCATCGCTAAAGCCTACTTCTGCACATAGAACCACAGCCTTGTCCATTTTATCTGCTGTGTCCAGAGATACTCTGTCCATCAGCTCTCTGACCTTGGTTCTCATAAGCTTTTGGTCATCAAGACGACTCAGTACCTCCAAGGAAAGTTCCCACCCCTCTCTAGCACCCCGATCCCCGAGCCGATCCCGTGAGAAGACACCGTCAGCATAGTTAATTAAGATATCATCCTTCTGGAGTGGTTTTTCTGGTTGTCCGTAGCTCAGGACCATAAGGTCACTCTCATTGAATTCGCGCATCGGCTCGGATCCCGTTGATGCAGCGAGCCAGCCTCCAAAGCTGGCGATCTCAGCTGTCGCAGCACTCACAGCAAGAGACCAGGTTTGCAAAAGTCTGAGTACGCTTTCGACATATCCTTCGCATACGGAAACCAAGCCAACTTCGCAGGGATTCATTGAATTGATCTGGAAACCAGCGGAGCCCAGGGTATCTGTTACTGAGCTGTAAGCGTAATCAAGGCGTCGTAAGTATGACTCTTCGGTATTGGAGTCAACAGCTCGAGGGGCCTGAGAACGACGTTTTACTGGGCCTTTCTTCTTCCCGCCAACAGAAATGTCGCTATCGTCGTCACCATCCCACCAAGCAGTCAACGCAATTGTAGCCTCCACCCAATCCTCAGACTGCTTTAGAATGTTTTCTGTTTCTCCACACAAGATGCTATACATAGCCTTGATGTTCAGATATATCGACCACGGTATCCGGCTTTCTGCCATGCGCGCACTATGGCTAAATGACATAGAATCGGGGCGTTGGAACGAGATACCGAAATGAGAAGCAACAAAGGGCCCATCACTGTCATCAGAAATCTGAGATTGCCCATTTTCGGCCATATCCTCTAAATCTAATATTGCAGCGTTCACATGTTTCCTAAACATGGCCCATTCAACCCCCTTAACATCCCAGTCATCACGCTGAACTGCTGGGCAGGTTTTAAGGAGTTGAAGAGCTTTATTCACGCATTGCTGGATAATTTGTAGCTGAGAGCCATGGTACCCTGGTTGTTCATACCCATCCTCCATGGCAGTTCTGGCGTAGCTAAAATCTGCCTCACTCAAAAGCGTTATAACGTTACCAAACTCGGCACGTAGCACGGATTTGAGGATAAATTTCCAAAAAATCGGGGAGGCGGTTGGGTTTGGCTGTATATCCTGAAGCATGTCTAAATGAATTGTCTCCAAGTCGTGATACCTCCATAACCATTGAAATAGCACTTTGGGTATCGGAACTTTTGGCAGAGGTTCATCTCTTATCACCAAGTCACGGAACATACTGCGAGAAGATTTCGAGACTTGGTTACTCGGTTCGAGTAGCGGAGGGTGGTGAAGCTGGAGCAGTAATGAGCTCAAGAATATAGCTTTCATGATACTGGGCGATGAGTCTCCAGGTCCAATCCCACCACTAAGAGGAACACCATCCTTTTCCTCCATTGGTGCTGGCGAATATCTTTGCCACAAGCATGATAGTTCATCGGATACGGCAGAAAGGCTTGAGTCGACTATATCATCGTCGGAATTACGATCACGGACTTGGTCGTACATCCGACATATAGCATCCTCCATACTCAATAATAGCTCACTCGGCTCATCTACCGAAGCCAGGCTTGCCCTGGCAGTCAGATCTTTGATGATTGAGGGAAAGTTCGAGACCTTCTTTTGCTTCTGAGGTTGTTCATTTTCCGGAGACGTAGACTGTATCCAAGTTTCGTCGAGTTTCGCACGCTTTGCACCTGCCGGGTTTGAGTAAATAACTGGTTTCCGTAGCAGCCGTGACGGCTGAGCTTTTGTCGCTGGTTGGAAAAGAGAGCTAGTAAACGGGCCACCGTCTTTGCTTGGTGACCAGCCAATTCCGTTATCTTCTGGGTCGCGTGCATCCGTAGTGACCGGTTCATTATCTTGTGAAAATGGTGTGCGTCGACTTGAGTCGAATGGGCTTCTGATGCCTTTACTCTTGTTGAGTATAGATCTGTGGCTGCTATGAAGCGGCGATCTGGTTGGCCGGTGTGACAGATAGCTGGAATTAGGGGAGTCGAGATCTCTCGGGAAATTGGAGGATGTAGTAGAAAAAGATAAAAGGTCATTGTCCGTGTACGATGTGGTCGACTGATTAAATCGGCTATCGGAGAAATCCAAAGCACGTCGTGTTCCTGACTGCGAGCTTCCGAGCCCAGACGACGGCGGAGGCCCTGCAGGGGTAAAAGACGCTGTAGAGGATGGAGGTACCCCAGCTGGTGTCGTGGACATGTTCGAGCTGATGCTTCGAGACTTGTCCGGTGTTGATAAAGCTCCTGGGCTGTAAGGAGTTGTGAACGACATCTTGAATTGAACAGCGGTATTATTATGAGCGCGGCGCAAGCAGAGAGTGAACGGGATCAGGTAGACGCGTCAGGAACGGTAGCACAGCAAATCATTCCGCAGTATCAGCTTAAGGGCCAGCTCCAAAAGCCAATGTCTCCTCCGCAACTCGATACGCAATGGCAGAGAAAGCTGGATGATGGGCGGTTTGTTTGCAGAGGTTGCAACGTCTTTTGTCCTGTCACTCGAGAGAAAATTGGTGTTTACCTAACTGAGATCCATTGGATTGGATGGCCCCAAGCTCAATACGGAAATATGTTTATCCGTATTTAATCACGTGAAACTCGTTAGTCATCGTCGAATACGAGGAAATTGCCGTTTTCAGTAACTAAGACAATCGCCGAGCCCAGAGCCGTTTGACGATCAAGCATCACAGCCTTGAGACTCCATATCGAGCGGCCAATTGTACGTTTGCTCGCCGTCAAATATGACATGAGTGAGCGGTTAAGCGGTATTATCTGCCCACTATGTTGATAATATTCTGATGTCAATCGTTCAGCCTCGTCTCGAGACAGCTTTGACATAAAAAAGGGCCCTAATGCTCCTCTACTCTGGCCAGTTTTGAATATCACCGTTTTTCTACCCCAGCATCTATTTGCATGATATACCCGTCACTTGGGAAGAAATGGCATCTGCCAAAAATGTGAAAGCAGAGTCAGCTAAGGCTCATGATCATGACGCCTCCGAGGCAGCCTCCATTGATACCCAGCTCTCAACCCCAGGGGAGTTGGGGACTAATGAGAACCATCGTATTTTCAATGTATACAACACCACCTCGTTCACAAACTATAGAATTTCCGAGTCCAACGACAAAACCACTCTTTACTACGTCAGAACGTCCACGTTTACCCCTGGGAAGCCAGAGCTAACCTTTCATGTCGGAGAAAGGGGTGGCCCAGTCGTGGGAATTGTCAACTTTCTCAAATTCTCATCGCATTCAAAGGTTGGACTAGGGGATCCAGCAGACAATCTTAACATGGTGTGGGAAGATCTGAGAAAAGAGAGCTTCGACCACTCCAAATACCGCTTTGAAATGACGGTCAACGGAGTCAGAAATGGATTTCTCTGGAAAAGAACACGCAGCATTGGAGTCGAGGGATCCGTCCTTAATAAATTCAGCGAATCAAATTTCAAACTACTTGACGAAAAGACTGGTGAGCTGGTGGGAATCTATTCTACCAACGGCATAAAAAGCATCAAGAAGATGGGAAAGTTTCAGCTGAACAAGAATTACGGTTCCAACTTTGATTGTATGTTTCTTCTTACAGGGATGACCTTACTTGAAAGGCTACAACGCAGAAAGCACGCGCGAGGCGGTGGAGGTGGCGGTGGAGGTGGATGATTTCTTCTGAATTAATTTGGATTCATATATACCCCTTGTTGACACGCTCGATTATTAACTTTTCAAAGTTCAAATCTTAACTCTACCTTCATTTTTCCAGTGCTTCGATTCCTTTAGCTTTGTATTTTTCGAGCTTTAGTACCGCAATCAATAGCCTTTGAAGTTTATATGCACCGGAAGGTAGTGCCCAATAGTCATTAAATTTCATCCAAATTTCCCACAGCCAGGAATCAACGAGTTTGTTACATTGATCGGAAGAGTACCTATATTGGATATATCATCTGATATATAGTACTAAACCCTTCAATATGCTAGAACCAGAGTCTGCTCGCCAATAATTTCCTCGCTCTTTAAACGGGTCTAATTTACTGAATCTAGTGCGACAAATTCTAGTGCGACAAATTTGGTTAACGTCTTTGAAAAAATGAAATCCCCATACATGAGAAAGGAGTATAGCTCAAATTATCAAATCCGGAATTGAAAAACAGAGTCAAAGCCTTGTCTTGCTTCTAGTTCCATTGACCAAGACGTATCGATACCTAGCCTTGCCTTCATGCATATCCACCAACACTTGGTTCGCATTCCCCATCGGCCGCTCTTGCACCCAGGGATGAATATTTTGCTCACTTGCGAGCTTAAGCATAGCCCTGATCTCCTCAGTGGAACCAATGGCAGACGCGCCGATCTTTAATCCTTTGCCCATCATTACTCCAACCCTAAAGCCTGGAAACGGATCCTCGGGTGCGCCAACCTGGATGAATTCACCCCCACGTTTAAGTAGACGAAGATATTTTTCGATGGGCATATTACCGGATGAGACTGTGCAAATAATCAAATCAAGCGTCCGCGAGTGTGTCCTGGCCCAGTTCTTTTCTTCGTCAGTAGCAATGAAAACGTCAGCTCCTAGTCCGACAAGAGCATCTGATTTCTTTGAGCTCGTCCGGGATATAGCAACTACTTTGTCGCATTTCATGGCTTTGGCAAAAAGTAATCCCATATGCCCTAGGCCACCAATACCAATGATACCAACATGCTTTCCCGGCCCCGCGCCGCCTCGGAGTAATGGCGAAAAGACCGTAGCACCACCACATAACAGGGGTGCAGCAACTGCGCTGGGAAGACTATCTGGGATTTTAAACACAAACCACGCCGGGCCTCTCCAGTAGTCCGCATATCCACCATACGATTTACTTCCATCAAGGTATTTTCCGTTGTATGTCCCAGTCATGAGCGAGCAGTAGTTATCCAGGCCCGATGAACACTCTTCACAGTCAACACGAAGACATGAACCTGACTGTGCCCCGACACCAACCCGATCTCCGACCCTCAAATCTCGAGAAGGAGAATTAAGTTTAGCAACCTCTGGACCAACTCGAATAATATGGCCAATGATCTCGTGCCCAGCCACGCATGGATAATTCGTTGGCCCCCATCCAGACCGTAGGGTATGAATATCCGAGCCGCAGATTCCACAGTGAGATATAGCAATATCAACGTCAGTGCTGGCAAAATCTTTGGGTTCGTATGTAGTGTATATCAAAGGAGAGGTTGCTGAAGTGCTAACCCAGCCTTTAAAAGTGATATCTTGCATGTTTATATTCCCACGGTAGCTCGTGGTTGAGAGATCTCGGGTATATCTGGTTGTTGCTCCTGGGGATTTGGTAGATGACAGTCAAAATTTAGACCAGAAAACCAGGCCACAGGCTACTTTGATAAAGCAGAATACTTGGTCTGCTTATTTATACGGGGACCAAGCCCAGCAGGCGCTAGACTTTGCCATCGGCCGTGTCCCTATCGTGGAGAAGGCCGATCTCGTCACTTCCAGTCTGCAAAGCTCTTTCTTCTGTGCCGAGGCTGATCTGGGAAGTTTAACTTGATGACTAAGCTCGAAGCTCCTTCCAAAGTTCAGAGTTTGCTTTTTTTTGGTTTTGCTTCTGATCGTGACTTCAACTACTTCATGCGATCAAGCATATCATTTTATCTTCTTAACCACAGCGTATGGATAACCACTATCATAACTACCTGTGCCAATGATTTTCATACCAGTTTCCTATTTCCGAGTCTAATATGGAGGCGGATCCAGACTTGTTGAGATGGTCTAGTAGTAAACCATCTAACAATGATACCAACGATCCTAGGCCGTCACAACCCGTGACAGCAGAAGAAAGTGATCAAGCTTTGTCTGAAGAGAGCATCTCATTATTGTCCTCTGAGGATGATTCTTTGTAAGTTTCCAGTACCCTTTTTAATGAATCGATGCTCACTCGTAAACATAGAGAAGGTGAAATTTACGAGGAAGAAGATTATGAAGGCGACGACGATTATGTTAACCAAAACTATGATGACGATGCCGTCCTGTCAAGGATTGCACGGAAAAGTCGGAGACCCGGCTTTTCTCATGGATATGACGACGACAGTGTTCGTAGAGTACCCAGACGTGGACCGCTGAAACCTGTAGAGCCGACAGCGGAATTCAAAAACCTACAATCCGAAGCTACATCTGCTTTCATTGACGCAGATTATGATCGAGCTCTTGATTTGGTGAAACAGGCTATCCATCTGAACCCAGAGATTTTCCAAGCTCATGTTTTACTTTCCGAGATTTTCTTAGCCCAGGGCCAGAAGAGAAAGGCATTATATGCACTTTTTACCGGAGCTCATACTCGAAGAAAGCCAGAAGTCTGGCTTGAGGTTGCTAACCTGATTCTAGAAAGAGCTGATAGCGATCGGGCGGCTGCATTAGATGACGTTGTTTATTGCTATAGCCGTGTGATTGATATTGACCCAAAGCGATACGATGTACGGTTTGAACGGGCGGCAATAAATGAAGAGCTTGGATACAAAGGCAAAGCAATTCAAGAATATGAAAAAATTCTTGAAAGCCTTCCCCATAACACGAACGCCTTGCGCCCCTTGGCAGCGCTATATATTGAACTAGGGGAAATAGGAAAGGCCAGAGCTCATTATGAGAGATGTATATCATACTATATAAACCTCAATCCCGATGAGGTGGAAGATTTCACCTGGTCAGACGTGAACATTTATGTCGAGCTTTTTTCCTATGAGCACGATTACCTAGCTGGCATATCATCTCTCAATTCTCTGGCCCGGTGGCTTCTAGGCCGCAAAGGTGATTCTGGTTGGGACATGGTCGATGATGACCGCGAATGGGATGCAGATGACTATCCACGCAGGACCGCAACACCCTGGTTTGTTCCTGGCCAATACCCTCTTGAGTCATATGGTATCGGATTACCGCTTGAGTTACGGATAAAACTAGGCATATATCGTTTGAAATCTGGCTATAAGGATGAGGCACTGGTATTTTCACCCACTACTCAATCGATATTTGAGATCAGGACAGTGGCTAACAGTAATATAGTTTCATTTCCACTGGCTTGAACCAGAAGACAACTCTCCTGGCGCTAAGCTTTTTGATTATGGGGATTTGTTCAGGGAAGCGGCCGATTCGATGAAGGATATTCAGCTCTATGAAGATGCCCTCAGATTTTATATACCCCTTCAACATGTTCAGGACTTTGCGAATACTAGCCTGTTTTTGGCAATGGCAGAGTGCTATGACTCCTGCGGAGATACGGAAGAAACTGAAAGATGTTATTTAACAGTGGCAGAATATGACAAAACTAACATAGAAGCAAGAACTAAACTAGCCCATTTCTATGAGAAAATGGGCATGACTGACCAAGCTCTCAAGTTTATCACGGAGGCAGCAGACATCGGTCGAGAAGAGGTACTATCGCGCCGGAAACCTAGATTTGGCCCGAACATTGGGAAACTGGCAAATCACTTTCGGGATATAGAACAAGAAGCTCCAGGAAGTGAAGACCAACTAGCCCCTACCGAAAGCGCCGTATCCTCAGCCGTTGGAGATAACACTGCTGCAGAAGGAAGTACTACCATTGGATTTATCCCGCGCTCCGTTACTAGCCTACCGGGAGAACAAAGAGGGCGTGAAATAGCCCCTTTAAAACCAGATGGCGAAAATGTAAGGTATCTATATGCAAAGATGTTGGAATTACAGCCATATATGCGACAAGGTCAACAGGATGCTACTGGGGACTGGCTTGATATTGCATATGCCTTGCTATGGGATTTTCGATCCAACCGAGTTTTCTTTCCCTTGCAAAAAAAGATGACCTTCCTAGGGTATTCCAGGGAAGCACAACGTAAGGCAGGAAGATTAAAGTCAACAAACCTGCTTGATGAACTCCAAGAGATATCTAATCGTATTCAAGCTTCCATGGGTAAGAAATCCTTCTCCTGAAATGGCTTTTTTTGCCAAATAAACGTCTGACAACTCCTTAGGAACTCCTGAAATCGACACTAGCTCCATACCTAATGACTATCACGGTATAGACTTTGATTCTTGGCTGGATATATTCCTTGAATATGCCCTTGTTCTATCCGGTCAAGGGCAAGGAGATGAAGCATATGATACTCTCGGTGCAGCAGCCGATGCAAGTATATGGTACCACTCTAAACCATCCACACTCCGAATATATATTTGCTGGTTTAGTGAGTTATCTATCCACATGCAGTGAAAAGAGATAGTGCTAATGATTTACTTTCCTGTAGCATGTGCTCTTCGACTCAAGGATGAAGACAAATTGTCTGATATTTCACGATGGTTTATGAAAGAATACCAATTTGTCACTGATGCTTACAGACTCTTTGTGACCCTAAGTAGGGTTTGTGGTAACCCCCAGAGATCTCTTTTTCATTCAGCACCAAGCATGAAGTTTATGCTTCGACAAGTCAAAGCAGTCGATTATTCACTTCCGCCCGACCCATTATCGCCATTCAAACGCTCGCCCGAGTCTATATATCAAGAACGCGCGAGCCTTACGACAAAAAATGCAGAGGGCGAATATATACCCGCAGAGGAAATGGATGTTGCTCTGTTGGTGCTATATGGGCATATCCTCTATGCTGGCAACAGTTTTACAAATGCTTTGAATTACTTCTTCCGCGCATACGCCCTTGATCCTGAGAATCCAGCTATTCTCCTGTCCATTGGACTCAGCTATATCAGCCATTCCCTCAAGCGTCAGTCAGATAATAGACATTACCTTGTCATGGAAGGCCTGTCTTTTATGCAAGAATACCGTCGGATCCGATCCCAAAGCTCAATCTTACAGGAAAGACAAGAAGTCGAATTTAACTTTGCTCGTGTTTGGCAACTGTTGGGAATTGGTCATTTGGCTGTCGAGGGCTACCAAAAGTGCCTTAAAATAGGCGAGGAGATCGAAACCGAACGTCAAAAAGCCCAAAACCCAAATACAGTTGAAGGGGCAACAGTGGGTGAACAGCGTGGTGAGGCCTGCCTAGAAGATTTCTCTCGACAAGCAGCGTATGCATTACAATGCCTCTATTTGCAGTCAGGCGAAAAAGACCTATGCAAGAGAGTTACAGAGAAATGGCTTTTGATCTGATGTCGATATGACTGCCGTCTTAGCCCATCTTAGAGTTTCAATTTGCAGCTCTAATTTAAAATAGCTGAGAGCTCTACAATATGTTATGGGACTTTCGGATTAGTAGAGCTTTGGCGCATTCTGTTGTAGATATACTTTTCAAGGTAGAACATATGTACATTGTAGTAACTGGGATTACCCACAATCATAGTCGTAATCTATCATGCATATCAATATCGGTCAGTCATTCTTCAATTTTAGGTTTATTTTCCTTTGTGTACCATGTAAGAAGGTTACATGATATGTATCCAATAACGCTACCGCAGTAAAACGAATATGGTATCTCTTGAGTCGAACAGCAAATTATATGTGATAACCGGTAAGCATGCGCCAGCCCCATTTGCCATCTAACCCAGAAGAAACCGAAATCCAAAAACTTTACATGCAAGGCGTATGTATGAAGCTGGAGAATAAGCAATTACGACGTGTCGTTGAAAACTTAAACGTAAAGCCAGATCGCAAACTGCTGCAGGGTTTTGCCTTGAGCGGCGGCAGGTTGGCTCAGGCCGGTCGATCATAGAAGGCGGTGGGTGACTTGGTGTAACGGGCGGCGGGTTATTCGTCAATCACTCGCTTAGGGTTGCGGCATCGTCGTCGTCGTCATCATCGAAGAACACAGCAGATTGCCGCTTCAGCTCTTCTATAACACCACTATCACGGCGGTTGGGGGAAGAGGGTATCTGCTTTGGGTCCAACTCGGGAGGTTCATCCGTTGTATACTGTTCATCAGAAGTATAGGTTCCGTTTACGTTTTGATCACTTAGCAGATCGACGGTTTGTTCACCGTTAATCGCGGCTCCAATAATTCTTTCAGACTGAGACCGGGTAGGCACACGCCTACGACGGATTCCAGAGTCCACAGCATTGGGATTCCTATCTGGAGAAGTGTACTTTAAGTAGCCTTCACGGATAACATTCTCCAGCTTCATTCTGTTCTTGATGAACTGGATTGCTGGGAAGGTACTTGATTGACCCTCATGTAGCATATGAGCTAATCTTTCCGGGGATGGGTCTGATAGAATATAGTAAAAATCAGACAAAACTGATCTAGGCCATATGGTTATTGTGCCACCAAAACGCTGGAGCCAGACCTCGCTCCAGTCTTGCCCAAGTGGGCGAGGAAGTAGTTCAAGGCGCCTGAGGACCTTTAGCCATTTGGTAAGGTCGAGCTTGATGAACTGTTCAATGGCAGAACCAAGAAAGCCGCCACGCCAGCCTCTACCTTTGCGGTGACTAACTGGGCGGCCGACACTACCACGAGTGCTGAACGAGAAGAGGCTGATATGAGGGTTAACCTGTATAACCTTGTCAGTAAACCCTCTTGCAATAACACAATCAAAATTATCGGTGTTTCATTTTAGCCCTACCTGTGAAACTATGGGGAAAGTAGCATTGAAATGAATATCTAGTGCTTTTAAGGGAACATCCGTTCTAAGGCTGCCATCCTTCCACTTGTGACCGAAGGAATATGGTGACAGGGTTCCGTCTGGTTTCTTCATCATAAGAACGACAGGGTTCAGGATGCCTGGAACCGCAGCAGATGCAATGACGGCGCTCCAGATTACACAGTTGGGGGAAGTCAGATAATTTGCCAGGATGGTTGGGGAATGAGGGTCGGACGGTACGCATGATACATTCAAAATGCGACCTGTCCTCTCATATGCTTCTCGAAACGTCGTCGAACCACGGCAGAACCAGCTACACTGTTCCGCCCAATCCATGGTATCAAATCGCGCGCCCGTGAGCCACCACCGTCTCGCCCAGACGGAAAAGCCATCACGGCAGGCTTTGATTTTGTGTGCAAGTGCAGGAATAAGTAGCTGCTTTAGCTCATCGTCAGTTCTAGTGGCAACTAAAGCAGCAATAAGAGCACCTCCCGATGTTCCAGATATGATATCAGGTAACACCCCGTTGTCCAGAAGGGCCCGAACCACGCCAAAGTGGTAGTAGGCGAACGTGGCCCCCCCAGAGAGACACAAAGCCGTTCGTCCAAAGTTTGTGTCTAGGTGTTTGAAGAAAAGCGCTTTATCATGGTCTTGTAAGCCGCCGTTCTCAAGCAAGATTCTCAAGGATGCCTCAGCTTCGTTGATGAATTGTTGAACGAGGTGCTTTGTCCCAAAGTACGTTTCACTGTAGAGTCTTGGGTTCTCAACGCCAGCAAAGTTGTTCTTGATGCAGGCCTCAAGCAGAGCACGAAGCTCTTCGACGGCGTGTTCCTTCTCTGGCTTGCGGCCTTCGTCTGTGGCAACCTGGATCCTCGCCCTCAGGTCTTGCAGCTGTGTAACGACAGCGTTGACAGTGACATGGTTATAATAAGCATACTCATCGTCCTCCTTCCAGACATCATTGCCTAAAAATGTATCCAGTTCTTTTGCAACATCTTTCCATCTTTCGTATTCGTCTGTAGATCGAAGTGTCTTTCGTAGTTTGCGCCTTTTCCCTTTCCAGGAAAACAGGTTCTCATAAAAGAGTATATAGAAACGTGTGAGGAGATAGCAGAAGCTCAGCACAGCTATCCACATCAAAACAAATATAAGGAATGGCCATTTCAGCAATGTATATACGAATCCTTCCCGGGTTTCGTCCTTCCGTCGTCGTCTCGGTTTACGCCCATTCGCAGGCTTTCGTACTCGTTGATTGATCGGTCGCCAGTCGTTCACGGCAGTGAGGGACAGCGCTTCGGGGGCATCAAGAGCCTTTTTGAACTGCTCGAGGTGCTCTGAACTAATGAACTTTGTCCCGTAGTCCGGGAGGTTTTGTGGCTCATTTGCATCTCCATCGGTGGTGGTGGCCTCGTGCTGGAGCTTGTGCTCATCCGACTGTGGGTTTGTGGATGTCGACATTATGCCAATCACTACAGCGGAAAGCGCTCCACATGCAGTAAATCATTATCATCAGCTAGCTTTCATAAATAGAAGATGTTGGCATCTCCAACAATGAGAATGATATAATGGAGACAACACCTTGGACGGATCGAGGTTGACGGTGATGTCAATGAAGGCGGCCTCGGCCAACGACGTCATGACTGAATAAGACATGGTTATGTAATATTAAACATATTATGTCATCAATATCTTATCAGATCTTCGCTATTTTTATCCTTTTTGTTTTTGTTTTTTGCTTTTATTTTATTTTATATTTTTGTCCCTCGCAGTAAAAGAAGCAAAGACGAGCAGAAGGCAACCCCGAGCAGTCTCAAGCCCCAAGAAGAAGCGAATCGCCAGATTAAAACCAGGCTGAAGGCGATCAGATAACTTGAAGATGAGGCGAACGAGCCGCTGGAATAATAAAATAAAGCAACCTCCAAAGTAGCAGTTTCGAGTCATAGCGGCAAAAGGGACGAACAAGCTGAGAGGGCCTGAGGCTATCTTCTCCGAGTTAAGCGAACTCGTATCAGCCCCAAGCCACACTAAAAGTCCTCAAAAATGAGTCCTTTGTGAAGATGGTGTGTGGGATGGAGAAGAAGAAGGCAGCCATAATTTTGAGATATATTATTGAACTCAAGATCCGGTGTGACCACGAGGCAGATGATCCTGGGGCACTCACTAGTTGGTGAGCCATGCGCCTTGGTTACTCCAGCCTGTGTCACGGTTTCTTCGAGCTGAGACAAAACAGACATCGAACATGTTACAAAGCTCGGTATAACTACAGGGCAACTAGGTAACTAGTTACTTTGCTTGTGTTATCCCCGGATTTCATTATTTGGTTCGATACCCTGACTCTGACATGTGGTGAGGAAGTCAAAGGTACTCCTCAATATCAAACAAAATCCTGCATTTTCCTTCCTGGGTAATCTAGTGTGTTTGGTTATTTTCTCTTCCAGAGCATTATGAAGCACTCAGAACCAATGAAGGCCGTCTTCTGTTGACGTTGGTTTTTCAGGTGATGTAGAGGATGATATCATAACGGCCATGAATATGGGGTTATATGCACCAGAAAACAGGCTACGGGTGGAACCGCGTATACAAGATACAGAGGACGCCACTGTGTCTTCGGGAAATAACTGTTCCCCCGCGATATCTTGAGAATGGAGCAGCCAAAGGGGAAAAAATTGTCCGTCTTGCTCTCAACTCGGACGATGTCGTCCGCCCTATAAGAAAGCCGACCATGGACGTTCTCCGAGAACGATGACTAAGATATCACACTTCGTGGACACCAGCCTCAACTAACGCGCTACGGGCCATGGCGTGGGGATATCAAAGAGTCTGGTGATGCCTGTCGTCTGCCGCGATAGCCCTGTTATCGCGGGGTTGTTCGCTTTGGTATACGCAACCTCCTGGCAAAACAAGACTTCCTCATCTTCTCTTGTTACCGATCTTGGCGCGAAGAGACGAAGGCTCCGGCGAGATGGCTTCGCTTCCCCGATGCAGCCCAGAGACGGCCCTTGTACCGTTTGTATAGGTACTTGTACCTACACCGTACACAGCATGGCAATAATGGCCATGTATACGGAGCAGAAACAGGCGATATTGCCAGTTACGTATAGCATTAGTTGACGACGACTTGCGACATCCGTGATACCGTCCATACGTATGTCTGTCGCGCCCCCATCGCACACCACCGTCTTTCGATGGAAAGAATGAACAGTCACGCGGAATTCAGTTTTCGCTCGGGACAGAACCCTCAACCTTCAAGGAGGGGAAAACCGCGGTATATACGAACTGTCGATTGAATATGCGATGATCAAGGCAGACTTTTGGGCGAGCAATCTCATATTATCATTTACTTAATGCTGTCGAGGCGGCAGGGGTACTCCACAAAGCAAACGGTTAATGCGGAGGGCAATCTATATGTATGATTTTCATCCTTCGACTGCTTGCTGCTGCTGCTGCTGCATTGGTCGTGGTCGTTATGCAGGTTGAGAGGTGTAATTGTATGCAGAGGCGTGAACCCAGCCAGTCCCGTTGCGTACGGAAACGAACCTGTGTGTCACCACCTCTTTCATCCTTCGGAACGTCGCTGCGACAGACGACGCGAACTATCACCAACAAGGCTCATCCTCGAAAAGCGATAACCATAACGAAGTATCTTGCTTACAGGGCACAGACAACCCCTGGCAGAGTGAAAAGGGAAAATCAGACGGTCCGTGCGACATGTTTCTTGACGGGCTCCCGACTGTCTCTGTCCCTTAACACACTAGCTACCAATATCTACTCTGCTAGACAAGCAGCTAAATCGACGGGCTAAACAAGCAGACAGCTAGTGCTGTTTACAAGCATCTGGCCTTTAGCCGTCTTTACTCCAGCACCGTGTGTTGTTGGAGGGATCTGAACGGAGAATTTTCGGCCAGTGATGGAATTGTCGCCATCGAGAGAACAATCTATCCAGGAAGACAACTTGACAATGACGTTTATACTATGTCAAAAGGTCGGTGAGGAAGTAAGAGGAGGGCAAACCGGTGGCCTGTTCGTTGGTCCGCCCTTTGGTAGCTAGAAAGCAGGCAACTTAGTCCTCCGCCCTCCGTCGCTAACGGCGAAGGCGACAGACAGGCAGGTCTTCAAACCATGATCGTAACCCACGCCAGACAAGAAGACAAAAAGACAGAGCGGCCAAACAGAGCGACTCCATTCCGCCGGGAGACAGGGCAGCCCTGTGGACTGGGACGTTTCCGTGGAGATTGTTGGCTGTGATTTGCCCACCCCTAGTTTCCCTCCCAACCCCCCGGCCCTTCCCCCCTCCAAGGAATTGAGATGAGATGAGATGAGATGCATATACTTACACTACTGAATACTTACATGAAGGTGGCCGGGGGTGACCCCCTCCCTTCCCCCAATTCCAAGGATGGGACGATGAACGATGACGTTTCGCCATTCCCTGAGCCGATAAACGGGGTTGTTCGACGCGGGATAGAAGAAAAAGAAGTCAGGCCATCCGTTCTTTTCTTTCGTGGGATATTTTTTCTCTCTTTATTCCTTCCAGTAACCAAGGTAACTGGGCGAGAGCAAACGCATGTGCATAATTACGCACACACACACACACACATACACACATGCATACTTACAGTACATGGCTACGCTACGCTACGCTGATACATACAAGTCCATCCGGCCGTCATGAATGGCAACCCTAGCGCGGGAGAAGCATGGCGGCAGGCCGTCTATCCGAGCCAGAACGGTGATTCCTACCTATAATAGGCGGCGGGGAAGAAGGGTCGACGCCCTCCTGTTCTGCCCTGCCGTGTCTTGTCCTGGGGCGGGCGGGGAGGGAGGGGAATATACTTAGACGGGAGCCGAAGGACGGTTTAATCAAAGGAGAACTCAGGATGACATGCGCATTGAAGGAGTGTTCCAGCGAAGGTTCCGAAGGGGCTCGAGGAGTACTTGGAGGTACTTCCTCACCTGTGACGCGGGTTCCTCAGGGGTAAAAGTCAGAGTCAAAAAAAGGGAACAGACGTTGAGGATGGGTTCAATTTCGCAGGTGTTTCAAGGCGGTTGAACAGGAGCAGCGAGATTGAAGAAGAGCAAGACTTAGGACAAGCCTCATGGTGGGGATGGAGGGGTAAGAGCAGAGATTGATGATGATGATGAAAGAAGATATACGAAACGAGACGGGCTCCATTATTGGCTACCACTTGCAACATATCCGGTCTCCGTGTTATTTCAGCGAAATAAACCAAGCGGTGTCTGAATACCGGGGATAGGGAGGTTTTTTTTTTGGTCGATGGAGTCGGCCGCTGCTGCGCGAATCCAGGAAATCGAGTTACCACGCATGGCAGAAGACAGATCAAGGCAGTAGTATCTCACCCCGTAGCAGCAAGTCAGGATCCCGTACTATAGCCAAAACCTGATGATCACTGGACAGTTAAGCATAGAGTCAAAATAAGTGACCATGTAAGGCTGAAGGGAAACTCCATGACGCGGGAAGCCAATGAGACACTGCAGCCAGCAGTCACTATACACACTATCTCCTTATCAAGAGCCCTTGCCTGGGATCCCAACCCACGAGCCCCAGCATCAGCAGCAAATTATTCTTTTTATAACTGGCTGAGCCGGGCGCGCATCGCTGGTAAACCCTCCCTCCTCCCCGCCGCCGCCAAAATGCCATGTGAGGTGTGAGTGGGAACTGGCAGTGACGGCTTTTAACGAGATCAGAAGACCCAGCAGCGCCTCTCCGAGCATGAGGATCAAGATCAGGATGCTAAACTAAGGCTCCTCTAACGAACTAGTTTCGACTAACTGGTCCGACTAGCCCGGAGACTAGCAGGTTAGCCAAAAGGATGGAGTCGTCTGCTCGACCAAATCAGTGCGCTGCGATATCGCGCCATTCATGACAGAGACACAGAGAGACACACAACAGAGATGGTTGATCATGAAGCCGAAAAGAAATCACATCACAGATCACAGCGCATGAAAAGAAAAGAAAGTCCGAGACATCGAATCATCTGGACATGAGTTCTCCGTCGAGTTGAACGGTTCAATGAAGTACAGAGTATGTAGATGGGCTGTTCAATTTCATTTTTTTGATACTCAGCTTCGATGGCTCGTCGCCATCGATCTCAGCTCGGTGTGGCTCAAGCGCTCTCCATCGCCAGTGGCCGCCTTTAATAGCCAGCAGTCAGCTCTATGTGTGTGTGCGTGAATGTTGCGTATATGCATACTCGACCAGTGGCGGTTCTCCCCCTCATAGGCGGAGCAGTCGATGCGCCCAGTCCTAGTGAAAAAGCAAAGCCGACGAGCGTCCTTGGCCGTGGTCACGGAGATGGGATGGGCAATTTCGCAACGTAAGAGGTTGAACGGCGATCCTTGATGTCGATGTCGATTCATTCTTCCTCGCTCTTTCTTTTGCGATGGGTTATTAGTCCAATGCACTCGGACGGGGGCGTCTTGTGCTTCGTGATGGCTATGGCCCTCGTAAGTAAGTGTATATATACGGAGGGACCTAGTTAAACTGCAAATGGCGAGCGAAGAATGCTCCGTCCTGGTGGAGAAGGGGATAGGGATGGGACAAAATTTCTTCTGAAGGGCGGAGAATAGCCGTGTCCGTCCATCCATCCATCCCGTCCATCACTCAAGATGATGTGGTGATGATGATAGTGATGATGGTGTCTGTCTGGATCGTGGGTGAAAACAGTCTTCCCTACGGAGTACACTCCTGCATACTCCCTACATAGTACCGACACAGCCGGATAAAATCAGTTCGAAGAAGTAAATACGCCTGCCGTGAGTATTCCGTCCATAACTGGGGCTATCTAAACTAGCTGTTTAGGGGTGGTTTATATATATATATCCGTTCGCAGGAGATCGGCCACCCCTCGACGCAAGAGACCAACCAACCGAGTGTACCGCACCGATGATGGCTTGAGGACGACCAAAAGCGAAGCAGAGATGAGAGACGACGACGACGAAGAAGAAGAAGAAGAAGCAAAAAGAGGGAAGATGCCTGCATGCATGAGCCTGCTGCATCTGCATGCATGGATCCCGGCCTATAGTTTACACCCTTCTTACAAGACGAACCCGAGCAGCTAAACTAAACTCGCTAGTTCGGCCTAGGAAGCGCAGAAAAAGGGAACCCGAGCTCTCTCGAGAGAGATAAAAGGGGAAAAAAAGCAAGCTGATTCGATATCATATTCCTCCATGCACACAAACACGTCTTGACTTTTGCGACTTACGGAGGGAGTCGTTTAGTGTACTTCTGTGCATGCGCTGCAGCCTCCCCTCCGCTCGGCAGAAGAAGAAGAGTTTTTAGCACGGAGAGGAGTCCGCGGTGGAGATGGAGAGAGAGAGTGAAGCAGGAAGACTTCGGATGCCCCGTTGTCGACGTCACTACGGAGTCTCTGCTGCTTGTCTGGTGGCAGGTAGAAAGTCAATGAGAGAGAGAAAGACTCTGCCGGTAAGTAAGCGGTTATATATCGACAATCGCGGTGAGATATCTAGACCAGACGTTGGAACGAGGTCGATATGCACCGATAAGACGGGGAAAACGAGATGAAAAAGCAAGTCGACTGCACTCTACCTAGCATACCTCCTTGACTGCTGCGCCTGTACGTGCATATTTTAATACAGGAAGGATGCAAGTATGTTCGCTGCATGTGGCGCGTAGAACTGAGCGGTGAAGAAGATGTGGATGTGGATGTCGAATGTCGAATGTCGGATGTCGAGATCGAGGCCGATGGATGGAGATAACCAAGTCGAAAGCCTGAAAATGAGGCTGTAGTGGGATGTTCGGAGTAAGAATAAATGGGCTATGGAGTAAGGCTGTCTAGTCTATCCGCCTCAATTGATTATCGTCCTGGCGCTGCCCGTCATCGTCATCGTCATCGATGGTCCGATAGAGGGGTTGTCCTGCGGTGGAGATGAAAAGCGATGAAAATTTCTCTTCTGCAGGGTGGGTAGGACGGCTTTCGACCCTTTAACCGGAGAAGTCCATAGAGGTGGATTAGTTGTAGGTATTATTATTACTATTAAATTTATCGCCGTGTTGTACCATGGGAAGATACTCTCTCTCCATTCTGGTTATCTTATCGTCGTACATGGAATTACTTACTCGTCTATGTCGATGGAGATGCATATCAAACCTTGTCTGCCGGAAGACTTACTTCTCTGAAGTATCGAGCGTCGAGATGGCCGGGTCAAACTGTCATTGGCCATCTGCAGGCAGGCGGACGGCAGTGCAACCGTCGTCAGCTAAGAAAAGTAAGCAGGCAGAGAAGGCAGAGAAGGGATAACAGATATTATGGCCGTGGTCATCAGGGGGAGGCAAGTCATGCTCTGTACCCGTACCGCAGAAGTCAAGAGTCAGTCGAGAGGCAGTCAAAAGGCAGTCAGGAGATGATACATAAAATGATACATGAGATGATCTGATCGAGCAGAGTTGGAGGGGAGTAAGGGAGTCCCTGTCCAGTCCACTTGCGAACTCAACAGAGCCTCCGGACTGTCCATCTCTTCCGTCTCCATGTCGAAGCCAGTAGTGAGTAACTACGGAGTAAGAGGAGCAGCATCTCCCAGGTAGCCACCAGCCACCAGCCAGAGAACGAAGAACCAGAGAAGCCAGAGAGAGAGAGAGAAAGAGAGAGGAAAAAGCAAGCAACCAGAAGAAGCAAAGAAAGACGCAGAAAAAGCAATGAGAAAGCACTAAACTAAACTTCTCTTTGCTTCTTCTTCTTCTGTTTTCTTTTTCTCCATCAGAGTCGTAGAGAGGATGAAATACTCCGTAACAGTGAACCGATCTCCATACAGTTGATATTATTGAAGACAGCCATAGCACTGAGTAGACAGCATCACCACTGCCTCTAGCATCTCTACCAGCATCCTACTCCACCACTATCACTATCCACCCATCTATCTATCTATCTCTATCTATCTCTATCATGTAGATGTAACTAAAAGCCTCCCCCCTTTTTTGCCTTTCCTGCCTGTCACTTTTTCGCTGCTCTTTAACTGAGCGACCAATCAGAAGCCACAGCGGGCGCCCACGCCGAAAAGAAGAAGAAGAAGAAGAAGAAGAAGAAGAAGAAGAAGAAGAAGAAGAAGAAGAAGAAGAAGAAGAAGAAGAGACAGCGAGAGGGATAAGCATAGGATAGGGGTAGGATAGAGATAGGGATAGGGGTTCTTCGTCTTCTTTTACTCTTCTTCTTCTCTTACATCTCCTCTTCTTACATCGACTCCTCTCCAGTCGAGAGTCACGTCTCCTTAACTGCCTGCTGTCTCACTCAGGGGCTGCTGGTCGACCGTTGGCAGAGTCAACAGTCCACGTTGGAGCAGCATCAGCCATCAGCATCAGCTATCAGCCATCTTCAGAGAGTCTCCTGTCTCCTGTCTGCTATCATCATCACTAGGTGCCTGGCTGCCATCCTCTGCTCGCTCAGGGGGACCTGGTGACCATCCACAAAACCTGCACATGAAAACCACCAGCTGGTCCGCCATCTTTTTTTTTCTGCGAGTCCCCTCGAGCTGCTGAGAACCACCTTGTTGCCCTTCGCCACAGAGAGGGCCCTCCCCCCCCCGTAACATAACATATAACCGTCTGCTCCTCTTTGCTCCATCTCTCTCTTACTCTTCTACCCCTCTACTTTCTACTCTTCTTCTACTTCTCTACTTCTCTATTCTACCCTGTTCTGTCGTGCTGTTGTGCTGCGACTCGAATCTCACCTGGACCGGGAGCTCGCCACAAACATGCCTCGCTACTCCGCGATTTCTATATGAACCGTCCGCTAAGAAGCCTTGCCTGCTGCTGCTGCTTGAAGATACCATCAGCTGCAGTGTCCAGAGGCTCGCCATGGAGAAACTCAACACGGAAGACGGGCAGCTCTTCATCAAGGTACCGTTCGCCATATCAAAACAAACAAACATGAAACAGCTCCCAGAACAAACAAATAAAAAGAAGAAGAAGAAGAAGAAGAAGAGAAGCTAACATTCCTGTAGAGTCTCGCCAGGTTCGTCCGTACACATGAGAAGGCCCTCGCAAATGCGATGCAGATGAGGCGCCAGTCGAGGAGCGTCGACCTCTCCTCGTCCCAGTCAAACTCTGCCGCAGCCTCCTCTTCCTCGACCGGCCACAACGCCTCCTCCTCCCACAACAACCACCACCACAACCACAATCACAACCACAATCAACACTCCCACCAGCAGAGCCATGGAGTCCCAGGACGCTCCTCGACCGCCTCTGCGCTCGCTGCTGCGCTCTCCCTGGGGACACTCGGCCTCACCTCTGACTCTGTCCGGCCTGCCAGACTGACCCTGACCCCCCACCACCTCTTCTACCTGCTCTCCCGCTTCGAGGAGCTCTCTGTGCCCGTGGGACCGCTCAACATCCGCCTCGAGAACATCAACAACGAGACCTCCTCTGCATACGTCTCCTTTCTCAGCAAACCGCAGCGGCCCCGTGGCAGCGCGCCAGGCGGCGGCGGAGGAGACAGGGACTCGATTCACTCCGTCTCCAGCGTCCGCAGCGTCATGTCTACCATGAGCTCGTTCTGGTCCTCCTTTGGCCTCGGATCGTTCACCTCCCGGGACTCGGTCTCAAAGTCGGAAAAGGCCAAGGCTGCCCTGGAAGCAGACCTCAAATACCTCTATTCCTCCTTCACCAAGATCCCCTGCCTCAGACTCGCGCCAGACCACCGTGCCAGGCTCATCAGCGGATACGAAGAATTTCCCTTTGATACTGCGGTCCCCTTGCATTCCTTCAAGAACCTCTCGGCCCTGGAGATCATCGACGTAGACTTTCGCTCCTTTTTTGGTTGGGACAGGCTGGCCGAGCAGCTCAGGTCGCTTACGCTCAAGCGCGCCCAGCTGGAGGATATCGGTGACTTGCTGACGGGGATTGTGCTCGATGACATTGACAAGCGGAGGCGGAGGTCGTCCAAATCTCAGCCTTCTCCTGTCCTTGGTTGGCCGTCTAGTAGTAGCCATAGTCATAGTCATAGCCATAGCCACCATAACCAGCACCACCACTACTCTTCCACCGCCCCGGAGCTGGGAAAGTCTCTGTCTGCCCCTGGATCTCCCGTGGCCGAACCTGATTTTGGAACCAGCGCCAGTCCCAAGGGCGGCACAGCCATGCTCAGAGGTGACTCGTCTGAAGGTGGTGCCGGTGTCGGTCCCAGAAAGAAACACGGTCGTGCTGGCAGTATCTCTCCAGGTGGTGGTGGCAGGCCTACCAGCGCAAGCAAGCCTGGATCCAGCCACCGGCATCATCACCTCCACAATCACGGTCATGGTCACCATCGAGGACAGTCTTCCAAGATGAAACGATCGGGCTCAGGTAGCTCGGACTCCAGCGAGTCCTTTTCCACTTTCTTCCACCGTGGAGACCGTGGCATCTCCAACATGATGGCCTCTACCTCCACTGCTGCATCCGCCAGCAACAATAACAACTACAATAACCACACCTACCTGAGCCCCTTTAAATGGAGGTTCCTCAGACACCTCAACCTCACTGATAACTCCCTGACCAGTGTCAGCGTAGCCAGTCTCGCTCCCGTAGCAAATACCTTGCACTCCCTTGACCTCTCCTGGAACCTCTTCACTGAGGTGCCAGACAGCCTCGCCTCGCTCGTGGCTCTCAGGTCTCTAAATCTATCCCACTGCATGATAGATTCGCTGCACTCTCTCTCCCGCAGCCCCTTGCCAGCCATAACCTCTCTGAATCTCCGTGGCAACAGACTTCGCTCGATAGCCGGCGTTGAACGCCTGCTCTCACTCGAACGTCTCGATCTGCGTGACAACGCCATCACGGATCCCGTCGAATTGGCCCGGCTGACTGCCATCCCTTATATCCGCGAGATCTGGATATCCGGGAATCCCTTTACCAAATCTCACTCCGGACACCGGGTTACCATCTTCAACTTGTTTAGGCAGACGCCTGGATACCCCGAGGATATCTTCATTGATAACACGGGCCCGTCTTATTCGGAGAGAAAGCAGCTGGTTGAGCGAGTTGCAGAGCCTGAAGCAGCCCCTGTCATTCGAAAGTTTGAACTGAAGGCTGATTCCAAGGCTGAGGCTTTACCAGTTACCGTGTCTACTTCTGGTGCTGGTGCTACTACTACTACTACTTTCGCGGACCAGGAGCTTCTCTCGCCAGAGACGCATGTTGTTAAGCCTCGAGTTTCCTCGACGTCGGCAAGCGCAGGGGCTGATGTGACTTCTCCCCGTCGCAAGAAGCATCATAGAAAGCGTGTTGTTGGTCTCAGCGCCAATGACACTACTGCCGTGCATGCTGCTCCTGTGACTACCGTGCCTGTCCAGCCAGAGACAAAGTTCCCCGATGGTTCCGTGGTCAGAAGTCAACCCGTGCCTGACCCGTTCATTGACAATCCAAAGTCAAAGTCAAAATCTAAACCACGAGAGACTATGCAGCAGCAGCAGCAGCAACAGCAGCGGGAAGAGCCGCCGGTGTCTCCAACCACTGTGCGTCCCGTCACCCCCGCCCCTGCTGCCAGGACCCCCACTCCTGCAACTCCTGCAACAGATGACTCTCCAAAGGCGGGCACAACCACCTCTATATCCACAACCACTACAACGACCGAAGTTGAGACGCCCAAAAGCCGCACCCCTTTTCCTGGCCTCGATAACATCGACTGGGACGTTAGCGGTGACCTGTACCGCCAACGCCTCGAAGCCCTCAAGCATGAAGTCGGGACCAACTGGCTAACCGTGCTCGGCGACGACAATTTGGGCTGGACGACCAACACCGCCACCAAGAACATCAATCTGCACCCGCAGACCCCGGAATTCCACCACTCACCCGCAGCTCCAATAAGACCTCCGCCCCCGATGGCTCGAACAAGCAGCCAGATCATCGTAACTGGTGGTCGGGCACTTGGTTGATCTCACACTCTTACCAATACGACAATTATACCCAGGAAAGAAAACAAACAAACACAACAACAACATACATATCAAAGCATATACTGTATTAATCTTAATCACACACACAAAATTGGGAGGTATACGGATCTTTTTCATTTTATGCGAATATCAAACCAGACAGACAGGTACCAGCCGTCTGTGTCCACGGGCGAAATTCAGACAAACCCCAGAACCTCGAAACTATCTCCAGCCGATCTACCTCTCTACTCTACCACTACCTCCTACTCTATATATTTACGGTTTTCCCTTATCTTTCTCGGATATAGAAAAGCGTTTCTTTTCCCCCCTTATTATTTTTTTTCCTTTTTACTTTCTCTCCCATCTACTCGGAGAGAAATAAGGATGACGAATGAACGGATCGAAGAAAAAGTTACTGCTGTTTTTGTTTGCTTGATATGCTCGAAGCCAGTCGAGGAGCTCCTTTTTTACACACTTTTTTTTTTTTTTTTTTTTTTTTTTTTTATTTGCACAGGGACGAGTGACCCCCCGCTGACCGACTGACCGACTTGATATTGATCATCTCTTCTCTTGTTCTTGCTCTCACTCTCGAATGACGGATGGATGCTTGCTCTACTGTCTATTTTTTACCTCCTTTTCTTTTTGCTTCATACCACTTGGGTTTTTTTTCTTCTTTCCTGCTTTGCTTTGCTCCGGATGCATGTTCACGTTCACGTTTATCGGAGTTCAGGCTGCTTTTTGCTTCTTCTTCTTCTTCTTCTTCCTGCTTTCCTTTCCTCAAGACCAAGATCAAGACTGTGTTTGGTTCTGCAAGTTATACATACATCTCCCCTTCTGCGCGTGGCCTGCCTAATACCTCTTTCTGCCTGTCAGCCTGCTTTTAACTCTTGCTTTGCCGCGTTCACTCTTGCTTTTCCTGCACCGCACAAACTAATGATGACTTGACGCTGAGCTGCCCCTGCCTAACTACCCTAACGCACCCATTACAGTCGGGCATGTCGGAGGAGGTATACCGAATATCCCTAGATATCACATCTATCCCCCCACCCCCTTTTAGACCGATTGTACATTACTCTCTCCCCTGGGCGGCACTTTTGTCCCTTTTCTGCCTCTTTTTTATTTCTCTTTCTGATCTGGCGTTTGCATAGCGTGGTTTTATCTTCTTCTTCTTCTTCTTCGTCCTTTCTTTTACGCTCTTCTGGCTGGCTTCTCTTGTCTTCTCTGGATGTCTCGTTCTTGCTTAGCTGTTGGGCTCAAAAGAAAATAAAAAATAACTTGTTTGGTTGATCGTCAAGTAAACACGTAAATCCATCTATCAGTAAATCATCGCAGAAATAAAGCACAAGTAGATATCTCATCATATCCATGTTATGCTGCTGTTGTTGTTGTTGTTATGTTGATGTTGTTGTTTTAGCCCCAAAACCTGCCTTGCTGGTCCCGCGCTCGCCTGTTCCCGCCTTTTCTCGCCCTCCCTTTTTTTATTTTCTTCTTCCCTTCAACCACCGCCAGCCCAAACAAACCCATCAGCCCCAGCGCCGCTCCAGCAACCGCCCTTCTCTTCAACGACCATCTCGCATCTCCCAGCCATCCGCTTAACGGCTCTCTCCAGTCAGAGAGAGAGAGAGAGAGAGAGAGAAAAGGAAATCCCCTTGCTCGCGCTTCTTCACGCCACCTCTTCTTCTCGCTCCGATTGCGCGTTTCGTCGAAAATTTTCAACCCGCACACGAGAACGACGCATCTACGGTCGATCGATCGCTAGCCATCTATCTCTCTGCCTACGACCACCAGCCTTAGACAGGCGAATACCTGACCTTGCCCTTGCTCGCTCTCAGCGTGCGTGTTGGTATCACTTCTCTTCCCTTGCTCGCTCGTGTGCTGCTGCTGCCGCTGCTGGCATCCCATTCACTCCAACCTCACCCAACGAAGCGCCGGTGTCGAGTCCCTTGTCCCGTCCACGCAGACCAAGAACGGGCCAAACGGTGATTTTAAACGAAGATTAAAAACAAACCAGGCGGGATAGCTTTTCTTCTTTCAGCTGCTTGGTATTCATTCTCCTTCTTCTACCTCCTCGTGGTTGTTACACGTCTGCGTCTGCATCTACATCTGCGTCTACCCGCTTCCAAACCCCCCAAACCCTACCTGGCCATCAGGGCCTGTTCTCTTCTTCTTCTACGACTACTCTCCACACCGTCCTTCGTCTCTGCGTCCGTCAACTTGCTTCGTATCGGCGGCAGCTCGTCTACGTTGACCTTAGCCGGTCCCAAGGTTGGTTCTGCTCCATCTTTCTTAACCGGTTCTGCCATGCTTGAAACGGCTTTCCCATTTTTTTTTTTTTTTTTTTTTTTCGTTCATCTCCAGCTAATCATTATTAATCGTTTCTCTCCAGCATCCTGACAGCAAGAGGCAACAGATACAGTGACTTCTCTTCTCTTCTGGCCTCTTCGCGCCTTGCCTGACCCCCTTCGACCCATAGACCACTTCTGACTGACGCGACGTGACTACTTTTGCTGTCCTCGTGGGAGGTTTTTTCCTGTCTTATAATTTTCTCTCACTTTTTTTCTTCTTCTTTTTTTTTTTTTTTTTTTTTACTTCTTCTTTTCTCTCCCCTGCACTGGTAGCCATCCCACGCACACGCACACACGATGGCGGACCAGAACGAGATCGATTTGGATTCGATCATTGATAGACTGTTGGAGGTGAGGGGCAGTCGTCCCGGAAAGCAGGTCCAGCTGCTCGAGTCCGAGATCCGCCATCTTTGCACCAAGGCCAGAGAGATCTTTATTTCGCAGCCTATACTTTTGGAGTTGGAGGCCCCAATCAAGGTATGAACTGCTATCTATAAGAGCGTCTATGAGAGAGAAAGAGAAAGAGGAAGAAAGAACTAACTCGCGAAGATATGCGGTGATATTCATGGCCAGTACTACGATCTCTTGCGCCTGTTCGAATACGGAGGTTTCCCGCCGGAAGCCAACTACCTCTTCCTAGGCGACTACGTAGACCGAGGCAAGCAGTCTCTCGAGACCATCTGCCTACTCCTCGCATACAAGATCAAATACCCAGAGAACTTCTTCGTTCTCCGCGGCAACCACGAGTGCGCTTCCATCAATCGTATCTACGGCTTCTACGACGAGTGCAAGCGAAGATACAACATCAAGCTCTGGAAGACCTTTACCGACTGCTTCAACTGCCTCCCAATTGCCGCCATCATCGACGAGAAGATCTTCACCATGCACGGCGGTCTCAGTCCCGATCTCAACTCCATGGAACAGATTCGTCGAGTCATGCGTCCAACAGATGTAAGTGCCCGCCCCTAGTACGTGTGACAATTGAACTGATACGCGTCCATTTCGGATGCCCGGAGGACGGTTTCTGCATTCTTTATTCCCTGTCCCTTTGCCATTTCCCCGGGAATTCCCTCTCTTCCCTTTTTGGGATGTAAAATGATTATTTATTACTCTTTTCTATGCATGGCGTCAGTTTGAACTGTCGACGATTGACTCTACTGATCTATTTAGATTCCTGACTGTGGTCTCCTCTGCGATCTCCTCTGGTCTGATCCTGACAAGGATATCACCGGCTGGAGTGAAAACGATCGAGGTGTATCCTTCACATTCGGCCCCGACGTCGTCTCGCGGTTCTTGCAGAAACATGACATGGACCTCATCTGTCGAGCACATCAAGTAGTCGAGGATGGCTACGAGTTCTTCTCCAAGCGGCAGCTGGTCACGCTCTTCAGCGCACCAAACTACTGCGGAGAATTCGACAATGCCGGAGCTATGATGAGTGTAGACGAGAGCCTTCTCTGTTCATTCCAGGTATGCTTATGCTCTCTGCTCTCATCCACTCACTGTAACCGGGCACTTTTTTCTTTTCTTTTCCTGACGCTAACCTTTCTCACACCTGTAGATCCTGAAACCAGCCGAAAAGAAACAAAAGTACGTCTACGGAGGCATGGCACCTAACAGACCCATCACTCCTCCAAGGAAACAGAAGAAAAAGTAAACAAGAGAAAACATACGAGCTTTCCCTCATATAGCAGGTTCGGGCGGAGATAATACGCGCCATCTTCATCATTACCAACAACCACCACTCGATTGAACCGACCACCACCATACCCTCCGTACCATTTACCACCGGGGCACGCACACTCACACCACTGCATTCCCAACAATCAATTCATTGCATATCCGTATATGTACACGCCGCCAAGACACATTTCGCTCATGCAGGCGAAACATCAGCAGCCAGCCTGATCTCGCGTCCGATTGATTGTTAGAATCTACGCCACCGACAAATACCTCTTTCTCTTCCCTCCCCCGCCTATCCCCTCCCATCCGACCGAGCTAGAACGAGACCAGCTCAGACCGCACCAGCGCCGATTCGCCTCATCTTCATCCGGCTTCACCACTTCTTTTTTTGCTTCCGACCTACTTTCTGCTTCTCTTCTACTTTTTTTTTTTGTGCCTACAATATATCTTCCGTGTACGATTTGTATGAAGCGCTGCAGTGAACGGAACGGAACTCTACGTACTTTTACCCTGACGACTACCCACTGACTCCCTGCTCCCTCCCAGGCAGGTGGTGGCATGGCATGGCATGGCAACTTAATGACATCTCTGTTTTCTGTCTCCTTGAGGTGGCTTAAGGAAAGAAGTTGGTAGTTATCGGCTCCAGTATATCAGTAGCTAGTAGCGTGGATAATTCACTTCTTCTCTTGCTGCTCTCTGCTTTGCTTTGCTAGGCCCCCCTTCCCTCCCTCCCTACTTCTTCCCTGTTCCCTTTACACCAGTTGCTCTGCATCTTTTTCCAACGGCGTCGACGTCGATATTTCACCCTGTTTTCCCACTTACTGGCTTGCTCGTTCTTGGTTGGAGAAAATGCAAGCCAGGAGTGGTGTGATGTGCCGTACCCCTTTCCCGTTTTTTTGTATCTCCTTGCTCACTTTCAATATGTTATACCTGTCTACTGTCTACTGTTGTTGTTTAATGATCCCATCGAATAATATACATTTGACTCGTACTCAACTTATCATCCTTACGTAGCAGATGGAGCTGTCCAAACCAATCTGTGTAGGGTTTGCTTTATGAAGTGTATAAGAGAGCCGCGAGCCTATTTATATGTAGCTATGTATCTGAACACGGAAGAAAGAATCAAAGTAGAAAAAGGATAGAAAGAAAAAAGAAATAAAATAAATCGTCAAAGAAGGTATGATTTGCTGGATGGATTCATAATAGATAGAGTTAATTAGAGACATTGGACGGGTTCGAGGGGAGGGGGGCTAGATGTGTGTGTAGTAGTGAGAAGGGAGTTCGGCCAAGTGAGTGAGTGTGGGCAGGTGGGTGGTTAGGCGCACCTACATACTCGCTCACCGTCGTTCATGCTCTGGTGAAATAAGTTGCTAGCATGACATAACAAGAAAAAAAAAGGAGCATACATGCATCGACGGTTCATTCCCATTTTAGACAAGACGGCGGAAGAAAAGCGTAGTCAGCGGTGTTGTTGTTGTTGTTGTTGTTCTGAAACTGGTTTGCGACATTTAGACGTATTGCGACATCCATCGGATACCTTCACCGTAGCCTAAATATTCCCGAACAAAGGTCCTTAGCATTGGTCCAAGCTTCGTAGCGTTTAACCGAGTTGTGGGTAGGCAGATCATGAACTTACCCTGTCTCATCACAACACTGCACATAAACAACTCGATGGGCCTGATTCCCTCCAACGGCACCTTGCCCTTGCCAGTGGTCTGATACAGACCCAGAGCAGCTCTGAGCTGGTCCTCGGAGACAGCGGAGGGATGGTCGATTTTATTTCCGAGAACGAGGAACGGGACCTTGGCTAGATCTTCCATGTTGAGAAGAGCGTCGAGCTCGGCTTTGGCTTCGGGGAAACGCTCCACGTCCATCGAATCGACTAGGAAGACGATGCCGTTGACTTCGGGGAAGTAGTCTCTCCACAGGCGACGGGCCTGCAAGTGACCGCCCAAATCGAAGGTGGTGAATCTGTTGTTGCCGATAGCCAGCTCTTCAGAGGCTGTTTTACGTAGTATGGCGTTAGCTTGGTGGTTTTATTGCAATCTACTTTTATGTGGTGTGAGCGAGGGTTGAGAAAAAAACGCACTTGGGTGTGAGGTAGGCTGCATGAGAGCAACCCGGTCGTTCTTCAACATGTGCAGAAGAGTGGTCTTTCCGGCATTATCGAGGCCGAGGAACAGTAGTTTGGCATGCTTGTTGAGCAGGCCGAGCGAGGCGAGGACATCGTAGACTAGAATCCGTCGAGGGATTTGAAATTTTAGCCTTCTCGAGTCTAAGTGTTCACAGGTGTTCTGACAGGTGCATGCGCTTCGGTGTGCCGCGGGGCCTCATGAAAACAAGATATAACGGGGTTTAAAAAGGCTCAAAATGCAAGACAGAGTACATACACCAGTTGATAATCCACATGGTGGGCTGCGGGAAGCTCTCTCAGTGCGAGGTAGAAGTGGTATTGAATGCCTTTGTGCGTGAGAGTGGAAGGGTGAAGGGCGAAGAAAAATAGGAAGCTTCCTGGCGTGGAGGCGTGTGTCTGCTCTGTTCATACAGCAGTAGCTGGGCCAGCGGACGTCCCTTGAGCGGCGGCAGTGAAGTGTCAGTTGAGTGAAGCGTGTTGCAATGCGATAGGGGTGCGGTGGTGTGCGGTGCGAGATGCGCGAAGCTGCTGCAGGGAAGAACTCGAGGTTGGATTGTTTCTTTTTGGTCTTTTGGTAGTTTAATACGGCAGAGGTGTTAAGAAAAAGGCCTGGTCACGTGGAGGCGCTATAACCTAACAACCACGTCAAATAATATTGCGCTCTAGCTTTAAAGATCTTCTATTTAGCCTTATATTCTTTCGATTTTATAGTATTTACCTATAATTAGAAGAAGCTTGGGGGATATTTTTTCTCTATTAAATAGGAGGTGATTAACCATCTGTTCGAGTCCACAGAAGAAATCCAAATTTTTGATAATTAGTGGCCATGTAGGAAATTATTATCAGAGAATAAACACGCGACTTCTTGATTGCAAAGATGCCCAAACTTTACGTTGAGTGCCATTCCTCATTGCAGATTGTGGAGACGGTATTCGTACATTGCTTATATCACAGAGGGTCACCCATGAGCATCTTAATCTAAATATCTTAATTTCTCTATTTCAGTGCATTTGTGACCTTCGTAGTAGATATCTGTGTGGCAAGCTTAGTTGATTTGTTGTTTGACAAGTCGACAACAGTCAAGCTGTCTTCTTGAGTGACTAATTACATGTTGACTTAAGAAGGTAAGAACCATGATGAAGGTAACAGCATTGCGACATTAATAAGGGAGCAAGCTTTTGTTTATGAAGAGTGAGAGGAAGGGCATGACCGATTGCTTTTTTGGGTACATAGGTGTAGGTAAATTCAGGAGGGAGGGGGCTAGCCTGGAGTAAAACCCATAAACCTAATAGACTCGTCTGCCGTTTCGCGCAAGTTCGTAATAGAGAGATTATATGTATCTGCCGGGTTTCTATTGGGAAAGATGCAACTGCCAAAGAGTTGCCTTCTTGATATGGGAATCACCTGGTTTGTATTATTTGCTGGTGCAGGAAAGATTTCCTAGTACTTATTAGTGGCTGTAAAATATATTCTCAAATCAAATATAGCAGTCACATACCTCAGTCTGTAATAAGACAACATTCCCGGCGAGATCCCTTCCATGAACGTGCAAATTTCCTTTTACACGGCCATTACTTATCTTGGTCCATCGAATTAACAACACTAGCTCAACAGCTGTGCCTCCGACAAGCCAAAGATCCTTATCAGCCTCCAACCGAGGCCAAGACTCTGACCAGCCTGACTCGACAGCAACAGTTGGTAGAGGCAATGCGTCCGGAAGGATACACGTATCAGGCTCTTTTACAGCGGAGGTATATGGTGCCGCAAAACCAGTAAAAGCTAATAAGAGAATGTCAATCAAATAGAACTTCAAAAACGAAAGAAAGGTGAAATAAAAGCTGAATAGGTGCATCATACTCGTTCCAACGCGGAGTTTCAGTTTCTTTCTTTCTGCTACCGTCAAGAATCCAGCCATAACCATATCGAGCAGCTCGTTTGAAAGCCACTCTTGGTGGCAGTCATGGACTGTAGTCGGCATAACTCGAGCAGTCAGGACTTTAGTTAAAGGGTTATACGAAATGCTAGAATAATGTTTAGAAGTTGTTTCAAATCTTCTTGTGGTGGCTGCTTTTGGTAACGTACCGAGGAAGGGCCCTCTCAATCTCGGGATCCTCTGAAAATGATGTTGCAATTTGGAATCCGGCAGCAGGAGAAATATTTTGGAAAGTCAGATCAGTAGAGTGGTTTGTGTTTAAAATCTCATTTCGAATGTTGTTGAACAACTTCTGAGCAGACGGTTCTTCGGCTGGAAGGTTTGTGTTGCTCCGTAGAGAGCGCGTTGGGCCGGTGACGCTTCCCATTGTTGTCAGATACTCAATATCTGCACAAGAAACCGTATTTGTTCAAATACTCCTAAGAGAATAGAACTAGAGGATGATATCGTGATGCCGGAGCCTATATCTTCGTGGTTGTTGTAAACGTCCCGACTATCTTATCTGTTATGCTGATGAGTAGTACAGGGTGACTAGCTAATAGAAGCCTACTGTTGACCGAGGGCAAACGTCGTGAGTAAGGAGATAAAGATCAAAGGTGAAGGACTTAGTAAAGGGCTGGTATTTGGCTGCAGTAGATACATAGTTTTTCTTTGTTTTGCACAGGATGTAGTTCTAATATAACTAGAGGACAAGGTTTGATATCACGTCATCATGTCGTTATTTTCATGTCAAGAAAAAGGCCTGGTCACGTGGGAGCGCTATAACCTAACAACCACGTCAAGGCAAAATGACGGAGACTACCTTTGGGGCGACGGAAGGGAAAGACGATGATGACAGATGGCAGATGGCGAGTGGCAGACACGGATCAGGTACTTGTTGATTTATTAATTTGGTTCATTTCATTCAGTCGTTAGCATAAGATGTAGTATCAGCAATAGCATAGAAAGGAGACCCCCTCCCCGGCCTAATCTAGTATGAAAGATGCAATTTAAAACAGAGGACCAACCCCAGCTGGGAGGATTCAACTCCAGAGTCTCAGGTACAATGAGCGAAAGGACTAAAGGACAGGTATAGGTATGTACAGAGGGAAAGGATAGAGAAGAAGGTCGAACAGAGTGAGACACATAAGAGTATGAAAGAAATGAGTAGAAGCAAAAGGAGGAATGGAAATAGTTAGAGTTAAAAAGATAAAAATATTGACATGAAGAAGGATAGAAAGAAAAAGAAAGGGAAGAAAAAATGGAAATGAAAAGGATGAACAAATGCTAGCTGAAACAGTCAAGCCAAGTCAAGTCAAGCTAGGATATCATGAAGCTGTATTCACTGCGATCTGCGCAATAGGAAAAGTAATCAAGCATCCAGCATAGAGTATAAATAGAATATGAAATAGTCAAAGGGAAAGGTAAGAAGAAATCAATTCTTGTCTTCGAGGAAGAGAGGATAGAGAGGGAAATAAAAAGAATAAAAGGGGAACACCTCTTAACTTTTGGTAGGTCGTTAATAGTTCATTTGTCTACGCCCGTGCCAGTGGCGTGACATAGTGTGGGTAGTAGCGAGTTAATAGCGAGATAGATAGTATGTTGAGGTGTTTATATCGAAAGGACGAGCTTTGGTCCGTTTCCACCGTTGACGCCGACACCGTAGGCTCTGAATCTCTCCGCGACTTCGATGCCAAGTTCCTTCATACGCTCTGCGCCTCGGCCCGGGACCATCTTTTCACGAGAGTGGATTTGGTCCTTTGCAGCACGGCGGCAGTGTTGACGCCAGAACTTTTCTTTCCGCTTTTGTCTCTTCTTCTCAAGACCGGCAACGATGTCGATTGGTCCTCGGGTGTGAGTAGGACTGGATTTGGTTTTGGTAGATGCCTTTTGGCCGGGGGATGGAGAGCGGGAGGTGCGTTTGTAGATGTTGGATGAGTAGCCACGGGCAAAGAAAGGGTTGGGAGTTCGTGGAAGAGAAGAAGTTCGGGTGCGGTTTGGTCGTTGAGCAAGAGCAACAGCTATTTTCTTTGCCGTAGGACCTGCACCTAGATTCGGAGGATTGATGAGAGATGTGCGGCGAGAGGGAGGCGGAGAGCGTAGTCGACCAGGTGGTGGAGGGGAGCGGAGGCGACGAGGAGAGTGCCCAAACAGTCTGCGAGGAGAGTGTGTTGCTGCCTTCGAGGTCTTCTCGATGGTGGTTCGGCTAGATCGACGTCCACGAGGGGGCTCGACAGCATCGTCATCGTCAGCCTTTTGCTTACGAGCAGCTGTTGGGTTGGCAGACACATCATCGTCTGCATCTTCATCGTCTTCGTCCTCGATGTCGGAGGTAGGGAAGCTAGGATCGATGTCCTGAGGGATGGGGATGTGTTTCTGGCGTCGACGCTCTTCCATTCGAGAGATGTAGGCGACTTCAATGGACCTGTCTTCGTCCAGGGTGCCACAGACAAAGTCAGTGCTATCAGGAAGGCTGGGAGCTGTAGACTTCGACTTCTTCTCCTTGGTCGCAGCAGCACGCTTCGGCTCGAATGGAGGAACCGTGTCTAGCGGACCGCGGCTAGCGAGAGACTCTATTGATCCGTGAGACTCCTTCCATTTCATCGGCGGTGGCATGACAGTGATATCGGAGTGCGAGGTGGCTGCTGTAGTAGTGGGAGTCCAGAATGCGTAGTCCGATTCCCCATCATCATCGTCCGAGGAGCCAAATCCTGCTTCATTGTCTGTCTCATTGCCGTCGTCAGACAAATCTTGGTTCCCATCGTCTTCATCCTCCTCATCATCATCCTCGTCCTCCTCGTCATCATCATTGTTCTCATCGTCATCGTCGTCGTTCTCGTCATCGTCCTCATCATTCTCAGCCTCCTCAGCCTCCTCCTGCGCCTCAGCCTCAACTTCCTCGCCCAGCTTGCGGATAACATTCTCTTTGCGCATGCAATCGTCCACAGTCATCTTATGCTTGTAATCAGACGATTCGTTTAGCCAATCTTCGTCTTCCAGCGAGCTTCCAAATTCCTGGAAACGGGTGGCGTCCGATAACTCAAACTTTCCGAGCCCAGTCACCTTCAACGAACCAGTCGCGGGTGCAGGTTCAGTAGGTTTAATTCCCGGCGTTTGGGATACTTCGAGGGATCTGGCCTGGTACCTGGATTGTAAACTCATTGGCGCAGGCGATCGGCTTCCACGAATACCAGCAGAAGGGTTGCTTGTAGAGTGTTTCTGGTTCTTGATATCAACATCGGTGTCCCGGGGTCTGGCTGGACATGCAAACTTGATGGTCGATTTGCGCTTAGGAGGATCGGCAGCCACGGGATCGCTCTGGGTATGGTCGACAGGGTCAATCTTGTTGGCACAGGCAAAGGTAATGCATCGCTTACGGCCCAGGTTAGCTTCCAGCTTTAACTCATGTTCATCGACAGGAGAGACGGGTTTGGAAGGTGACTCAGCTGCCACCCACGGAGGACGTGTGAACTGTGTGGGAGGAGGCGGTGAAGGAGTAGTCGATCGAGGAGGAGTGGTCAGTTCACCGTCACTGGTGAGTTCGGCTGTCGAAGGACCGCTATGGTTAGGGTTGATAGAGAATGCAGGTACGCTTCTCCAGGTAATGCCGGAGGCCGCACGGTCAGTCGGGGAGAGCTCGGGACTGCTGAGCAGAGCTCGAGTGAGGAGTGACTCCTTTGTGACTTTGGGTCTGGAGTTGCTGATGCTGACGGTGATCTTGTTGCTAGAGGTCGGAGCGTGTTCGTGGGAATGGGATCGGACGGTGCTAACACGGGGTCGACACCCTGGAGGCTCGTCACACTCTGCAGCGGCCTCTTCTTCGTCGGTTGGTGCCATGTTTGGCGTCTGTGATATGATAGGCATGGTGGTGTCTGCCTTTCTTCTTCTTTTTCTTCGAGAAAGAAGTAAAAAAGGGGAGAAGAATATGATTGCGAGTTCAAAAATCAAAAAGCCAACTTAAGGAGAAAAAAGTAGTAGAGGTATAAAAATCGTAGTAATACTTCTTCCGGTGCGAAGTTGAAAGCTGAAGGTGATGGCCGGTGAAATGTAGATAATCTCTACCGGCGGTGGTGATCAGTTTAAGTAGTGAAAAAGTGCGAGACGCAAATGTCCATCAGGACAAACGTGGTGTCATAAGTGAACCACCATGATGTACAGGGGCGTCGATGCTCGGAGACGAGGGAGAAGCCGGCCAAGGAGTTGAAGGGTCAAGAACGCGCCAAGCAGGCGTCTTGCCGCCGAAACAGCAGCTATGCTGTGGCCAGCCGGAGGTGAAGTGGTGAAGTGAAGCTGGTGTCGTCCGGTGTTTTGCCCTGCCTGAAATGGTGATACAAGGGCCTAGACTCCGCCGGCGTGGGACTCGCTATCTGTCTTCCCTGCCTCTCGATCCTGACTGACTGTGACTGTGTCTGTGTCTCGATCTGTATCTCCGTCCGCTGGTCTGTGGCGCTGCCCTTGGGGAGGGGTTCGAGGTTGGAGTTGAGATTGAGGTTGTGAAATGCTTGTTGCTGTAAGGGACCAGGTCGGTTGCTTAAGTAGACGTGTGCGGCGAAAGAAGCAACGTGCAACGGCAAGCCGACAGCCTCTCTCGCTGCTGATCCGAGATGCTGTCCGAAGAGCTTCTTTTTCTTTTCTGTGAGCTGTCGTCGTCGCCGGCTGGTGGTTGGCTGGCAGTGGTGGTGGTGGTTGGTGGTGGTGAAGTGTTGGAGGTTGAAGTCGAGGAGGAAGAAGAAGTTGAAGTGCGAGAAAAAAAGGAAGAAAAAAAAGAAAAAGAAAAAAGAAAAAAGTTCGCGGAGGAAGCAAGAAGATTCCGAGAAAGGCTAGCGGGGCGCTTTTCCTCTTTGGGCGAGGCAGCGTTGATGTCGAAGTCGAAGTCGAAGTCGATGACGGAGACGAAGTTGATGGTCACGATGATATTGATGATATTGATATTGATGTCGATGTTTCTTTGATGCCGATGTTGTCGACGCCGATGCTGGTGCCGGCGATGGCGAATGTGATGGGTTAAAGGCGAGTCCTGACCTTGTATAACGTCCAGGCATATATAACGACGCTGATCAGGCCGTGCAGTCCTGGCTTCCACGCTGGAGTCCGTCAAGGTCACTCGATACGCCAAAGAGAGGAAGCAATTCCCCGTCGTCCTCTCGTTCGCTTAGGAAAACTGGGGACGGCTCGATGACGATGTAGTGATGGGGACATCCTGGCTTGACCTGACAGACATGGTCGCCGGGGCTTGCTGTGCGCCCTTCCGGTTGGGAAGCTTGATCCCTACGCCTGCTCCATCAACAGACAAGGGCTGCAGACAGACAGCAGAGGGCAGATAGACTTACACGACGCTACTACTCCTGCCGCTACCGCTACTGCTGCACCTCTGTTTATTGTTATTATTTATTACACTTGCAGGACGCCGGCTGATTGCGAAGACAGCCAGGAATCATGCTGCTACGTGCGCCTTGGCCCCGTCTTGTCTTCAACCTGATGTGCTGCTTGGCCCTGGCTTGCTTTTTCCGATGGAGAACAGCATGCACAATATGCAGAGTGAACAAGTGCGAAACTCTCCTTGGCTTCCCCGTCTCATCGACGGCCTGATGTCCCTTGGCCATCTTGTCTTTTTGCGGTTTGATGGGGCGGCCATGTGGAACCACGAGAACACCTGTGATTTTTAATTAACGTATCCAGTCAATTACCTGTGATGGACACCCAGATGAGCGTATATATGGAGCATTCCGTACGGAGTATATGATACTCTAAAATAATGGTATGTCGGAGAGAGGGCCTTTCCGCACGCTATGGATGCGCTTCGATGGTGCGGGGTGTTACATACGACTACGCATATATATTATTATTAAATGTCCATACTCCATACTTACATATTCCGTCAACACTAGGGACCTCGGAAGACCGATTGTTGAAACTGGAGGATGCTGATTAGTCGGTGTGGCAGGCGCACTAGTGTGTGTACAGCAGTTATATCCGAACATGCCATCTCTTATCGAACCAGGAGTTGGGGAACACTGCAGAAGCGAAGAAGCAACAGAAAGGGAGAAGAAGCAAGAAACCAGGATTAGCCGAATAAGCAAAGCGAGGAAACAGAAGAAACCGCCCATTTTTTTCTTTTCCTTTTCGAAACGCGGCTCGCCATCTGAACGTCCGGGTGGACTTCCCCCGATCAGACAACTTCGTATAAATACAGCCAACAAATAGCTTGTTCGATTCGTTCCCCCCAAATTAAGAGGGTAATTCGGCACTTGCCATCAATTATATATCGTCGGCGTTCCCCATCTCCATACATCTCTGGCTACTGTCCCTCGAAGGAGCAACTTCCCAACGTCAATGCGCATGGTCTCCTGCAGATCAACAACGCCAGTTTCATATCTTCTTATCCTTCTTATTGGGCCAGCGTCAAGAGCCCCCATGCCATCACGTGTCGGCTGTTCAGTCAGCCTGCTTACTCTTGCGTGCCCTGCGCCCGCCGCCGATTTGGACGGAGGAACAGAGCGATGCGGGAATATCCTCTGCCTGTCAACCACCGGATCAACATACAGCCAAGGCTGAGATGCATTCAGGTGCTTCACTTGGCTGACCACAGCCTCTCACCAATCGCTCAGAGATGGCTGCGTAAGGCATACAAGTCCGTATCGCGATGGGATGGGCCATGGCAATGCCATGGCAATTGGCAGGGTAATCAAGGTGATGGCAAGTGCCGAATCCTTAAAAGACACGGACAGATTTCCGAAGGACAAGGAAAAACAAACAAAACAAAACAAAATCACCGACAGCCAAAAAAAGAACAAAGGTGGTAATATAATAGTTATAGGGATGTGAAAAAGAAAAGGTAAGAGAAGGAAAGAAGCTTGCTATCTGTTGTGCACCTACTCACCGGTAGACCCGTAAGAAGAAGCACATGCAAAGGAAGGGATGTTAGGATTTAAACCACTTCAGCTCTAAAGGAGTATGTCTAACCCATACACCGCATATCTAGGCTGTACCCATATACATGTTCCAAGTACTCCGTAGGTAAGTTAAAATAAGTGTTAATTAACCATGCTCCCGATCCCTGGAACAAGATATTCAATACTCAATTCATGTATTCTTACCCCATATTCATCTCAGACATGAAGAGACGGGAGGAAAAACGAAACATATATTGACCCCCATCTGAAACCTTCCCGTACTCCAACATCACACCCAAGACACCCGTTCAATCAGATGAACAGGCAGCTTATCCCACAATTAAGCATCGCTAGTTTCCCCGCATGCTTCTTGACTTTGGCAAGTTTCGATGAAAAGCGGATGCGGACGTTAAGTCCCGGAGGCCTTCCCCCTTAGTTTAGGTCAATGACAGGCCTGGTGGCAAGCATATGACGCCATGCGCGTTGGATCGTCACCGCTGCCCGACCGTATTTAGATGCCGAGAGGAGTCGGGAACTCAGAAATGCAAGTGCTGTGAGATTGGAGACCTCCTCGCTGCTGGCGGCGACGGTGGTGGTGCGGGCGTGGGTGCATGATGATACAGATGTCTGTGCTGCAGCTGATAGCAAGACTGACGATGAAGGCGATGTTGATCGCGGGGATATAAGTGCCACTAACCCGCCAATTATTTTGTAAGTACCCATATTATCAACAGTGACGAAAATATAATATAAAAAAAGGGGTAAAAAAGGAAATTAGACGCCGGGAACGTACCGAATTGACTACTACATCCGAGTGAGAGCAGACGTCTTCTCAAGGCTGACTTATTATCAGTCGAGGATGTTGGGGTCTTAGTTGGCGCTGATGCTGTAGCTGACGTTTCCTTATCGGCTTTGACACCATGACTGCCGGGGCGGATGAAGTGTTCATATTCATCCAGGATACTCATGAATACATGTCCATCAGCTAGGCTTGTGGTCAAGTTTGAAACCTCCGAACCTTTCAGTCTTGCTAGACATGTTGCCCAACGGTGGAGTAGACCCGAATGATAAGCTGCCGTGTCTGTCGTGGTTGTTTGCACATGGTATGGAGGAAGACTGCTTTGCTTCCGGGAAAGCCTACCGAGCTTCTTCTCCAGTCGGGCTATCTCACTCTTGAGATCATCCCAGTCGACCAGAGTTGAAAGGCCCCGCTTGCCAACTATTACCCAAAGCAAGGCTATGGTCTTTTCTCGATACCCGTCCACGATATCTTCTGGCTTGATACCAGTGATAGTAGACCCGATGCTCGGGAAGTCTTTTGTCAACGCAGATAGTGAGATACGCGCATTGTGGACTTTCGTTGCACGGCTGATACACGGCATCTTCAGCTGGCCTGATAATGGCCATATCTCTTTATCTTTTGCGTGAAACCTCTCAGGGAAATGCTCGAGGAGAAGCAATTCAGTCAACCGAGCAAGAATAACTCCATCTCTAATATCGACTGCAATATTATCGATGTGGTAGTTATATTCTGCAATTGGATGTTGCTTGTACATCAAGGAGCAATCCAGACGAGCTAGTGGTCGGGTGAAGTCTGTCTGCGGGTGAAGAAGTACTGGTCCCAGGGCCCGCATCGCTGCTGCTGATGATGTGTATGCCGAGTCTGGTTTGAAAAGACTGCGCGGTAACGCTGTATTGGGAGCCACCCTTGCCTTGTCCAAAAGGGCGATTATCATTATGCTTCGAAGGGCCGTTCTGTGATATCCCTTGACCACGTCACCGTTATCACCAACACTGGACTTGGTAGAATCATCTTGAATCATATCCCCATTCCTTATCAGCATGGCATCGAGAAACGATTCGATAGCTCGTCTAGCCCCCTTTTCCTCCTCGCTGATAGACATTTGCGGGGAGGCCGAAACGCTTCCGCCATGATGGCTGAAGCCTATTTCTCTTCCAATGACAACCTCCGCCGCTGTCCGAAGGGCAACGATATCATACGTATCGGTCCAGAATTTCGTGAATGTGCGACGGATGTGCGCATCGGTTGTTAGTCGGCGTCTTCTGCCACTAGGGTCTTCCGTGACACGCAAATCCCCGTAGAGAAGGGATGCTTGTACACGCTTGGAAAGCAGCGAGAAGTACGTGTCTTGATATAAGTCGAACATTTGCTGTTTTAGGCAATCTTGGCCTTGCGTATTGCATTGTCCATTTGCTGTATCAAGGAGAGTGTTCACAAGCTGTGTAATGACCACTTCTTGGTGAGATAGCCAAGTCTCCTCGTGAATCAAGGGGTCCGCAAGGTTTGCATGGAGTGCTGGGTGTTTAATTTCTATTTTTGGAGCAAAGGGTAGAGTATGTAGTAGCTCAGAAGGCGATTTTTGTTTCGAAATGGGATTATTAAGTAATAAAGTAGTGTTTAAAGGCAGGTATTCTTTTCGTTGCTTTGCTGCTGGTGATGTTCGAGGACTCCGGCTGCTCGTAAGAGTTGTCCGCCGCACGGAACTCTGGCTATGTGTAGTGCTTGATACCGATAACTTTGATCCGTATTGTTTTTGTTTCGATAGTGAAGCCCTAGGCCGAGGACTGTTCACGGATCTAGACTTCATCGGCTGAGTTAAAGCCTCCGCCAAAGCATCTTTCTTTCCAGTCACTTCAGCGATGCGGCTCGCAGATTTCCCAGGAGGCACGTTTTCCTTTCCTGTATTCTTCCCCATGACATCAGGCTGGTCTACCGATTCCTGCATAACCCTCTTTGGGGTCTCCAACGGCTGACGCTGACGACCTGGGGATTTCGCCTTTTGTTGTTGCCGCTTCTTCAAGATCTGAGCCTCAATATAACCAAGTTCCTGGCAGCCGAAATCTTGTGTTTTTAGAGGGCTAAATGCATCCATAAAGATGGTAGCCATTGTGGTATCATCATCCGGCGGAATATATATTGTATTTCGCCTTTTATCTCGTTTGGTACGGCCGGCTTTCTTCATCCTCTGTTCTTTCACTGGCTTCTGTATAACATGGGGAGATTTCAGACCCGTCGGGCTTTCCCCTAGGCTATTTTCCTTGAACTCATCCTGTTGCTTCTTCACAGGCACCACTGGTGATGAGGTCCTCCCAGTTGGAGCTTTGAATGCCGGCCGTGGAAATCGCTGTGCCGGTTGTGAGAACATGGAGGATTCCCTGTATAGTGGTTTCTGGCCGCCATTGCTACCACCCGAGCTGCCGGAGTCCTCATGTATTTTAAACGTAGTCGCATTTTTGGCACGACGGGGTTTCTCCCTTGCAAGCGAGTTGAGAGATCCAAGCTCGGCCATGAAATCGATCTCTGCCGTATCATCATAAGAGTCGAGGATGTCCTCAAATATGGGGATTTTGGCATCATTTCGTTTCCATGTAACCGGACATGGCGTTGCGTCAAGATACTGGTATTCCATGGTGTTTGATGTTACCCGTGAAAAAGCCGGGAGTCTTCTATAGTTCGTATATCTTCTGCGTCAAGCCAACGCGTCCCCCATAGCTCAACCCGAGGAATCCGTCTTGAACAGCCGAACAGCCCTATGTATTTCTCGTATATTCCCGTCCGGACAAAACACCTTTCTCAGTTCCCTTGAAAAAGACGACGAAGCTGAATCCAGCGCTGCCGGAGTGAAGTTGGCGGTTGTTCTTCTGCAGTCGAGCTCTAGCACCCGCATCCTTGTTTATTACCCTTTGCGGTCTCCAGGGGCAACAGGCACTTCGGGATAAGGTTGCTGAGTCAGCTTCCCTTTGCCCCCCCCCCCCCTTGCGTGGCGAAAACGTCTTTCTCTTTCTCCCTTTCCAACGTTCGCCTCGCAGACAAACTCCAGCTGGAGGGCTGAAGGTCATGAGCCCTCAGCCAAGCTGACCGCTGCGAGAGGTGTCGATCGATTTCCCGTGCCGACCGAGCTCAAGAGACGCTGGACACTACTCGGGTCGATTCGAAACATCATTGTCACCGCCGCAACGGTCCGATTATCCTGCCTTTGTGTTGCGATACACCTGGCCTCCCAGCCTTACAGCCCTAGGCCGCGGATAATGAAACTGGCTGGCTATTACTACGAGACCTGATACTCGAGCCATGGAATTAGGTGATCTATTCGACCCAGGCTTTCGGCATTGGCTCGATGATGATTTGCCTTTCTTTCCTCAGGTATGAACCAGTCAAGTGGCCCATGCGTGTCAGTATTCTTGTTTGATAGATTATCCCATTCTAACACATCTTAATTAAACAGGCTGGAGAGTATTCTCTGTATTTACACTATTCACCCCACGAATGACTGGCCTCCCGTATTTATATCCATCCTATGACGCAACTTGAATATATGAGCGGTCAAGGATGTCAGGTTAGGACATGAGCCCCATTAGTTGAACACTCGGATGAGGATGCCGAGTAGTTCTTCTACAATATATATACCTCTGGAGAATGTTTCGTTACGAGAAGCTTGGGAGGCCTCGCTTTGGTCCCTATAGCAGATAAGACGAGGGCCACGCAACATCATCCGATATACAATATGGACCCGAAGTCACTCTTGTGCTTCTTAAATCCTCCTGCTGAGAGTACAGCAGTACGTTGACGGGGGTTTGAGCTAGCATCTGAGGCTGGTGGTGGAATTACCCATAAAATCTAAAGCCATTGGCCTCGGTTTGCTAAACCATACCCTCTTTGATGAGATGACTTTCAATGCGGCCTTCCGCGATTTCCTTTTTTCCCTAAACAAAACAAAATCAACTGCTGTGGTATGTCACCGTTCCCAGCTCTTCCCCAGCAATCAATATATCTAACTGATTTGGGATGATAGGATTAAGCCCCGGGAAATTCGACTGTTACCATCGCTATTTGCCGGAGGCAAACCGACTTTAGCTCTCCCGCGTGGCTGCTTTTGCCTGCCCTTGCGAATTCCTTCGCGGATGTACAACTCCTTTTTCGAAGACTCCCCGCCAGACTTATGCCATCGAAGCAAAAGTAGCAATTTTTTCAACTATGTATTTATAATACTGACCAAAATAGACGCTTATCCGGGCCCTGAGTTACCAGCATATGGTTGTTATTTGAACCCAGAATGTGATTTATTTTATTTAATGTATAATTTTTATAGGGAGTGTGTAAACGCACCCTCACCCTTCTCCAACAACTCCATCCCTCAGTATATATCTACTATTTCCATGTACTACAAAACTTGTCTATTCTTTTTGTACTTCTAGTCTTCGAGGGAACATCTGGATCATCGGCGGAGAGGGTTGGACTATATATACCTAGATATATAGAATATCTGCAGCCTGAGAGAAAGAAACTACCCGGAAATCCAGTGACTTAGCAAATAGATATTTGCCGGCTAATAATAGGGCAGGGTTGACCGTGTTGTGATGTGTCTTGGCGGCGGACGCCCTCCAAAACATCCTTGCTTTTCTTTCTTGTGGTTGCCCGCGCAGTATTTTGTGACAGAGAAGAAACCACCAGAAGCCCGGTACCCAGGCAGACAAGTTGAAGATGGGGCGGCTCGATGGCCTCCCCACAGAGTTGATACTGCAGATATGTGACAACCTGAGCCCCCAGGACAGCTTCGCTGTGGCCCTCGCGTCACGAAAGCTCGCAACCATCCTGCTACCAAGAGCCCGCATAATTACCCTTTCCTATGCAGCTGATATGAAAAAGCGGGACCTTTTCCTTAAGACGCTTGAAAAGGAAGTTGATTTCAGCCTTGTTCTGGTCGACCGAACGATTCTAGAGGAGTGCATCTTAACCCAGGATGATGAATATGTGCTTCCGATGCTGGAACGGGGGGTTGGGCTTGTCTCACCGCCGGGGTCTGTATGTGCTAGTACCGGCGTGAATCTGCTACATCTTGCTGCCTCTGCCGGGTGCGGTGATACTGTGTTAAAAAGGCTTCTTGTTCACGGTGACGAGATTGATCCATTTGCAAAGGACGAGGACGGTATCACACCGCTCGTATGTGCAGTCACCAAGCGGAAGCTGGCCGCTGTGAAGACGCTGGTTGGGATATACCATGAAAGAAGCAGGGAGATAGACCCCCCTGATTCCAAATGCCCCTTGATTCTACAGGCTATGCCGCGAGGGTATGGGGAAATAGTGTTGTTCCTACTAGAGACCAAAGGGATTCAGGCCAATGCCAGAGGTCCGTTCGGGGAGAATGCTTTGCACTGGCTAGCTAAGACGGACATGACTCCAGAGGATGAGGATGCCTGGGAAGACACAGACGATGAAGATGGGGACTTTACCGCTGAGGAGGTTGTAAATATAACCCAGCAAGGACAGGGAGATGATGATCCCCATGTTGCCGGAAGTGAAGAGGCCGAGGATGTGGACGTCAGAGTATTGAAGGGCCTTCTCAAAGCTGGTGTTAGCCTTACTGATACCGCGACGAGGGACCGTCTCACTCCTTTGCATGCCATTGCTCTAAATGGACGGTATAATTTGATTGAACCTATTGTCACTGGGGGTGCTGATATGTCAGTACGATGTGCGAACGGCGGTACACCTCTTCACTGGGCAGCCAAGGGCGGGTCGGTGTTCTCCATGGATGCTCTTATCGATCTGGGAGCCGGTGTCAATGACACCGATCTAGAGAACAAGACACCGTTATTCTGGGCCTACGCCTGTGAAAATGCGGACGATCCCCCTTCCGAGTTTGATCCAAGCCCGTACCCTATACTGTATCTGCTTGAGCAAGGCGCAAACCTTTCACATCTAGACTCCTCCAATCAGTCTGCCCTGCACATTTTTGCCCAACACGATAGGCCCAACGGGGCAACTCAGCTGCTGGCTGCTGGTATTGATGTGAACATACAGAGAAATGATGGATCCACAGCGTTGCATCTGGCAGCATTGAACGGCTCACACAAAACTGCGGCGCAGTTGTTGAGGGCTCGGCCAAATCTGGAACTGAAGAATGCCCAGGGCCAAACTGCCCTTGATGTCGCTGTGGAGAAGGGCAAGGACAAGGTCGCTAAACTGATACGTAGTTATACTCGACGTGGAGTTACGGCTGTTGGAGGTGTTATCAATGACCGTAGCATGGAGGACCTGCACGACCGTCTGACCAGACAGTTGTCGATCTATGAATGGAGAGAATGAAGCTGCCAATTCTTCGCTGCAGAGCGGCACTTTTGAAGCAAGCAAAATACTTTAAATAGAAGTTAGGCTGACGTTATGATGATGATACACTCTCTTTTCGGTCGTCGAATGCGTGCTCTTAAAATTTGATATCAACACCTTCATTTCACAAAGCCGCTGCCATCACACGACTCCGTATCTAGGACGACCATGATGAAATATCCCGACGCACTGGCCAGAATATGCACGGGAGATCGCCTCACTGCGGTCTCTGCGAGTAACTAGTTGGTCCTTTTCAGGAGCCATCAATCCAAGTACAACGCTCCATCTATATGTAATTAGCATATAGGCCCAACTCCGTGCAAAATCGGAGCGACCAGTCAACCTCACCAGCGTGTCCCGTTATTTGTTGGATGATCGTCGACGCTACATGGCTGTTTCACCCTCATCTCCGGCTGAGCGTACGAATATGCGTCGACAACGAGCTGTCAATGGAGTGCCTGTCTGGATACTGAGCCAGGGATATCCATGGCCTCCACAGCCCCGAGACTCGAGACCGCCGCCAGCAGAGAGGCAACAAACAGGGCCCTTTCCAAGGAACCCACGCAGATCAGGAACAGAAAGGCAAAAAAAGAAGAAACGAGAAGAAGCAAAGAACAAGAGGCAAAGAAATCTCGCTTCTTCGTATCTTCCCATTCGAATATCAAAATCCCAACCAGAGATCGAAGTTTAAACCCATCGAGAGATCTATTATTTTCGGAGCTTTTGAACCTTGTTCAACTAGTTGAATCCACGTGTAAAATAGCCATAAAAAGGATGCTGTCCAGTCCCCTGTTCCTGGATGGCAAACTGTGAGGACCCGGTTGCGTAGTTACGTAGCAAAGAATAAAGGGGGGGATAGAGCCCATGTTAATACTTAGCCTAACGCCTGGGTACGCTCAAGAGTTAGCGCTGGGGCGTCTTTCAGGGACCAGTTGCTCTGCTCTGCTCTGCTCTGCAGTAAACTAGACGAAAATAGGGGGCTTCCTTCGCCTCGCCTCGTGGGGATTTTCCCGAGAGAGCGACTTTTACCATCCATATATTTTGTGGATGCAACCCTCGCGCACTTTACGAGCCTGTGGCGACTCCCAACCTTCATCCGGCCTGCGTTGCTAGCTACCTAGCGCCCACGGACATGAGTTTTATAAAATCTGACATATCCCAATAATACAATAAGCCGACCGACTAGCGAAGAGGCCGTCAAAGAGGAAGATGTGGCGGGACCATGGAGGCCTGTGTTTATGAAGATTCGCCGCTGGCCGCTTACCTCGAAGGTCGGTAGAATTATATCTCCATCTCCATCTCCCCGCAAAGGAGCCTAGAAGACACAAGAAAAGCTGATACAGGATGACTTGCAGGTGAAGGCGAGGCCGAGCAGGACTGGACGCCGCAGGAGGTCGACTGGCCGCATACCGAGTACTCGGACTCCACGACCCTCGACTTCGCGCCCCAAGGGCCTCCGAAATTTCAGGACCGCATCAGAAACAAAATCCCCGAACCCTTGAAACTGAAGCGGTCGAATAGACAAGAGGCTCTGGCTAGGATCCATGATACCTGCGCTGTTAGTTGTGTTCCCTTATCGGTGGAAGTTACAGGTGGTCAGTTGGCTATCTGATGGGAGACGGGGGGTTAACAGCTGGCAAAAGGCCGCAATCAGTGCGAGAATAGGCAAGACCGACAACGAGCGATTCAGAGAGCAGTTTGGATACACGATTATTGCGTCGCAGTTGTTGAGCGAACCCAGCGCACCCTCCTACACTTCCGTCTCGAACCTGTTGAGCCACCCTGTCCAGAGCGATGATGACAAGGCAGCCTCCCGAGCAGCCATCTTCGGCGTGCGAGGTGCTATATTCACGGCCGTGGCATCCTTCTCCGTCGTCTTACTATTACACTGGGCCCGATCCATACACAGAATAGGCTGGAGTTTTGGAAGAGTCCTCCTTCTTGGTGTCTTGTTGGCTACGATTGTTGCAGCATTCTACGTCTTTGCGAAACGCCAGTGGCTGAGATACCTGCGTAGCCAGGCTATCGAAACTGCCACTGCCTGCGTTGGGAATGCGCAGACGCTTGACTCTGCGGCTTCGGCATCCGTTGTGCTCATTCAGGAGGTCGAGCTCGTTTCACGCGGGTACAGAGTGTACGAATACACTTCTTTCGTCCACCTCCCGATATATATGTATATAACTAACATGACTTGTCGAATAGGAGCTCGCCTCTTCCACCAGTGAGCCGGCTGGAGGAGCAGTCGCAAACCCGGAGATGCTTGAAACTCCGCCGCATCCTGGCCAAATGCCTGGATGAGATGCTGGAGAAATATCTCTATGTGAAACGAAAATTACGACCGCTCGTAGATGATGCAAACTTGGAAAAATATTATGACATTTATGAAATTTCCCAGGTGGAACTTCAGGCCGCCGAATCAACGGTGGTCGACCAGTCAGTGGATGAAAAGACATCCCTGAGATCGTTGCGGTCGTCATTTGCTCGGCTGTATACCGTGAGGAAGAGCGCCCTTTGTTGTCTCCTTGCACTCCCGGCAGATGGAGGTGAAGCCGATATTGCAAGATGGAGCGCTGCGACCGAAGAGATGCATAGCCTGGCTGACGCCAGCGCTGAGTGGATTGAGAAGCTGAGAGACGTCCTCAACGAACAAGACCGTACGCCTCTTTCCCATTTTTGCTTTCTTCTATATGCCTAATCTAACTTGCGTAGGAGATATAATATCATCGTCCCCAATAACGAACCCGAACCCGAACCCCAACAGGGACCGCTATCGAGCCCAGCTTCGTCGGCTAAACTCGCTATCTCAGGGCATACGAGGACTTCATGCCAGAATGCAACTTATTCGCGAAGAGTCAGACGCCTGTCTTGACGGGTCCAATGAAGACGTAGACCTCGGCTCGACCCTTCTCGTTCAGTACGAGGCTATCGGCGCTGAACTGCGTGGAATACTCCAAGAATGGGAAGCTGGCAAATCGGCCATGCGAGCCAACATGGAGTCGTCCGATCGCCAGTCATCTTCTTCCCGACGCACGTCAAGCATGATCAAATCACCGTCTTCACCCACTTTCAGCATCGGAGGCAGCACTGCTGTCGACGGTGGTCCGGCCGATGCCTTGCGTGCTTTGAACGGAGAGATGCAGAAATCTCTCAACCCAGATAGCAACATGGATGATGACGAGGTTTTCGAAGCTATTGCCATGCCCCGGACTCGAAGCTCGTTGACTCGTGTGGAGCGAATCGCGCGTATGAAAGAAGACCGGGCCCGTCAGGCCGTTGCTCGAGAGAGAGCAGAAGCGAATACACATATGCTGAAGGAACTTGAGACTGTGATCAAGCTTCGTCCTCATAAGGGCGGCGCACGAGTTTCTAGCCTCTAGCTCTCCGACTTTCTTTTATCTCCTTTTCTTCTCGTTTTTATGTCCGGATCTGATATCCGGGCGCTAATGGCTTTCTTTTTTGTATTTCCTGGCATCACTTATATAGATGTGATGCTTTCCTGGTACCCGCGTTGCCCTAGTATGTACTATATTTATCGATATATATAGAACCCCCAGGTAATGACTTAATGGAATTATGATGGTATCCGCCTTTTGCTTCTGTTTGTCCGTCTGAGTGTATAAAAAAAGTATTACTGTCCATATCTTGCCGTTGGAGTCGTTGACGCGAAACTCGAGCTAAATTGGTTTCGTGACACGCGACGCGCATTTTAACCGCACACTAAAGAAAAAGAACCGGCAGGTTTCTCTGGCTTCAAGAACATCCATCGTCCTGTTAAATACGCTGAATACCTAAGCAAATACCACACTCCCAGGTCTTCGGCCAAGGCAATCCTATACCGTCTCTCTGGTCTTACGCAGTGTATCGTTTCATCCCTCTGTGTCGTCAGATCTTACCCCGCCATACTTTTGCAGCCTCAGCGGTTCGTCGATATATAGAACAGTCAAGAGTGCGTTACCCCGGCCAGTCAACTATGAAGAAGATGTAGAATCTAACGGATCACGCTGTATATAGTGTTGGAAGCACGATTGGAAGAAGCTGCTATGCTGAAGAAGGTATACCACTCGTGGACAGCAACTGAGAAAAGGCCATATCTAACCACGATACTATCAAATAGGTGGTCGATGCGGTAAAAGATCTCGTACACGACTGCAACTTCGACTGCAATGACTCTGGAATTGCCCTCCAGGCCATGGACAACTCCCACGTTGCGCTTGTCTCCATGATGTTGAAAGCAGAGGGCTTCTCTCCCTTTAGATGTGACCGCAACGTCGCCCTGGGAATCAACCTGGTCTCCCTCACCAAGGTCCTACGGGCTGCTCAGGATGGAGACGTGCTTACTCTCAAGGCCGACGACACGCCAGACGTAGTCAACCTGCTGTTTGAGAGCGTTGAGAAAGACCGTGTGAGCGAATATGATATCAAACTCATGGACATTGACCAGGAGCATCTTGCTATCCCGGAGACAGACTACTCTGCCACAGTTGAGATGCCATCTGCTGAGTTTAGGCGGATTTGCGGAGACTTGAACCAGCTTTCTGAGTCTGGTATGCCCCATTGGATTTTTTAACTGACAATGTTATATAAATATACTAATTGGCATGCTAGTGTTGATCGAGGCAACCAAGGACGGTGTCCGATTCTCTTGCCAGGGTGAAATTGGTAACGGTGCTGTTACCATTCGCCAAAACACCAACGTTGACAAACCAGAGCAGAACGTCTCCATCACTCTGTCTGAGCCTGTTGCCCTTACATTCTCCATCAAATACCTCCTAAACTTCTGCAAGGCCACCAGTCTTTCGTCAAAGGTGCGACTCTCCCTCTCTGCTGAGGTTCCTCTCCTTGTCGAATATACCCTCGAGGGATCTGGTTATGTACGGTTCTATCTTGCTCCAAAGGTAAGTTCTTCACTTTCTAAACTGTATTACATGAAAATTCAACAGTGCTGACTCCATGTGGCAGATTGGTGAGGACGAATAAATGATCTTTTTCTTCTTTTTTGTTTGGTGATTTTCCACTGGCCAGCCAGGGGAATATTTTTCTTTTTACCTTCTATGATGAGGATTAAATAATGAAGCGTACAAATTCAGTAAAGATCCCTTTTTTAGCTTAGACCTCATGGCACGGTGGTAGTTCATTGAAATTGCCCAGAAAATAAATAAAAATTATATTCTCGTTCTATCTATGGATTTCTATAATTCTACATAGTTTCAGCGTCTAGTAGCTGCATGACTCACCTTATATTCCCAACACTACGGAGTGCTCCGTATCAGGTTTAACATTTATCAAATGCGTCAGGTTCATATAAACAAAAATGTTAGCAAGTTATATCACAACCTGGAAGAGAAAACTCCATACCTAGGGGAAAAAGAAGGGTGAAGCATCGTCCTCGCCAGAGTAATCGGAATCGAATGATACCTGGTCTCTCCTCTCAACGGAGGGAGCCATGATACGCTGCGTATTGCACTTAGGTGTCGCATCTCCCCGAAGGAAAGACACACACAATCTTCGCAACGGCTCTCCCAAGGGGGTGAGGAACGCAGAAGCGAGACCCAGGATTTCTCTCAGGCCCCCCATCCGCACCCTTCCCCCGATGTTTCTGATGCCTAATTGCAGACACTTTTCATGCCAGGCCCTCACGGGCAGTACCGAGCTTCCTCACTATAGGCGTGCAGAAGCTGGTTGAAAGGTTGAAGAATACTCCGAATTTCTCATTTGCAAGTGTAACTCCAGCGTGAACTGGCGGATGTAGCAAAGAAACGCAGCTTTGGCGAGGACGATGCTTGATCAAAAAGAGGAAGAAAAGTCGAAGTTGCAGCTTTTTTGGCGTCTTTTTTTTTGGTTGTGTGGAAGGTCACGTGCGGCCGACATCGCCCTTTCTTCTTATTTGCTTTTCTTTGCGTCCTCAGCCTTTTGAGCTATCAATTGCGCCAGTCTCGGGACGGCAGCAGACAGGTGCTAGTTGGCTCCTGTCGTCCTCAGCTTGCACTCTTAGCTCCTCAGCTCTGTTCAGGTACTCCGTACGGGTTTCGGCATTTCGGTTCCCTCTCGTCGTCTGGCAGCCAGGGATTTGCGGCTTGAGTCAGAGAATACACGGAACTACCGCCCTAATAACACGCCATGCAATCTCAAGACACGACGGAGTCGAGACAAGATAAACAACTAATCTTACGGGGGGAGCAGGGAGGACCAGGGGCCTGGGACAACGTTGCTATTGAATACGTAACTGCCACGGCCAGCCTTCTCAGCTCGCTCCTCCTGGCCTGGCACTAGCCGCCCGCTGAGCCACAACAGGCGGTTTCCTCCCTTTTCAACCTGGTCCATGGTTGCTCCATCGCGATAAAACACTGCCAGGCGGGATCCAGGGATCCAGGCCTGGGTGAACCATGGGAGAAATGTAGTCTATTAGGTACCTAACTCTAATATTCACAATCAGAGTTACGGGCAGCTTGTACGAAGTACTGGCGGAGAAAAACCACCCAAGCCGTAGCCAGCCTCCAGCCTCCAGCCACAAACTGTCTGCGCCCGAAAAGAACGGGAAAAGAGCCCAGAGCGGAGAAGGGAAGAAGAAAGGAAAGAAAGGAATTTTGGGCTGCTCTCTTCTCGTTCCCCGAGACTACTATCACTTTGTCCCTTGGAAGCCGTTGTGTTATTATTTATTTAGTGCTAGCCAGCCCTCAAAAAAGGCGGCTCCGCCAAGCCGCTGAACTGCGCATTTTGATATTCCACCGCCAGGATCGACTCGCTCGTCTTTTTCCTCGTCTTCTGATTCTCTCCTCAGCCTCTCTTTCTTCTCTCTCTTTCTCTTTCCCTTCACTCTTTTTCCAACTACATTCTTTCTCTCTTCTCTCACCATCGCCATCCCATCGACTTGACTTCCGTCTCTCTCTCGTTCTACGACCGTTGACCCTCGTCTTCGCCATATCTCAGCCGCCGTCACTCGTTTGGTCCTCTCTGTCTCCCTCTTCTAGGACGCCCCTAACCGCGGAGCCGCCTTGCACCACCTTACACAAACACAACAGCGAAAGCTCGCGCAGGGACAGAGGACCCGCCCCTTTATCATATAACCCGCGTCCTGTGTCCCATCGCCATTGTTCTCTCTCGTCTTGCACAGCCATACAGCGTCTACGTCGTCCTCTATCGTCACCCACAAGCCTTGTCTCGATCGTGGCATCATACAGCCACTACCACACTTAGCACTTACTTTTCTCATCCTCCTCCCTTTTCTTTTCTCACTTTTAATACGTCAAAAATAACGGGGATCAAGGCTCCGGTGAGGAGCTTCTGGCCGCCAAAATTCGTCCATACTCGAGGCGGACGTCTCTCTTGGGAGAGCCAGGAATAGACCCGCCGTTGCTTCCTCCGGGTCAGGGCTATAGGCCAAGAGAAGGGTACACGACTCACGCAGAGTCATCGTGGAAGATGTATCTACCAAACACACGCTGGACGTGGTCGTTTGTCATTGTCACCACGATCCAGGCGGCATGTGTTCTTGCTTTTGAATCGTAAGTTTTGAGATATTTTATCCCCCTCTTATATACGAATAATATTGGGACTGACACTTTTGATAGATATGTGTTTGCAAGATTCCAGCTGCAGCTTAAGTCAGATGCATCGACGAATACCGAATCAAAAACGATACCAACGTTTCTTACTCTCTACATCTTCGGTTTCGTGTATGAGCTTATCTTGGTATATGATGCACTTCGGCTGAAAAATACTATCCAAGTTATTGGACTATGTATCTGCAACTTTGGGTTGCTTATCTATGGCGCTGTGCAAATCGACCAGATCGATACTTCGGTAGATCAGCTCGGTGCCCTTGGACTTATCCACCCAGAGGTAATAGATGAGATGAAGCCGTTCCTTATTGCGATTCCTTGCATCACTGCTCTTGGAACCGTGGGCATGGGTTTCCTTGCTTGGAAGTTATACGATGAATTTGCATGGACGATCTATAAGCATATCAGCGCTGATTTGCGGATGAAGCGCCGTTACCTTACCTATCAGGTTTGTATTCGTGTACTATCTGGCTTACTCTAAACAGTTTTACTAATCTGCACTTTAGATCTACATTGCTCTGCTGAAGTTTGATTTCTTCTTCTTCCTCGGATTCACTGTCCAGTTTGTCGTTATTGTGACAGACACTAAGACTGTTGAGTTTGCTCTGACCCTTGCTGCCATACCAGTCACTATCCTGATCTTGGTTATGGCTGCGTTCTGGACCCGACGTGAGAGTACAGTTGGCATGATCATTGTCATCGTAAGTTATACTCCCTCTATGGACCCTGAAACAAATACCATAACCTAACCTTTTGTCGACAGTTGCTCTACTTCGGTGGTTTTGCCTACTTCCTTTTCAAGCTAATCCGCATGTACTCTCCCGCGAAACAGAAGGCTTATCTCCCTGCTCGCCGATCTCTTACTTTCTTTGCCGTTGCAACCATCATCCTTATCATTATGACAATTATCAACGCCATAATGTGTACTCTCAACTTCAACAAGGGGTTGAAGCCCCATATTACCAGCAAGAAGAGACCACGCGGTGCTGAGAAGGAAGGCACTGAACTTAATGACCAGTTCTCACCACATCCTGTGCCCACCCGCATGACAATCGATTAAAAACTTCGCCTCCTCGATAGTGAATGAATACAGCTTTGAAAATTTTCCTTTGAAAGGAAAAGGATGAAAAGAAAGAAGAAAAAAAAAAGTAAACTAATCTCAATCTGCAATTAACATTCCCAATGCCATATACCCCAAGGATATCTCCATTTTTCTTTGTTTCCTTTCATTTTCCTTGCCATATCTTGTTACTTTTACGTACCTCTTTCTTTTTCATTTTCATTTTTTATTTTTTGGACTCGGTGCAACCCAGTAATAACCGCTCGAATGCTTACCTCGAATCTGAATCTGGATGCTAAAGGGTAACAGAAACAATATGAACGAGGAGCAAATTCGATATGGCTCAACGTTCAAATTCCGCCTCATAGCGAGCTGACTTTTAATCCTGTTAGAATAGGGATTTTATTTGTTTCCCACCTGATTTTGTCTTTTTCTCGAATGATACCTCATGTATTTCCTATGACTCCTTGCCTATTTTGTTTCCCTGTACCTATTTGTACTTCTGTGAGGCTATCTTCTGGCTCATCGCTTGTCACTCTTTTGTGAGTTCTTTTGAAAATTATCAGCGTCTCAAATATACTTGGATTCTCGTCTCTGTCATGTCCACGTTATTTATACCCATAGGGCTGATACTCCACTCTGAAATATAGACAATTCAACTGACCATCATCCTAATACCTCAACTCTTCTGCCATCATTTCTTCTCTACTATCCATCAAGTAGCACCTAAATAAAATATATGATTACATAAGCTTCCCCGGCCCAAAGGCGGCGATGGGTGGCAGAAAACACGTCGAGGCAACTGCTGACATAATCACAACCGCACCACTTGGGAAATCGTGGCCTCTTTCATGTTTCCAGCGCAAAGCAAGACCGAGATTTGGGAGATGTCAATACCATAACGGGCACATCTCTCATCCTTCAACGTGTCTAGTCTCACGGCGGATTTCCCCCTTTGTCTTATCATAATACTAATTTCCGACATATTCTCTCACAATGGTAAGGAAAACAAATCTCTTCCCTCGTGCCATAATTCTCCTGTCCCCTTGACCCAAAACATCTATCCGAATACACGATTACTTATACTAACCATACTTCCTCCACTCAGGCTTCATCTCCAATGGCATCAGGTGCCGACTCCGGCGCTGAGGGATCCAAGCCTACTAGCCCATCCGGCCCAGCAGGCGGCTCAAGCTCTGCCCTGCGTCCATCTTCCCCTACTCCTCCAGGGGGCCCACGAACAGCCCTCCGCCGCCGTGCTGCTGCAGACCACAAGGAGTCCGTACGAAATGCGCGCCCAGCGTCAACCAGAGCTGCCGGAGCCGGCGGTTCGTCTGGTACCATGCTCAAGTTGTACACCGATGAGAGCCCAGGACTGAAGGTTGACCCTGTTGTTGTATTGGTTTTGTCTCTTGGGTTTATTTTCTCTGTTGTCGGGCTTCATGGTACGTCTTTTCGGTTTTAGAGTGGATTCCTCAATATTGCGAGTTTGGAACTAACATGAGTTCGATGCAGTTATTGCAAAGATCACTCGCAAATTCTCTTCGTAATTTGGGCACCCTTTCTACGGAGTCTTCTCGTTTCGTCTTTATCGTTTCCTGCTGTTCTCCATCATCCTCCTCTGATTACCGACAATAACACGAGTTATGGATCTCAACTGTATAAAGGTCGTTTCTTAAATTCATGGCTGAGAAGGATCCAAGCAAATGTACCGGATAGGATCCATCTTCTACGACACAACCACAACTACTCAACGTAACCATAATCTATATCTTACGACACAGAGGCTGTTTGATCTCTATCTACTGGCCATCCTCCAGGATCAAATAGGTTCCAAGCAAATCTGTGATGAACATGCGCGTTGGTCAAAGCGGAATATTGATATAATGCTGTCTTTGATACCAGATGCTGCAATTTACACTATTTGCACGAGTTTAGTTCATCTTTATGCCTTGTTCTCCATCCACCTCCATCCACCCGCATTCAATATCAGCTGTATATTTGGGACCTCAATATTCTGCAAAGTCTAGCTAGATTTTACTTCTCTTGTAACTTTATTGAACCTCATTTTTGGCATTGAATCTCAGTATTTTTTGTTTATTGGATGCATTTGTAAGAATAACATAGGGTAAGCTCTAATCCTTGATGGGATGGTTCTACGGAGTACAATCAAACTCCATTGGATTCGTCACGTATATTTCCCCAATCCACTCTTTGCAAGCGCCATCTCCTCCTCAAACCAACCTCTGAATAGCTTGAGCCGGTTGGTTCTCTCCAACGCTAACCTCTTCCCCTCCGGAGTTTTCATCAAGCCCTCCAACCTTTCCAGCTTCTCAATGAAATGGGCTATCGTCTTCTGCAGAGGCCTTCCCGTCTTAAAGGCAGCACCGCCATATGTGAAGGTGCGACCAATCCCTATACTGCCTATTGCCTCCAGACGATCTGCGTCCTGGATAATACCGAGCTCTGGAACTTCTTGGACTAGCTTCCGTATATACTCCCGGGTTTCTTCTGACTCTATTTCTGCGGAGTACGAGATGTTGTTGACAATGATTTGAACCTGCTCTGCCACATGTACTGGTGTTCCAAAGGTCAAAAGCAGCTGGTAAACCGTGGCCTCAAGTGTCTCGTTAGCCTTGGGGTATTTCCCACTCCCGACATGGTGCAATAGAGCACCGAGCGTGAGGACTAGGGGGTTCCATTTGGATACCGCAGTTTTAGTTTTTGCAAGTGGTGATGTAGCGATAACCCGGGAAAGGCCGAGGACACGCATTACATGGTCAAAGTCATGAGAGCTGTTATACCCGGACATGTATTCCTTGACATAGCGGGTAACCTTGTCGACAAGAGCAGCTTCTGAGAATGCCGACGAGCTAGTAACCGCTATGGGGTCACTTGCATCCGCAGTATCTTCGCGCCGTGCTCTGTCAGCCATGACAACCTAGGTATTTCCTGTTGTTAGCTAGAAGGCGGTTCTTTGTTGGAGCTACATAGAACAGACTGGAGAATGTAAACAATGTACTACGAAGGTAACTAGAGGACTGTTGGTTGTTTTGAAGGTCTATGTAGCTCTAGGCTCGAGCCTTCCTTCGGTCAAAGCGCCCAGCCTCCACTTTTGCGGCAAGCGCTACCAACAACAACAACAACAACAACAACATTCAAACATCAAGCTCAAGCCTCATAAGGGGTCGTTCGGGACGTCTGGTACTGCCGGTTTCTTCTGCTAATACCTTAGCTATAGGCCTGTGGATGTTCTTGGGCGCTTGAGGATACAACTAGGTACTAGCTACTCTAGAATCTTTTCCCCTCCTAGCACTTAGTTAACAAGTTAGGTGCCATACACTGGTTTCGGCTTCCCTCATCGCAATCTGATATCTTCTTTCTCATACCACTGGCTTGACAACGGAACATTGCCGCAATGCGGTGCCTGTTCTTCGATGTTTTTGACTGGACTCCCTAGGAGAATACCTTGGATCAAATATACAAACATGAGGGAGCTACAAAGCTCATCAACACAAGAATACGATGTTGCTATAGAGATGGGCTTTAAACTCGATTTCCCGTAGTAATAGGCATCCCCTATGCCATCCCGAAGACTTTGATAATATGGAAGGGAATAAATAGCTCAACAAATACAGGGAGTTAGGTAAGGAAGAAGGACTCCTTACATGGGATGGATTGAGATGTTATGAGGCATGACGAATCGAGGACCATCGGAGTAAATATTCAAGGAGATTGGCTGGGAGTTATGCATGCAACGACCAACTACTTGGTCTCTTTAGTATACTATAAAGTAAATGTAAATAGGGCGGGATCCGTGGTTTGGAATATACTCTACTGTCTACCGGCTAATAAATACATTGCATCTAGCAACTCTTCTCTACACTTGCTTGGCCTCAATTAGATGTCTCGTACTGACCGCTGAGACCTCAGACAGTTTAAGTTCTGGAAAGACCTTCTGCACCTTTACACCATGATACTGTCCCAAGATACCCCTGGCTCGTTCCGTGAAAGAATAGCGAGAAAGCTAAAGTCTGAATGTTCTCCAATACCACAGCTTTCAACTCCCTCACATTTCGAGTATTTGAACGCCCTGAAAAGCTGAAAAGGCTCAGACTTAGGGAATCTCTTTCTCATTTCCCATTTGTCTCAACCAATTCCCACACCCACGGTTTCTGTGATTGTTAAACCGAGCTTGGTTGCCTTCTCAATATAATCAAGCACCAGATGCCTCATCTCCGGCACATCTTCATCAGAAAACTAGTTCTTCCCATAGGTCGGCAAGCCCTTCATCTCATGCTTATCGTTAGGGTGCGGTTCTGGACCTCCATAAAAGCCCTCTTTCTGGACTGTGATGCCCTTTGACCCTTCTCTTCCCCGAGACATAATTCTTATGTGAGAAACGCAGGCTGGACATGGAAAAGAGAGTGCAAAGAACTTATTAAGGGCTGTGCTTAGAGTCTACGTGAGCTCTGATGGAATAGAATTGGTCCCTGTGAAAATGCATACATGCCAAGTACTAAACGCAGAGTGGAACTGGAATATCGTGGTGAGGCATTATGGAGAAGCGAAAAATTCGGACGTGAAGAGAAAGGTAGCATCGAAGACCAGAACTTGACTCATCTTGCTGGCTGGTATTTGATCCTTGGGTAGTCGATGTTGGAGTCCTTTTAAAGGGTGGGAGTGGTTTGTCCACGTCTTTGGGTCATCGTGTCGTCGTCGTGTGCACGAAAAGCTTAACTAGCTGGCCCAATATCTTGCCAATTATACCTAGAGGGTAAACAGCACATTTACAACATGTAATGAATAGGTATCTAAACGGCAATAGTGATTCTTGGAATCCATGTCTAACAGTATAATATGGGGAAATTGTGCTGCGTAGAGTAATACACACGTATGCATTGCGGAATGTCAACGTAACGAACACGAGGCTTGCAGCAGTGCAATCCCTGCCCCTCGCATTGCATTTCTATTAATATTGGGTGAATCCCCGCTTTCACACAGGGTCAATAGAGGAACAACCACAGTGGACGCCAGTTGGCGATTTCTCTCCACAGTGTCCAGTGTTATTTGCGGTTTTGGAAACAAAATAGTACTACCACAGCAAGGTTTGACATCCTGAGGCCCAAAAGACCTTCGATAAGCTGATATTATCTAGAATGTGCGAATACCTCGTGTTGACGGTACATTACCGTGGATGTCCAGCATCATGCAATAAAACTTCCAAAGCGTTTAACCGATGCCCAGAAGCACGGCGGAGCGGCGTATCATGCCCTCAACCCAAGGATACGACACTTGGACAATCAACGTATCCAGAGAAATGTCCAAATCATCGAGATGAAGGATACAGCAGGCGTTAAGTTATATGTTGACAAGGTTTCTGATAGCAGTTTGTACTTCTTGAGCAGACTTTATCTCTGACCGCCAACACTTTTCAATTATTTCGCCGCATGGAATATCGGAAACATTTGGAAATTGCTGGGCCTCATAACGTATTGTCACTTCATCACTTGGAATATCTTCAAAAGGACTATTTCCCTGGAAAATTTCATAGAGAGTCGAGCCTAGCGCAAAAAGATCTGTTGCTATAGTTGGCGGTTCTCTCCAGTCGCGTGGCAGATAGAATCGAGTTCCTTCACCTGAAGTTGGTTTAGAACCATCTAGAGATGAGCCGGAGAAATCGATTATTTTGATATTAAGTTCGTTATCCAGAAGAAGATTTCGTGGTTTTATGTCACAGTGAAGAATATTGCTATTATGGAGAAGCTGGACCGCTTCCGATACTTGGTACGCCCAAGTTAATTTGAGACTCCTTGGAACTGAGCTCGACTCATGAGATTGCAAATATCTCTTGAGATCGCCATTTGGCATATACTCAAGTATAATGCCATCACTTGAATGACTGACTAGCCTAACAAGCCTCTCATGGGGACCGATTCGCCGATATATAACCGCCTCCTTAGCGATGTCTTGAATATGGTCTTCCATCATAGGGCCGGGGAAAGGTGACTTGATGACAGTGTCATTATCAAGCAGTTCAACTATTCCTGTCAAGCCGCCACAGATGAATTCGCCTTTTGCATCTCTCTCAATTTCAATAACGTCATTGATGTTCGGATCAGATTGGTTTCCCTGATATATGAACCAAATGGTCAGCACTCTGTAAAAGCAAAGGGTAAATATACAAGGATAAGTTAAACAGCACATACCGATTTCACGCCCCAGGTTAACCAGCGACTTAACAGAGTGGTAAGAGGTGAATGGCGACGCAAAAGGGCAGCACCCCAGCTCCTGAGTGTCGACCACAACGAAAGCAGCCTATCTCGTATCATGGAAAGCGCCATAGAAAGAAGAAAGATCGCTAGTTGTTATCGCGTCCGAAGTAGCGACCAACTGGTGTGGATCGAACTGGTTGCTTGACTCCTTTCTCCTATCTTCAGTTTGACTTCCTGTTCCTGCGGCTGAAAAAAAAGAGCCGGCCTGGTTTCACCGATCCTAGCCAAGTCTGGCGCTGCGTCATTTCGCCCTTCGTACTCCGTGCCAAACATAAGCAGCTTCCGATCCTTTCGCTCTGCTTTTTCCCGTCGTTTACGAACAACGACAACTCACGACTGTTTCGGCCTTCAGACGAGGGTCTTACGCCTAACGACCACCATACCTTGAGTCGCATCCAAACAACAGCCATGGCTATCTGCATAACCTTCGGTACTCACGGTACGTCCGGGGAAATCTTGCCTGTTGATGACTGCCTAGCGATACAGCTTGAAAGAGGCCGCAGACTAATCCTGGAATACTTTCCCCTTACCAGAGTTCACCTCGCAGCTGCAAGGATATGAGAACGTCACTGCCCAATGCCAGAACTGTAAGATGCGACCTTGGATGCTGTGTATATGCAGCTATGCGCCTTGCGTCTGGATCGTCTTTCTCTAACCCGTTATACTACTTCGCTAGGCGGTAACTGGTCGGGTCGATGCATTACCAGATGGTCAGTCAACATCTCAACAGCGATTACAGGGAATATGATGGTTTCTCCTTTTAATAGAATGACCAACTAACGTTTCTTCTACATCTAGGCCCTTTTTCACCGTCTGCTTCATTGTATGAATGAGCCTCTGCCTGCGCTTTATTTACTTGGAATACTAAACATTGTCTTTTCAAAGCCACTTATTCCACTGGCCATGCACAAGTATAAAGTAAGTCTTGACTCTCCTAATACTTATTAAATACGCAACTTTGCTAACAGAGTACTGTTTATAGGAAGTATACTGCCATATCTGCCGGTTCTCGCAAGACATGTCGTAAGTGTCATACTCTTTACCTTTAGCCAACACGGGCTACAGTGTTAATAACTTTATACCAGAATGAGACCGGACGTCCAATCTCAAGGGCCTGGTGGCCACGGGCAAGGGCCGCCGCCGGGGGGTCCTCCGCAGCAATATTATGGCCCACCGCCTGGGCAGCAAGGGCCGTATCAACAATATCAACCACCACAACAGCCTGGTTATAAATAACCACAAGTGTTATATCACCTGATTGCTTCCACTTTTTGACATGAAGTTATGTTTAAGAGTGTTCCTTTTGTCGTTTTCCATTACGATTAATACTCTTGTTTCCTTGGTTCGAGTTTATTACACTTCTTCAGCCTTAATATTTTTGTTTCATAGCTACCTTGGAATTGTCCTTCTTAGCTTAGATACCCTTGGCCTTTTCTGAGTTCCAAGACAACCTCAGGTGTATATTCAATCCATAGTACTTAATCAATTTATATTTGCGAGATGCTTTAGCGCAATACATGAAAAAAGATTGTTAAGATACTTAAGAGGCTAAGTCCGTGCTTCAAAAGCAGCCATAGACTCAACAGATATTAGGAATGTTTGATAGCAATAAACCATATTCCATGCTTGCTTTAGAGAGTATCATTAACATAAAAGCGGCATATATCCCTGAAGCCGGGAACGACAACAATTCATTAACACAATCTCTCCCTCCAAATCACACCTTTTTGCCCGAGTACCCCGAGTCTGGCTCACAGCGGGGGCTTGGGCATCATCCGGTAGAGGGGAAAGTAAAGATGACACGCTCTGCTTGAGGAATCCAAAAAGTGTCCGAACACTTATTGTGTTTTAAATAGGAGGATGGCGCAGTGGCCGAGATAGAAGTATATGAAGTGCTTGGTTTCTGTCTGCGAGTCAGCTAGGCCAAAACATTTCAAACGGCCCAAGCTTAGCATACCGTGAGTGACGAAGCTTCCAAAGTTCCTTCCGACGATGCAATGCCAGGTAGCGCCCTTTCGTGAGTCGAACTATCGCCATTGTCAGCTTGTGACCCTCGCCATCGCTATATCCGTGCACCAAAAAGCCAACGAACCTCCTTCTTTATAAATTGCGCAATGTCCTATGGTGGTCGCGGTTAGCTATATCTCGACAAACGTAGCACAGTTGTTCCAGATCGCTTCTTCACTTGCTTTTTCGATATGGTACTTCTCCATGGCCTCGGTAGCTAAATAATGGCGTGTTAGCTTGTTTGAGCAGGTAGCGCGCGGGGGAGTAGTTAGATACAAACTTACCAACTTCAATGGCTTCCTGCTGCATGTCCTCGCTCTATTCCAGTAATTAGTTAGACGCTGATCCTCTTTTATACTGAGGTAAACACTCTCTCACCATGTCCACAGACTTGATCTGGGCTGCCGTTCGCATGTCGCTCGTTAGCTCACCCGTCTAAACCACAGAGGGGAAACTGATAAAAGGGGCAAGGAAACAAGGTACCTTCGAGCTTTTCGCGCTTCTCGGTGGCCATGGCGACTGACAAGAGGAATCAGGAGGAAGAGGGATATAAATTCGTGGTCGTCAGCAGGTATGTCAGAAGATCCTCTGGCTGGTGGCTTGCTGTCAAGTCTGTCTGTTCTGTCGCTTTCGTCCTGTCGCTTCTCCCCGTCCGTTTTATTCGTTTGTTTTCCTTTTTCCTTTTGGTGACGAAAGGCTGACAGAGCGAGTGTGCACAGACGTTTTCTTCTGGCGGGATTGATGACATAATACAAACCCACTCACCGCCCTTGGCAGAAAAAAATATTTTTTAAATGCAAGAAAAGAAAGAAACAACATCAAGGATTGTTGCATTCTTCTTGTCTTCTGTTCACTTGCCAACCTCCACGGGAGAATGTGACGAGGGTTGCAAGAATTTTTTTTTTTTTTTTTTTTTTTTTTTTTTTTTTTTTTTTTTTTTTTTTTATCTAGGATAGAAGATGGAGGGTACTCGAGTGTTTGTGTCTGGGCTCCCGCCGTCACTGACAAGTGACAAGCTGCGGCATCACTTTGCTCAGCGGTTCGAGGTTACAGATGCTCATGTTATTCCCAATCGGCGGATCGGTTTCGTGGGATTCAAGGGACCAGATCTCGCTGAAATTGCCGTCAAATATTTTAATAAGACGTTCATCAACATGTCGAAGATATCCGTGGAAATGGCTAGACCTGTAAGTATTTCTGAAGTTCCGTTCCAGAAGTTTCACATTAAGTACTCAGTTTTGGCTGTTGCGAGGCTAACAAGCCTTGAAGGAATCAATGGAAGAAAGCTGACCATATTTTTTTTTTCAAAGGTCGACGCCAATAACTCAGATGATTTACGTGCCAGGTATAGGAAACACCTAAATGCTAAGAAGGATCCTCCTTCTCTCAAGCGGAAACGTGACACACAGGATACAGAGGAGGATGAAAAACTGCAAGAATACCTGACTGCTATGCAGCCTCCAACGAAGTCTCGGACATGGGCCGACAGTGGTGCAGTTCCAACTGCACATCAAGAGCAGAAGGCTGCAATTGATGCTGTAAAGGAACCCACTGAAGACGAAGACGACGTTGAGATGCATAATGTTGAGACTGCAGTCACTGATAACCCTGTAACCGAACCAGAGATCAAATCTGATGATGTGGATGCAGTGAATCCAAATGAGGAGAATCCAGTACAACAGAATGATGATGACTGGCTACGATCCAAGACATCCCGTCTCCTGGGCCTCCTTGACGACGAGGATGAGATGGCTGCTGAAACTTGGAAAGGCAAGCCATTAGAAAATGCAAGGGATCAACCTCCAGTTCCTGCCAAAACATCCAGTACAAAAGCTGCCATTGAAGAGGAAGAGAGTGTACCGGAGCCTCCTCCTGACGCTAATATTGAATCTATCCGACTCACCGGACGACTATTTATACGGAATCTACCTTATAATGCATCTGAGGATGATCTAAATGCCACATTTTCTCGTTTTGGTAAAATCGAGGAGGTAAGATTTCCAAATTTTCCCTTAATCCATCGTATAATCCACCCATAGTCTATATGATGATTATCCTGATAGGGACATCTGATGCTTTGCATATGATGTTACCAGGAAGAGTATTTTAGTAGATGCCTCTTTAATCTGATGACTGTATCTTTTCTTATTCCAGCTATCAATCATTGATTTATGATATAAGATCAAAGCTGACTGAACCAGACTCATGTTGCCACAGATACTCGACATTCTACTAGCAAAGGTTTTGCCTACATTCAATACGTTGAAAGTGACGCTGCAATTGAAGCATATAAGCAATTAGATGGGAAAGACTTCCAAGGTCGCCTGATGCATATATTGCCTGCATCGTCCAAGAAAACGTACAAGCTCGATGAATTTGAGATCTCGAAGCTCCCCTTGAAGAAGCAACAGCAAATCAAAAGGAAAGCTGAGGCAGCTTCTTCCACTTTCAGTTGGAATTCTCTATACATGAACGTTAGTCATCCCTTATACTCAACCTCTTAATGTACGTTATAGCTAATGAGTTGAAAAGACTGATGCAGTAATGGCCTCCGTAGCAGACAGGTTGGGAGTCTCAAAGTCACAGCTTTTAGACCCCACCTCCTCGGATGCTGCTGTGAAGCAAGCTCATGCAGAGACTCATGTTATCCAGGAAACCAAAGCCTATTTCAGTGCTAACGGTGTTAACATAGAGTCCTTCAAGCAACGTGAAAGAGGAAACACTGCTCTCCTATTAAAGAATTTCACATACGGGGTTTCATCTGAAGATATTAGAAAACTCTGTGAACCCTTTGGACAGCTAACACGGCTTCTTATGCCACCAAGTGGCACCATTGCTATAGTTGAGTTTGCTATGCCTGATGAAACCCTAAGGGCATTCAAGGGCCTTGCCTATAAGAGAATAGGCGACTCAATTCTCTATGTAGAGAAAGCTCCCAAGAACTTGTTCGAGGGCGGCCCTCCAGTCACAATGCCGTCCTTACTAAACCAGAAAGTCGTCTCCCAAGGCTTTTCTACATCAGACACCTTCAAGGCAGATGAGCCGGAGGCTCCCATGGAGAGCGCGACGTTATTCGTTCGCAATCTTAACTTTGTTACTACTGATGCCGGCCTGAGCGATCTATTCAGACCTCTTGACGGATTCATTTCTGCACAGGTCAAGACCAGACCAGACCCCAAGAAACCGGGCGAACGACTCAGCATGGGCTTTGGCTTTGTGGAATTTAAGAGTCGAGCCCAGGCTGAGGCAGCTCTCAAGGCGCTCAACGGGTATAAGCTAGACCAGCACGAGCTTGTCATCAAACCGTCTCACAAGGGCATGGATGCATCTGAGCAACGACGAAGAGAAGACAATGCAAAGAAGGCCTCCGCCAAACGAACCAAGATCATCATCAAGAACTTGCCCTTCCAAGCCACCAAGAAGGATATCTGGTCTCTGTTTGCGGCGTATGGCCAGCTCCGATCTGTCCGTGTGCCGAAGAAGTTCGACCGGACTGCCCGTGGTTTCGCATTTGCCGACTTCGTCAGCTCAAGGGAGGCTGAGAATGCAATGGACGCGTTGCGCAATACTCATCTCCTCGGCCGACGGCTGGTACTGGAGTTCGTCTCGGAAGAGGCCACTGATCCCGAAGATCAGATCAAGGAGATCGAGAAGAAGGTCGACGCGCAAGTGAACAAAGTCAAGATTCAGAAACTTATGGGTCCTGGAAGGAAGAAATTCCACGTTGACGCGGACCTTGAAGACTAGGCATTTGCAGGTACTATTTTCGTCGTCATTAATAGATGGCCGTTTGATAGAGGGCAATGCATCCCGTCAAGTGTTCTAAACAGTAGTTAGCGATTCTCACCCCCTGACTCGTAGCACTGCCATCACCTTGGCTCTCTTTCATGTCCTGTTATACCCTGCAGGCACCAGAAGCGACGTCTGAACGCCATCCCGTGGGTCCACTGCCAAGCTGCCTGCCTCTCCAGCCAATTTTATTTGTCGTCATCGTGTAGGCCGTGCAGTTGCCACCCGGTGTGATGCTTGATTTCGGATCTCGGTCTTCAGTCGACTGGCTCGAGTATAAGTACAAGAAGAGACCAGCATTATTCTTAGATCCATAACTCTTGACCGATAGACCCCATAGGCATCCTCGCAGATATTGATTCAATTGCATTTATATTTAGCCCTCGTTAGTTAATAATACGCCGTACCCACTGATTGTCCTTTTTCCGCTGGTTAACTTCCCAAGATACATCGCCATCGAACCACCACGAGTTCTCGCTTCTTCCACTCAATTAGATTTTGCACTTTTCAGTTGCTGACAAAAATTGTACCCTCGATCATACTGCAGCTATCATACTGAATACATCAAAAGAAGACATACCAAAACATGGCGTCATCTACAGCTCCAAATCTAACGGCTCCCTCTGTGAAACTGAACAGCGGGTATGCCATGCCGATCGTGGGGTTTGGACTATGGAAAGTCAATAAGGAGACCTGCGCCGACCAGGTGTACAATGCTATCAAGACTGGCTATCGACTGTTCGACGGTGCTTGTGGTACGTGATACATGCATATATCAATTTCATGTCTCGTTGCTCATCCAGATTCCACAGACTACGGAAATGAACAAGAGGCCGGGCAGGGCGTGGCCCGGGCCATTAAAGATGGCATCGTGAAACGAGAAGATCTCTTCATCGTCTCCAAGCTCTGGGGCACCTTTCATGATCCCAAACATGTTGAACCAGCCTGTCGTCGCCAGCTGTCTCACTGGGGCATTGACTACTTCGACTTGTACATTGTTCACTTCCCTATCTCCCTGAAATATGTTGATCCCGAGGTTCGATACCCCCCAGAGTGGTGTGCTCCCGGGGAGAAAGCCGAGGCTAGTGATGTACCAATGTACAAGACCTGGGGCGCAATGGAAGAGCTCGTTGACAAGAGACTCGTGCGCAGCATTGGAATCAGCAACTTCAGCTCTCAGTTGATCATGGACTTGCTGCGGTATGCTCGTATCAGACCTGCTACCCTGCAAATAGAGCATCACCCATACCTCACCCAGGAAGGCTTGATCAATTATGCCCAAAGCGAAGGATTGGCGGTTACAGCCTACTCGTCTCTTGGTCCGCAGAGCTTCATTGAATTGGAGAACAAGGCGGCGACGGGAACCAAATTGCTGCTTGAACATCCAACCATCCAAGCTTCTGCTGAGAAACATGGAAAGACCCCTGCACAAGTGCTGCTGCGGTGGGCAACTCAAAGGGGCATCGCTGTTATCCCGAAGAGCAACAACCCGGAGAGGCTTGCGCAGAACCTTGATGCAACCAGCTTCAATCTTACCGCGAACGAACTTGCCACTATCAGTGCTCTCAACCAAGGATTACGGTTCAACGACCCTCCAAGTGTGAGTGATAACCAGCTCTTTTCCAAATTCACAGTTTCATAACTAATGCTGACTTTGGTAACGTAGTATGGCATGAATTTCCCCATCTTTGGATGAAATCTTGATATTTGAATGTCATTCATCTGAATATGTATAAATTTAGTTTTGGAAAATATCATTAGTATAATAATGCTAGCAGAGCGTTGTTAAACACAAGTTGCTGCAAATTACTTGTCATGGAATAATAAACATATAGTGACCGCCAGCTATGCTCAATTGAAAACTGAACAACACGGTACTAAATTTGGAGCGAAGCCCTAGCCCTTTGTAAAGTGCCTTGGAATTATCGCGGAGGTCCAGCTGCTTCGCATGACATCCACTCTGCCAAAATTTCCTCCAATGAAATGTCCGAAAGGTGAACGTATGTGAATCTTTGACAGTGGGACATTCATCTGTACCTTCAGGTCATTCGACTCTATTCCAAGTGTTCGTAAGAGGAAAGATCCTGTGGCCACCAAGATTGGGTACCTATGGCCGTTGGTATCTACTTTCTATCCAATTCAGGTGCATTTATGCACTTATTGTTCCGTCTGGGTAGAAAACCGAGCTTCAAAGGAATAATAAGTGGTCATGGCCCAATAAAGACTTATGGTTATGCCCGGGACCAACGTCAAGCGTGCTGCGTATTTGGAAACGACGATAGTTCGACCGCCAATTTCCAACGGCTTGCCAAACGTGTAGACCAGACTCTCGGGTAAAATGAATCTCATCCGGAATCGGTATTTTGTTGGGGGCGTTCGGCATCGAGGCATTTGGCATCTTCTTCCTTCTTCCTCTTTTCTTCCTCCAATCCTTGCTTCCACATCTGCATCAACGAAGTTCCTCCCGCCTTAACCGTGTTTTCAAAGTACCGGTCTTGAACTCGAAATGGCATCGAAAATTTCCGTTTTGTAAAACAATCCGCGTATTCAGCCAGAGGAACTCTGTTGTCTGGTGCGCGCATTAAATCCTGCACCTCCATCCAGTGCCTTGAGATTTGGAACCCCATATTATACGGGTTTTTTCTCATGTTTGCTTTGTGGTCATACTCTGATTCTGTAATTGTGCATTCGATGGCTTCGCTAGATGTATTAGACGGGTGAAGCGTGGCATTCTCGGTAGGATTGGAGGAGCTTGGGTGTTCTTGGATGTGCGAGTTGGAAGTGTTCGGCCTCGGGTTAGACAGAGGAACCGTCAACGGCGAGGCCCTGATAGCGTTGGAGGCGGATTCAGGCGATTCAAAGATCGCAAATGCCGTGCCCCCAGATGTCGACGTTCGAATTTTGAAATACTATTCTGCATATTGGTATTGCGGTTTCTGAGCTGTAAGAGAATCGGTTGACTCTACCTTTGTATTAAGAAATGAGGATACTTCCCCAAACTGTTGCAATGATTTCAAAACCGCTCTGCTCTGGGATAAAGTACGAGGAGCCGGTTGCATTCGAACGTACACTTGGCGACTGTTGATAGCAGTCCGAAGTGTTGAGGATGCCATTGTTCATTGCCAGGTTGGCTCAGTTCTACAACTGCTCTGCGATTTCATGCAGTTCCGACGATGTTCTCTTGTAGGTTTGAAAGGGATTGGCTTATATAATCAGGCGAAACCCGCTAAGGCCATAACTTTATAACAACATCGGCGGGATTGAAGGATATATTTGGCAGTGGATAGGAGCGTATTTGGAAAAGATATGGGCAAAAAGATATGGGCAACGAAGATACTGGAGTAGAGTTGGATTATGCTTTTGAAAAGGGGCTACCATAACTAATGAACTAGAGCCAGAGAAGCTACTTTGGATAGCAAAGCTGTGTTTGATAAACTGTCGGTACAACTGTCTCCCCTCCCCTCTTCCACCCTACTATCCTTTTCATTATAAACCACATCACAATACCATGGCAAACGAATTAATTAACTGTGAGGTGGAAATAAAAACGATGGATCTCTTTACAATCCAGATGGCTCAAAGGGTACACTGACGACTATCCACGACGAGCTTTTGGTTGGAAAATAATGCGTCCATCGCAATGTCGTTGGCTTCGTCCTCAATCTTCTTCATGATTTCCCAGCTTGGCTCCATTCCGATAAACCCGCAGTTGGCAAGTTCATATACCGCCGCGAGAGCCCAGGTTCGACAAGTAAACTCGTCTCCTGGCACCTCAGTAGCTTGAACGCACTGTTTTATAGCGTCCATCCACTCAGTCGTGATGTCTGGGACCTCGCCGAGTTTTAAAACAACGAGTAATTCCGTGGATCTCGTAATATCCTCGAACTCAACTGTATATCGCCAGATGGTTCCATTGAGAGTTTGGTGAAAAATGACTCCTCCCAGTTCATTAGAAGCGATAAGTACTCCCCAGTGGTACTGTCGTGGAAGCCCCGTCGACGAAATAACCATGTATACGTTCTTGGCCTCGACTCTCAGCCCATTGTCGTATTCCGCCGATGTTGGCGGGGCTTTTGGGTTGGTACCTGAGGAGGAAGGTTTGGCGGGTGAGAGCCTGAACATTTTCTCAGCTTCTATTGAGAGTGAAGGGCAATAATAGTAACCGATGACTGCAATATTTGCGTCTAAACGCCAGACCATTCAACCAAAAGAGTGAGCCCACGCAGGTGGAACGCGGGATGAAGTTGTCTTTTTGACAGGTGGCCATGTCAATGTCGTTGGTTATATATAGAAAAATGGTGAGAATTTGGGCTGCCTTCCTGCAAGACGGGAAGTACTCCCCCTGTCGGCCTATTATATCGAACTTCGGCGATGCGAGGGCTGTCCCGTAAGTACATCAACAACGAAATACAAATAGGATGCTGATTACGAGACTAGATCTAGACGTAGTCCAGTAAGTGTAAGCCTAATTATCGCGAAGCGGTGGCGGTGCTATTTCGATGTAACTAGGTTTTATAGTCAATTACTTCTACTACTTGGATTTGTTTGTCAAAACTGATAGTATATTTTCCGTATATTAGAGAGTATTCGGGACTTGTTCCATGAGACTTTACTTCCCCGTGTGCGTCTTAAACTCCTTCAAACCACTTGTGTGCCAGCGCCTCATCGGCAGTGATTCTCTTCTCTGGATCTAAATTCGTCATGGCACAAATAAGGCTCTTAAATTACTCATCAACATCCTTCCAAAGAGCAAACGGCCTACGTGGGTTGTCGCTGTTGAAGCCATCTCGGATGACTTGGAAAATGTGGACCCAAGGACTGTCTCCTAGGTATTTCACAAGCCCATCTATGCCATCTTCATTTGCAAAGTATGAAATTTGCCGTTCTAATATAATAGACAGCGGGTTTATCCTTTCGCCCAACTCCTCTTCCCCAACAGCGAAGATGACCCGTTTGTGTACTGCATAGATGCACTATTAAGATAAGCAACTAGGCCTCTAAAGTCCTGGGTTTTTGGTATAAAGACTTACAACAAGAGCAAAAGAGAAGATGTCGGATGGTTTATTCACAGGCCCTGATGCATGGGCTTCGGGACTTCTCCACATCTCGTTTCCTGCTTGTTTTCCAATCATCGCTGACCCGGGAGGAATGTAAGCAGCATCTTCGAGATCCCCCAGCTGGACTCGCTCAACATGGTATACTTGCCATTGCCTTTCCAGTCGATGAATATGTTATCTGCCTTGATATCTGCCTCATAAGCCTTGGCTCTCTCGTCTGCAAAAGACAGTACATACCCGTATGGACAATATCCTTGTTATGGAGCTCCGCTAGCCCACGGAGGGCATCTTTAAGAATCCTTTTGGTGACTTGTAGAGGCAGATCATTCTGAGCAAGTTGAAAGAGATGGCCAGTGAAACACTCAAAAACGAACATTGATTTCTCTGGGAGTATGTCTTGCGGGAGACGGACATGGCTAGCATCGCGTAGTTTACGGTTTAATTCCCGAAGGTCACTGAAATTAACTGGATGGATGTACTTCAGGATGAACTTGTCATTGGCAGCGCTAAGAGCGTGGTGAGCAATTAGATGGTCATACGGAGTAGATGGGGGAACTTACTTAGCAAGGCAAACCCGGCGTGGAGGAAATGTCTCCTCCTGAAGTGTCTTTTCGATCTTGTAGCTCCGGCCAGACTCGCCGATGTACTCTCCAGAGTTTATCGGGGCTGTCGATATTGAACGGGTTTGGTGATGAGTGGTGATGATGCCTGATGGAGCTAGTCTGGAGTTTGAAAATTTCGGGCCCCGGAGGTTTAAACATGCCCAATTCCTGCAAGAACGGACGGCCAGGGAAATGAGTGTACCTTGTGACAACATTTTGAGATCCTCGCGGGATACTGTCAGGAAAGCTTGTCTTGTTCATATCTCGTATATAATCTCTGCCCTTTACGATCAGCGCAAAAAAAGATAGTTATGTCGAGCCCCCTGCCCCATCGCCTTTCGTGTCTGGCTCGAGCCGCAAAAGTCTTGGCTAGATCGAGGGCAAAACACGATGATCAGATCGAGAGCTGTGCATCCAAAGATGACAACTTAAATGGAAGAGAAAGTACTCCATAGCTAAAAGCTCAATCTACCACGTGAAAGCAAGACGATGAGCATGCCAGAGCCCCGAAGGCCAGTCAAGGAGCTGGGAGGAGGAGCTGACCCCAAGCTGTGGAGAACGCCTGCGGTCGTTCGGCAATCGCTTCTTGGTTATGTAAATATATTGCTCCATAAGTCGAGCACCTGCAGAAGGTTCCGTCGAAGCTTGGCTGGGGTAGAACATGTTGACCCTACCCCCGGTCGGCCAGAGCAGTGACCTCTCCATATCAATAACCTTTCCGGCTGCTGGAATGGGTGTCATGTCGAGGATGTGTCGAGAATCACGCGGCAACCATGAAGAGACGCCCCTGTCATGCGTAAAATCAAGAGACGCTCCAGGCCCGGCATCGGTCCCCATATAGCTACTGACCACCGTCCTCTCATCCACCAGAAGTGTTATGTAACCTGAAGATCAGCAACAATGTGATGAGAATCCCAGCCCAATAATAACTGGAATCAACACTCCGCCGTGCATGGTACCATGTCGTCTGTACGCTGCACTCGGTTGTGTATGATTCCTGACTGACGCTGGGCGACGAGAAAGGCCTCACAACTGGTACTCTGTACCCTTTTGATGGGCCAGGCTGGCTGTGACCGGGAGCACTTGAGCGGCCTCCTAGTCCGCTGCAGACCAGCCGCTAGCGTGCTGTCGCCCCTGGCTCACGCCAGTCAGCGCCGCAGATTGGCCACTGAGCAGACACCCTGGCCGCCTGGACTGTGATGAGGGCAGGTCGTTGCCCAATAAGGCGGTCTCCAGAGGGGGCCATCACACACCCTATTTATACCACCTTGCCTCTGCCTGACAGGGAGGCCGAGCAAGTCGAGTTATCAAGCCTGTCGCCTCGAGACGGACAGCTGCACTAGTACTCCGTAGCCAGAGTGAGAGGCCAGCACCGCGAAGAAGTTGATGGTTAGCTAGTTAGCTCGCGAACGAGGACGAAGTGAAAATAAAGTATTTCTTACCGGCCGTATCGAGCCCGTATCAATACCGCTCTGCCGGCCCCCTTCGCCCCAAGTCGCCCCCCCTTTGACCACCCGCTGGGCAGCGTCCTGTTACGGCCCCAATACCAAGGTTACTCTCACCACCACCCAGCTTCCTTTTTCACTTTTCCATTTTTTTTTTTTTTTTTTTTTACCACCCAGCAAAGCAGAAGCTGCCTTACGTAAGCCTGCCCAGAACTTCTGGCGCTCCCAACTTCGACCTTTCGCTTTCCTCTTCCTCCTTCTGCCTCTGCTGCTTGCTCTAAGAAAGAGACCCGACCTGCACCGACACTCGATCTCTCGACCACCGCTCCCGACGACCACCTTCGACCCTCTGCTGCCCTCAGACACTGCCCAAGCTGCTGCCGGTGCCGGCCATCTGTCTCAGTGCCGCTTTGCGACTTCTATAACCGCCGGTTTCGCTCGTCTGGACCGAGCAGGCGGTACTCTCTTGAAGCACGCTCCAAAGGGGGAGGGAAGTTCTCGACCTCCGACTCGGCTTCTGCCGCCTCAAGATCAAGAGCAGGCGGCAAATTAGGAGAGACTCTTTTGCAATAGGCTGCTGGACTCGAAATATTCGGCCTTTCCTTATTAACACTTTCAACAGTGACTGCGACGATAGCTTTTGGGGGGTGTGCTTGTCTTCTAGCACAAAAACGTTAACCCAACGTCAACGTTTACTTAGTTTGAAATTGACGGTTAGAAGCCGTTGGGAACTATCGGTCGGCCCTACGACTCACCCTTGACAGCGGCCAGGTGCTTAATTGACGGAGAGGGATCCCACAAGGCCATTTCATTGCCCGAGCTAGCCCAATTCTCTCCACGCTCTGGCGTCGTCGCTGAAATAATTATATCGTACGGTACAAATGTCTGCCCCTTCTGGAGTCCCAGGTATGTCGACGATCACGTTGCTTTATAGCCGGGTGAATATCAAGAGATTAACCTCGTTGAAACTAGACTCGAGCGTAGCTCCTGCAAGTCACACAGGACCTTCCGACATGCCTCAGGATGCATCCCCTTCCGCTCTAGAGACAACAGAACAGCCAAAGAAGAAGCGGTCTTTTCTCCGCATACCGTCTCGGTCCTCGTCAAAGAAGAATAAAGAACATTCGCAATCGGAAGACACCAACCGGGAAGGCACTGGAGCCTCGCTATCCACTTCGCAATCAAACCTGACGGGGAGCCACAGCAAGGCTAGTAGCACAAGATCACGACACGCACAGCCTCTAGAACAAGCTGGTGCCCATATCGGTTCTAAAAATGGAGGTTCACGGCCCAAGCATGATCCAAAGTCTGATAGGAAGCAAAGGGGATCGCTATGGTCGTTTCTAAGCTGCTGCCGTGCACCCAAGGACGATGATGGTGAAGACATGGCTTCACTCCCACCAAAGCAGACCGTCAAACCTCATTCACTCCGGACCACCCAACCAATATCCGAGAAAGCGGATGCTGGCGTTGCTGAGTCGGGTAGTGCCGACAGGAAGGATGACGCTGATGTTACTACTGAAAAGCCAGCAATCAAGATATTCGATGAGCAAAGTGCCCCCTTGGGTGAGAATAGTGTCGTCGCTGCTGTAGATGAGAAAGCGGCCGTTGCGACAAAGCAAGAAGATGAGGAAGAATCCACTCTTTCTGGCCGTGACAGTAACACTCACCACCAAACCGAGCCAGTTATCCCGGAGAGTTCCAGACTTGACCCAGTACATGTTTCGTCAGAGGAATCTGGCGCATCAAACTCTCTAGCCACCGGCCAAACTGAGAAACCTACAGAGACATCAACTACCATTCCTGAGCAACAGAACCGGAGCGACGAAACCGACATGCGTGACCAGTACCCTAACGCCAGCGCCGATGAGCCAGCCACCGAAGCGAACCACCAAATTGTCCATCAAACCACTCTTCCACCTCCACCTCCCCTGGACCTCGCATATCCCCAGCCAGCTCCTGATAAACCGGTTCCTCCTGTTCCATCTGTTCAAAGCGAAAAGCAAAAATGGCTATTGCCCCCCATTCAAGACCATTTCTCTGGCAGGAAATGCCTAGTCTTGGATCTCGACGAAACTCTTGTTCATAGCAGCTTCAAGGTATGATATGCATACCGTTTTTCTTTCCTTTCTAGATAAACGCATCGCTAACAGTTTTGCGTTCAGGTTCTTGATCGAGCTGATTTCACCATACCCGTCGAGATAGAGGGACAATATCACAATATATATGTGATCAAACGTCCTGGAGTAGACCAGTTCATGAAACGTGTTGGTGAGCTCTACGAGGTTGTTGTTTTCACTGCATCCGTATCAAAGGTTTGTTGTTCTTTTCCAAAAGATTTATATTATGTACCTGTGGCTAAATCCTTTATAGTATGGAGATCCATTACTAGATAAACTAGATATCCATAAAGTTGTCCATCATCGCCTCTTTAGAGATAGCTGCTACAACCACCAAGGAAACTATGTCAAGGTATGCCAAATATTCGTCAAATACGCATTGCTAGATATCCTTTGCTAAATTATTCCCAGGACCTATCACAAGTTGGCCGTGATCTTAAAGAAACAATTATTATTGATAACTCCCCGACTTCCTACATATTCCACCCAAAGCATGCAATCCCAATCAGCAGCTGGTTCTCAGACGCCCATGACAACGAGCTCCTCGACCTCATTCCAGTACTAGAAGACTTAGCTCACAGCCAAGTGCGAGATGTGAGCTTGGTGCTGGACGTTGCCTTATAGCACCGGCATTCTCGAGACAACTAGCATCCAGTCTATGCTACTTTGACGTCTTTCTTATCTTCATCTAACCCCTGTTAATTAACTCCCAAAAATTCTGGACCCTGCCTGTGCACCTAAAAAAAGATGCTCTCTTAAACGAGCCACGTTCGCTTTAATACCCTGGTTGTTTCTATTAGTTTTTCCTTGTTTTATTTGTTATTACCCTTCAAGCACCATTTCCTTAGTTTCTTGATTTCTCCTTTCCGTATGTTCAACTCCATTCCCCCAATTCCCTTATCTTTCTCCCTTTTTTTTGAAAAACAATTCACCTGGCTGTCTTCGCACCTCTCTACCTACCCCCCCGCGCTATCTAATTTCCTGCACCTACTTCGCCTTCTACCCACTTCACTACATCTCCTTCTCCACCTACATTTTCTATCGACTCCTGAAGTCTTCATGACCTTGACTTCCGGGTCTTACCCTCCTGCCCTGCCCCATATCTGCCCTACTTTCATCCTGTACCTCCACCCCAAACCCCGAATCTGCGAACAGTCGCCATACTGCACAACCTTTTCCTTGACTCCTCTATTTCTCTCATCATATCTGTCCTCATTGCTTTTTGATATTCCAGCTATCGAGTTATTTAAACCCACAGTTATACATCCATTGACACCACATATTCAGTTACGCATCAGCTTTAGCTCTGAGCCTTACTTATTCGTTATTACCCTTTCATTTTTCTTCAAGTCTATTGACCTATTTATTTTTCGACTTTGATACTCTATATCCGTTTACCTTCTCAAAGTCCCAAGGACCAACTCCATTCAATTTCGCACATTTAACATCCCTCCTTTTTAGCCGGGCACCTAGTTTGCTCTATATATGCATCCTTCTTCATCTTTCTTAGAACAAGATGTTCTTGTTTCTCCCTATTATTTATCTACTTCTCACCCAACATGCATTTTCATATCTGAGATTTTCTTTTTCTCCCGTTCATGTTGCATACGTTCTAGCAACGTTGTTTTTTCAACTTAAGGTACTTGATGTATTTTTCTAGTCTATGTTTTAATAGATTGATATTTAACCAACCTGTGGCATTCTGATGCACGTAGCATACCCATTTGATCCGTAGTATCTTACCGGCTGGGTTCATGCTGCCAGGGCACCTGGCCGGGAGATGGTCACGTGGTGTCCATGACGCACCTGCACCTGCACACCCAAGCAGCGGTTCCTGGCTGCCTAGGAGTTTCACTAGCTTATTTATCAATAATATAAACTTGAATGCGAGAACGACATTATACCCATACCAGGTAGACTGTACCCTTGCACGAGGTTACTCTTACGACACTATTCGATCCTGCTAAATACTACGCCTCGTGGCAAGCACCTCGAAATCTTTGACTGAACTTCTGTGCCCATTCCTCCCCCTCCATGACAATATGAGCGACCAACAGACGGATCAAAACAAACCAGCTAAACCTCACGCGGTCCTCACAAACCCTGAGGTACTGAGTAACCCACATGCGGATACTGGAGGACCACCTCCTGAAGAAATTGAAGCCGATGAAGGTATAGACTAGGCCATGATAGTACCACAGAGATAGAAGTCATGCTAACTATGCCGTTCTCATAATAGATTTGCTCGTTGATCTAGAAGACGATGCGGATGTAAGTTCCCTTTAGAATTGTACGTCATTACGGCGCATGGAAGTTAATTGAAACAACTCTAGGAAATATATTTGGTTCACTCCAGAATATCGTCCATGAAGAGCTTGAAGTTAGAACGGTTTATGAATATCGAGGTACCACTATTATTCTATCATCATACGGTATACTGCGTCTACCATGAACAGTTCTAACTTGCATTCTTCTAGAAAATATGTCTACGCCAGAACCAAATAACCCGCATATATCTCCCCGAGAACCTCGCACCAACCTTAAAAGAACTTGACCTTTATGACAACAACATCTCACACGTGAAAGGGCTGGATCACGTCGTGAATTTGACAAGCCTCGACCTTAGTTTCAATGATATCAAACATATCAAGAATATCTCTACATTAGTACACCTGAAGGATTTATACTTCATTCAAAACCGAATTCAAACAATCGAAGGGCTGGAAGAGCTCAAAGAATTGCGGAATCTGGAGCTTGGTGCAAACAAGATAAGAGTATGGCCCAGAAACTACCACCCAAGACCTATTCAGGCCGATTCAAAATATGACGGAATGTGTTTGACTGAGAACTGACAAAACTTTCTTTTGGTAAATGACAGGAAATTGACAACCTTGACACATTGACAGCTCTTGAAGAGCTATGGCTCGGAAAGAACAAAATATCCGAAATTAAGGTGCCAACTACCAACTCCAAGCTCAAACATTCTACACCCACATAAAACTGACCATGTCCATCTTCTTTCAACAGAACATTTCGTCTCTTACTAATCTCAAAATACTTTCAATACCCTCTAACCGAATTGAAACACTATCTGGACTAGAGTCTCTTTCAAACCTCGAGGAGCTCTACCTATCTGATAATCTCCTTACTGGGATATCTGGGCTTGAAAGCAACACAAATCTCCGTGTTCTAGACATATCCAACAACAAAGTGTCGCGGCTAGAAAACCTATCTCATCTTACCAAGTTAGAGGAGCTTTGGGCATCAAATAACCAGCTCGCTAGTTTTGAAGAAGTTGAGCGTGAGCTGAAAGACAAAGAAGAGTTAAATACGGTGTACTTTGAAGGGAACCCCTTACAGAAAGCGGCGCCTGCTCTTTATCGGAATAAAGTACGGCTTGCTTTGCCTCAAATTAAGCAAATTGATGCCAGTAAGTACCTCGTATTAACGGTTACTTGTTCGTCCTTTGGGTATGTTATGACTGCCGCTGATCAATTTGTTTCTTATAGCGTATGTGAGAGTATAACTACAAATTTGATGAATCTCTGGACACTTATAAGCTACTATTTAAAATATTTCTTTTGTGCAGAGTAGTTCTTTTCTTATAGGAACGAAGGCTATCATCTTTCTAGGGAGCATGAGATGGGAATATAAGGATCATAATTCCTCGAACTCCTTTGTTCAAAGCCAGTATCCTTGAATTTCGTAGTGCATCCAATCACCGCTATACAGGAGCTAATATTAGTAACAAAGTGTTATAACGATCTTGGCAAAAATTAGCCTCGGCAAAACATGGTCACGTGGGTGAGAGCTCACATGCTACAATGTCGACCAACTTTCAATGGAGAATCTGGGGTTAAATTCAACTTACTCAACTTCATCTCAGGACAACAGCTAGTATATGGTGTAGCTGCTGCGGTTTATACGAGACGAATTTGATACCTTTTGAACGATATCTAGGCTTTTCACCTCCTATTTGCTACCCAGTGGCGACTGCCCGGATTAGTCGCGGGACCATGGGATTCAAATCAAGATAACCAGTGAATGAAACGGCCTATGGTCCTAACGTGAAGGCAATATGGCAGTTCAATCTACTCTTCGGCGACCGGAAGACCCGCTGGTCATATTATTTCGGCATTATTCCCAACTACTTCTCTCCCGCGTCCGAAATTCGTCAAGGACTGTAAAGCTAGCTGCGACCGTCGCCTTACTTCTGTCTATTATTGGAACAGGTTATGGAGGATATAGCTGGTGGAAGGATTGGTCAAAGGAAAGGATACAAGGGAGGCAGCTGTTGCGCAAGAATTCCGGATTACGAGGCAAAGATGGCTCAAGGATTATATATGTTCCTTACAAGTCGAGCCTTACCTCCTCCAGTACCTCCAAAGTCACCATTCACCCTACAAAATCAACGACATTTGATGCCCACAGACGACTATTTTTGAACCCACCAAGAGCAGCTGGGCTACGGGACGGATATGGAGGGGCACCACCGCCATCCACCAAGCCTGGTTTGAATTTAGCCTTTTTGCACCAACTGCTCAGCTTATTGAGCATCATGATTCCCCGATGGAACAGCAAGGAAACAGGCCTACTTCTGAGCCATGGTGTCTTTCTCATGCTAAGAACATACCTATCTCTGGTGGTGGCTAGGCTGGATGGTGAGATTGTACGGGATCTGGTGGCCGGGAAAGGAAGAGCTTTCATTTGGGGCATCATAAAGTGGTGCAGCATCGGCACTTTCGCTTCATACACAAACGCTATGATCAAATTTCTAAAATCGAAGGTTTCTATCGCTTTCCGAACACGACTTACTCGCTATGTACACGACCTTTATTTGAACGACAACATGAATTACTACAAGTTGGGCAATCTTGATGGAGCTATTGGCCAAGGAGTTGATCAGTTTATTACCCAGGATCTCACCCTTTTCTGCAGCGCTGTTGCATCGTTATATTCTTCACTTGGAAAACCCCTGGTCGACCTTATCGTTTTCAACTACCAGCTTTATCGTTCGTTGGGTCCACTGGCTCTAACTGGTATACTAAGCGGGTATATTGGCACTGCATCACTTCTCCGTGGCCATTCCCCTCCATTCGGGAAACTCAAGGCAGTGGAAGGGAAGAAGGAAGGCGATTTCCGCAGCCTACATTCCAGGCTATTGGCGAATGCCGAAGAGATCGCGTTCTATGGAGGTGCTGATATCGAGCGGGTATTCCTTTCGAAGAGCTTTGCCAATCTTCAACGATGGATGGAAGGTATATATAAGTTGAAGATACGATATAACATGTTCGAAGACATGTTATTGAAGTATTCGTGGTCAGCTTTTGGGTATTTAATCACATCACTACCAATTTTCCTTCCAGCATGGGGTGGAGCTGGCGGAATTCTCGAGATGGCTACCCCTGGAGCGGGTATCAACCGAGAACGGGGCCGTATGAAGGAGTTCATAACAAATAAACGACTAATGTTGTCTTTGGCTGATGCGGGTGGCCGTATGATGTATAGCATCAAGGATTTATCGGAGCTCGCTGGATATACCTCGCGCGTATACACATTGATATCGACCCTTCATCGTGTTCATGCCAACTCATACCACCAGCCCCGTGGGAGCCAAATAGAACTTTACTCACTCTCTGATGTCCAAGGAACAATTCACAGTGGGTTCGATGGGGTGCGCCTAGAGAATGTTCCCATTGTTGCACCTGGATTGTTCCCGCAAGGCGGAGATGAACTTATCGAATCCTTGTCTTTTATTGTCCACTCAGGCGAACACCTGCTCATATCTGGGCCGAACGGGGCTGGTAAATCTGCTATTGCTCGGATCATTGCTGGACTATGGCCTGTGTACAGGGGACTTGTAAGCCGACCAAGAAATTTAGGGCAAGACGGCATCATGTTCCTGCCTCAGCGACCTTATTTGAGCACTGGGACACTACGTGATCAAGTTATTTATCCTCACAATGAACTTGACATGCGAGAGAGCGGGCGCACTGATAACCACCTAATGGAGATCCTTGAGGCAGTTCATCTGGGCTACCTCCCAGCTCGTGAAGGAGGTTGGAACGGGCGCAAGGAATGGAAAGATGTTTTGAGTGGCGGAGAAAAGCAGCGTATGGCCATAGCGCGGTTATTCTACCATGACCCTCGCTATGTATTCCTGGATGAGGCAACCTCCGCAGTGTCTTCTGATGTGGAGGGCTTACTGTACGAGCGTGCAAAGGAGCGAGGCATTACACTGATCACGATCTCGACCCGGGCTTCCCTAAAGAAGTACCACACTTTCAACCTTTCTGTGGGTCTTGGAGCTGATGGAATGAGCTGGGAGATTGATCGCATTGGAACAGAGAAGGAGAAGATGGGTGTTGAGAAAGAACTACAAGAGCTTAGGCGACAGCTGGATAATGTTGACTCTCTCAAGGCTCGCCGGCAAGAGATCGAAGATGAACTGCAGAGGGTGTGGGAGGGTGAACAGGAGACTACCGGGCTTACTTCAGCAGCCTAATCGTGCACATAATTACTGCGAGATCGGCATCTTAACAAATTCTTAATCCATCTATATATAGATAGACATGGGAGATCCTGGGATCCAGTCATTGGTTCCTATAGATTTTTTGCAAAACCTCAACATCAGTTGGGTTGTTGGTGGCCCCTTGAAGATTTATGAGGCGATGAGGTAGATAACTTGATCTATCTCATAGGAGGTGTATATATATATAGCTACATATGTCTTTTGTCAGATGTAACCAGTTTCAACTTCTGCTTAGCGACCAAGTCGTTACGTTAGTTGATTAATAATATTCAGCCGAGGTACCGAGTTCAGCTGAGAAGACTGCAAGGGGGAGGCCCAGCCAATCAACTCTTTCGTCTCTTTGTCTCATTTTTGGAACCCTGGGCCAGTAGTTGGTCACGTGGATAACTTTATTGAAAGCACACCTCTCTCGTCCTCAGCTTTTTGTTTTGACTGTCCAAATAAAACAACCTCGCAGCACTCTCTTCACCTGTTATATACGTCTTCAAACTTCGCCGACTCGAGCCTAACAAGTGAGACAGCTAACAATAAGCAATGAAGCACATTTGAACTCGAAGTGAAGCCTAACAAGTTACCTATCTGTGCCAAGCTCTTGAGATTAGCTCTCAGCTCACTTCGCTCTTGGATCAACATCCAGCAGCTTTCGAAGTCGCGTTAAGAAGAGCTACCACCCTCTAGAACGGCCTGTATATATCAACATGGGACCACAGGGATATGAAGTCGATCAAAAGGGCCGGGTAGTCGTCCCCATAAATAGCTTTTCTGATGGTGACCCTAGCGCCTGGCCGCAGCATTCTAACTGTGTGGAAACCGATGCTACCGTCTATCTCGAGAAGCTAGGGATGCAATGGATGAAAGAAAGGGGCGAGTGTCAGCAAGGTTAGTAACTCTTTTGATTCCCTTCCGTTTGGATACCGGGAAAAGACTGTATCTATATTATACGGCTCCCTATCCGTCAAGCTAGCCAGAGTATCAACTTTGAGTAGTGTCTCTATACTCTGGTGCTCGGCAATTGCCGTGAAATGGCTCTTGTGCATGGCATAAAGTGAAAAATTTTCTTTGTGCACATTCATGAAAAAATTCTTACAATAACTAATACGCGCTTTGTTGTTTACTTTCTAGACAAAACATATATTCTTGACCAACTGCCAGAAGGGTACGTCTACTGGGCTCGTCCACGCCAAAGCAGGCCTGAACTGGTACGTTTGATTTCATTTCTTATCATGTCATCAATCAAATACACTTTCTTGATTAACGTACTCTTTTACAGGTAGATAAATTTCTCTGGGGCCATCCTTCCGGCAAATATTTTTTTTCTCCAAATAGGTTTTGGCCTCATTTTCTCTACTTGATGAACGGTGGCTCGGAGCCTTGCGAGTGTGAGCATTGCGGTTCAGTTCGAAAGGTATCAACCTCTCGTGGATTGCCAACTTCGACTCAAAGGAGGCCTGCACGCGCTTCTGGTGTTTCTCGCAGCGCGTTGAATGACCGGATAGGACTGGCACAGTCAGTGCCTAGCAGTTCAAGTATTAACCCCCACCAACATAACCATGGCGGTGATTACAGGCTCTAACACTTGTCTTAGAGCGTACTAGAAGAAAGAAATTTTTGGCCGTAGATGCCGAAGGGAACCAAGACGTTTTTAAGGAATTGATATACCATCTCAAGACCGACGGCAAACTAGAAAGGCCCGTCTTAGAGGACTCAAACATGGACTGGCGAGCGGAGAGAAAGCTACTAAAAAATCACCTCACCCGCGTTCATATGCAGCACTCCTTCTTTCCAAGGCTTGGTGAATTGGTGCTCTGGTATGCGGAACCATCAAACGGAGAGATCAAATTCCATTGGCAGACCCAGACCTACCAGGTTTATTCAGCCAAGGAGAAGAAATTCGCTGGAATTCCTACATGGTATGGCGGTGTCGTCACTCAAGTGCCTGAGGAGCCCCTAAATCTACATGATGCCATTGTAGAGACCAACAAGGGGTACGCACTCAACCGCTCAGGCTTTCGAATTGAGATTTTCCCAGACCCGAATAGCTCCAACAAGAACATGTCAACCCACTACAAATACGTCCCCCTGAGCCAGATCAGACCCTTAAATTTCTGGTCTATTTACCTTCAGGGGGTAAGGAGCACGGATTTTCACCCTTCTATACCCCACGCGTTGACTATAATGTCCTCGTTTAGTATGCTCGATAAATACTACTTCGAGGGCATATGGCCAAATGCATCCGTGCTTTGTAGGGGGGTTTATCTTGGAGCCGAGCTACTGATTCCTGGTGATGGAGTTCGGCTCATGCCACTAGACCGAGATGGAGTAATTGATCTTAAGAGAAAGGTCACGGATGTTTTAGTCATCGATTCAATCGAGTTTAGATTCATGGAGTGCGATGCGAATCTTCAGTCTCCTCTCCTTAGCCAGACAACAACTGCACGGCTAATAGGAAAAGTCTATACCTTAGACCCTAAACTCGCCTTTGATTCAAGCACTCCGTTGACCGATTCTCAAATCACTAAATCTTTCGAATGCACTGGTATGAGAGAATATGGGCTATGGTACCTTCGCCATGAGCCAGATAAGGTCACTGAGGTTTCATTAGACCATGTTATTGGACGATGTCTTGAGTCTGAATACATGGATATTATGTTTGACAATGTGGCCCTTGATCTTGATCTGGTGGGTATAAGGGATGCTCGTCTCTTTGGCCGTGAGGCTGATGAACGTATCGCTCCTGGCAAGCAATGGTTTTGCGGTGATAACCGCCTAGAACAACTTGGACTTGAGTCTATCAACGGAATCGAACACAGCAGATGCGATGACTCAAGAGATCCGCGTATGAATAGAGCAATCATGAATATTATCAATGATGAGGCTGTCGACGCGGATCACCGAGATTCTAAAATTGTTCGCCAACTCGGACGTGCGCATGAGGGGCTTATCGGAAGTAGGACTGGGTATACAACTTTCGATAGTGCTGGGAAACATAGCTCAATGGTTGCGACGGCACTTGGCGGTGAAGCTACTCCCTACGTCAACACTGAACCGGTTGAGAATGATGAAGCCGAGGACGGAGACGTAGGCAGTTCAAGAGAAGTTGCGCCATCCACGGATAGCGGGGATGAACTTATTGTAGTGCCAATGCATAAGCGACGGCGCCAACATTGAGCTATGTTCTGATGTTCCAATTGCCGGATGCCTCTTTTTTGGGTGACTTGGGTCTTTTGGGTCGACTGGTGGTTTCCTTTCTTCTCTCTCTGTTCTTTCTTTTCCTTACTCATATGATAACCTTTCCTAGTTGCCGTTACATTCAGTTTATGATACCCCTTTTCAGTTCAAGTTGCATTCAGTTTCATGATACCCCTTTTCTAGTTCAAGTTGCGTTCACCTCTATGATACCCCTTTTCTGTTTCCCCTTGCGTCAACTCTATGATACCCCTTTTCTGTTTCCCCTTGCATTTGCATTCTGTAGCATCAAGCGGATGTGTGTAGATTAGATTTCTTTCGAACGTCAATGGCATATGCCCCTAAGTAACAACCGCTACTCAAAAATACTACTACGGTGAGAATGAATTAAGAAGTACCCGTGTTTGTGCGTTTTTAGGAGTTGAAAGAGAATTGCATTGAAAAGCTGAGAAAGAACATACAACCCGTTCAACCCACTCGAGATAGTCCCTGATCGTGTGAGAGGAATGGACGGTTATTTGTGCATGATAATTGTAATATCCAAGACCTAGACACTCGGCAATTTGATGAGATAGCCAAGAAAGCACCACAACAAAACAAAGCCCTAAACCCGAACCTCAAAGACCTCAAAATTTGACAAACAGAACACGATATGAATGGACATAAGACAATAGAAACGCTGGTGCGCCAAAGCCTGGTATAAGGTGTAAACATAGGAGATAGTGCAAAAGAATGGAATAAGCAATACAGTCGTCGACACACCTGGTCGGTCCAATTTTATAAAGATAGAATGGGTAACAAACGCATCACGAAGAAACGGAGGAAAAGAGAGCGACAGGAAATGAATATTGTACATATTAAGTTGGGTGATGAAGCTCACTTGGGCTTCAGTAGTATAAATCTGGGTATTGATAGGGAACAGGGAGGGAAGATATAGTCATCTTAGATGGCAAACTGATCAAGAGATGGTATCGTACAGTTAGTATAAGTGAGTCGGCCGATGCATGGTAGGGAGTGATGAGTGGATCGAGATGGGGGAGCTCAGGAGCTAACGAGAGAATGGTGACTTTGAGGCATTTGTAAGGTCATCCTAGAAATGGATGTTAGCACTACTCAAAAGACGGAACACCAAAGGCTAAAGACATACCATATGATTACACATGGCAACAAAGAGGTCGAAGAATAGTTTCCCTCCCTCTTCCATTTCCAGTTGCATGGTACCGCTTCGCTTGAAAGTTGACCGCGAGCGGATGATCAACGCAAGGTAATGGGCTCTGAGCTTCGAGTCACTGTCAGGGGTATTTGCATAGGCGTACCTAGCACTAGAGAGGATGGTGCTGCATTGTATAGCCGTCTGGAGACCTTGCTTTCGAAGAGCCAGCCT